AATAAAGATCCGCTCAACAGCAGAGGTAGCTCCTGAAAGGTTTTAATTCACACAATATGAGGTTTGGCCCGGCCCTTTTTCAAGAAATGTTTCATCAATTGGTAGATACATTTTTCAAACAAAGGGTATAAAGAGCATGTTACGACATGAAGGACAAAACACGTAACCACCGGATCCACCAGATCAAACAAAAATAAGTACGGGAAAAATGCTAACGAATGGCTAAAAGAACCAAACCATGCAGCGTCTGGGGAGGCCGCAAACAGGACCTCGAGGGAGCATGCAGCGCGTGCACGCCCACCTCAGTAGGTGTTACCTATAGGAGGATCTTGGAGTGACGTTGTTGTTTATAGTTTTTCCGCGCCGGTCACGTGGCCGTGTGGCACTATAGCATTGAAAGCTACCTGGATGCTAGAGAGTTAGCTAGTTTTAGACGTTTGGAGAGAGGTTCTACTACATCAAATGGTCCGTTCCTGTTGTGTGGTCGGTTGTACGGCCTGCTGGGGACAGATTAAGTTTTTTTTCTAATTCTTTCGGAAAAGAACAGCAAAAAACGGCCGCGGTAAAGCTGTTGCCCTTTTATGCTGTTACCTACGGTAAACGTAGAACAGGATGCCGGGGGGGGATTTTGGTTTCTCATCCCCGTGGCTTCCTGTTCCACCTTTACCATAAGTAACAGCAAAAAGGGGCTGCCCACTTTTAATGTGTGTCAAAATGCCTGGCCACTTTACCGCAGAGAAAAACGCAAATTTACACCACGGGCCCTTCTTGAGTGAAAGGTCCCGGGTTTTCTATGAAGTAAGAATACATTTCTCCCAGTCCCAGCAGATTGGTGCCAAGACAGAGGTGAGTCTGACCAATGTTTTCTCTCGTCATCCCAGGTCTCATATGGGCTTTGGATTTTTTCAGTTTGGTCTCATTTACTTTAATTTTAGCTTGTCTTTATGTCTCCTCTGATCTTCTTGCGTTAAAGTGCTTATATACAGTGCTATTCGCCCACTGAGTCTTTTTAAAGAACTCTCGAATCCATGCTTCAATATGCGCCGCTCTGTCTTTCTGCCACACAGCGAGGGGCGCATGCGCATGCGGGTGTAAACAAAGATCCTCCTATACATAGTTCCCACAGACCAATGAATGTCACATGACCTCCTCGGAGACGCCATCTTTGATGGCACGCTGCTGTGTTTGTGCATTCCATTAAACAGAAGAATGAGAATAAATGTAGATATTCAAACGCAAATTGGAAAAAAAGGGCAACTTTTGAGCAAATAATTGTATATTAATACAATGGCACCACAGTTTAACGTGCTACGGACATGTTTTACATATTTGATCAAATTATGCAGAAAAAATTAACAAGCAATGCAAACATTTATCAAAAACTTTAGATTTAATACCAGTTGGAGCTCCATTTAATTATTTTAATTATATTAACAATTAATTTAATTAATGCTAATGCCACACGGACACTCTGGATTGCTGTTATTGTTTATTTCCGCGTTTTTGACCGTATGTTTTGGTGAATGGTGGGCAACTGATTTTTCCAGGCGTAAAGAGCAGTTTATTTTATGACACAGATCTTTTTACAGAAGCAATGCTGTTTGTGAACATTGTTTTAGCCCACCATAGAACTATTATTATCTCTTTCTTGCCTGTTCATCTTCGCAAGCCATAACCTCCGTCGTTGTTCTGACAAAAGCTTAGTCTTCTCACATTCATGAAGTCTAATGATGGGTATACTGTAAAATCCAAGTTTAACTGAACCTCCGGCACGATTAGAACATCCATTGACCCAGCAGGAGATGACCATTTTCAACTTTATCACGACATTAACACGTTTCAGCTTCTTTTTCTATTGTTTTGCCCACAGAATGCCAACACAAATGGCGCCGGGTCGGCAAATCCCCGTATGTAGTGACGTCATGTAGGAACTATGTATAGAGGCTGAGACCAGAGATGTGCGGGAGTGCAACAGAACAGCCGTTTTTTATACTCCCGACCTGATCTGCAAAATATACAACATAGGTTATTCGAAACATTATCAAAAATGTAACCTATAAAATATACTTACAAAAACAATTATAAAAAAATTATAAAACCCAAAAATACCTGGACAAAAAAAATATAAGACACAAAACCAAAGGGAAAAAGGTGCCAAAACATAACAGAGCAAAATTCAGATGTTCTAGTTGCAGCACATAGAATCAGTCAAACTAACCAACGCATTTAAGACTTAAAACATCTGTCAGGGCCGGGGTATAAACGGTTCACGTGTAAATGGTAATTTCTCGGTGTATCATTGACTGATTTCACATGTTTGCTATTGAAGCTAAATTAAAATGTGTATATCTACACTTGGGGCGGTCCAGGTTGTGTGGCTTTGCTAATCTGCTCTGCACACCGCCGTGTCCCTCTGTCTGGGAAATTGCATTGGTGTGAAAGGCTCTTGAGTATTTATGACTGGCACAAATAATGGCCCTTGATAGTCTTATCTATAAAGACTGCTGTCACCTCATTCAGTATAATTCAGTCGCATTGAAGCTAATGGTGATGGCTGCAGTGGTGTAATCCTGTTGTGCTTGTTGGCATGTCAAACATGTTGTAATAATAGCTGCACACTGTGATCTATTTATATTTAAAAGTTTTGAAGGGGGAAAAACACCATCACTGATGCTATGTCACCTTAGTAGATTTTAATATCACGGTATACTCAATTTAAAATAGAAATAACACAACCAATTCTAGGAGATAGTTTTATTCACTTCTATGACATATATGTTTTGAAAGAAATCCTTTGAAGTATTTCCACTTCCATTTCTTAAAAAAAAAAATGGTGCACTTACGGCACCTAAACATTTCAATAGTATCTTGCTTATAGTTTATTTCCTTAAAGTATAATGTCACTTAGTTGAAGTTAATAAAATGTTCTTATATATCACTCACATTTGGACAAATCTGTGTATGTCAGACAGCCCTGCAAACTGTGTGCGTGCAGGGTGTAACTTATTGATTTTCTCTTCTTTGCCGCTGACATGATTTCAGAATGGTTGGAATGTGTTTCATGGTTACCAATGAGAATATGGCTTTCCCATTCCTAAAAAGTTTGTAAGATGAAAGATTTTCTCAGGGCACTTTGAAGGTATGAACCAACGCCATGCATCATAAGCTTGTGTTTAAATGTCCTTTAAAGTGCAAATACGGGATTAGGCCTTTTCCAGATTTTGATATTTCGCAATTAAATGTGCCGCTTTATTCCCCATACTGCAACAATCAAATGTTATATGCATAAGTTGGATTTGTTTCAGCATTGGAAACCTTTGTATTTGATGCCAGTGGAGGCCATTTGAACATGAGTGAAGCAGAGATGAGATGAGAGGATGCGACAGGAAAAGTGCCTCTGTGTGTGGGGACTTTTTTGGACATAACATCAAACCTGCAGCATAACAACAAGACAGATTGTTCTGTTTGCATACTATTGCTCAACAAACACACACAGTTGTCCATACACCACTCAACACAATCACACAAACAACACAGCAATCATCCATGCATTTTTTATTCTTTGGTGCACAAAAGCTTGCCTTAGTAAACTCTTGATAATGTGAGTGAGAAGAAATGGACTGTACAAGCATCAAAAGATTGGAAAAAAGTGGGACAATGTATAACATGAAAGAAGAAATAAAAGTTTGAAGAATAGTTCTTGTCTAACTGGACTGGCTGCTCTTACAATGTGTCCCATTTTATTCAAGAAATCTATTTGAACTGTTGTGTTGGCCACCAATGACTTTTATTTTAACAAATATGCTGATTCTGATATGCTGAAGACGAATGTCCATGTGGTGGTCACACTTGTAAAGCTCCATATGAAAGGGTGATTTCCTGTGTTTAGTCTCCGATTGGATCAGTTCATTTATTCAGTCATTGTTTTCTACAATCTTCCAATCCCCCTCATATATTTACTCTGTCATTATTCCTCCACATAGTTTCATTAAGACCTAGCTGGTTTTCTGTCATGTTGTCTTCTCTCATTTACATTTACATTATGTTTTAGGCATCCACCAGATGCCTCCAGTTCATAGAAAACCCAATGTACGATTCTTAATATGAGGCAGACCAGAAGTGTCACGTGTATCATCATGCCTCTGCACCTTTTTATAGAAAGCGATTATGGAGATAGATGAGGTACAATGATGTGCAACAAGGGGAAATTCTCATATTAAAAGTCTAGACAGACTTGTATTGCTCTTATATGGTACTTCAAAGATGTTAGTTCTAAATGTAAATTTTGAAATTATTATATATGTTGTATGTATTTAAAAAAAGATTGGAAAGTTGGGGATGGAGCATTAGATAACAAGTATATTCATGCAGTTTCACAGATTTCAGTGATGCCGTTAGACTGCTGTGGTGAACTTGCCGCACTAATGGTTATCAACTTTGAGCAATTACTAAAAGACATGATCCCGGAGACAACCGGTTTAAATGAAGGTCCTCTGAGTGGCTGGATCTGCGCCCAGGAGCTGAACATTCACTGTATGATTGGTCTGAATTTGAAGTGAAATGAATTTGCCTGACTTTTTCAAAAGCGGACCATTTTTTTATGTCTTCTATGTATCTGTTTAGTGGTCAGTAAAAGTTTTAAGTTCACAATCAATGCATGTCAGAGCAGTTGAAAGGGACATGTTTGATGTCAAAGTCACACAGATCTGGCACATACATCTGCTCACATGCAGATCCACCCATTGCACCTTATTGGGCACATATAGGAGACTTTGGAGATATTATGAACAATTTCACAGTAAAATAATAAACCCAGGTCCAGACATAAACATGCATCTGTGTAATAACATTAACGTTGCCAACACATGGACTGTGTAAAATGATTATGCATTATGCATATATTATGCATATATTATGCATAATGAATATTGGACGAGAGTGAATTTTCCCTGTTGTTTCATAAGAATGTATTAAAAAAACACATGTTTATGTCTTTTCAGTGAGTCAGAGTGGCCTTGCTGGAGATGTTTGCCCCGATCCCGGGGTCCCAGAAAATGGCAAGAGGATGGGTTCAGCATTTCAGTACGTCCAACTCTCTCTTACACACAGCCACATACACGCACGCACAATTACTCAGTAGATATTCACACAAGTCACTGTCATGTTGCTTTCCAACAGCACAATATGTGAAAAATCCACCAATACTATTAACTTACTCTGATTTGTGTTCATTATTTTTATTGTTATACTGTTCTTGTTACGAGTCTTTCTGTTTAAACTGTGCATGAAGGTACCTCATGGGGCCTAAAAAAATCTGTTTTAAACAATTAGAGCTTTGTTACACCGGTAACTGCAAGTATGGCATTTTACTTCTTGACTTTCTACAAATTAGCATGCCTCTGTCTGATAAATGTTCTAATCCGACTCATGGATTAAGCTCATTGCATCATTAAACATTTAGTACTCCTGAAACCTCAATTTTGGCCTGAAATATGTTTTAAAAGAGAGGTCCATGCACTACTGTATTCAGTCCTGCCGTATGACTCTGTGCTCTTCCTCTTAACGTGACATCAGTAAAATGTGGTCGCGTCATAGACATAGCTCCACTGCACCGACTTGCAATGCACATTTATATTTCTCATCAGCATATCTCAGCATTTTGAAATAACATTACTAAAAACATTGGGAGGGTCTAAGTTAATACACATTAGAGTATAAATGACTCAAACATTCATGAAACTTTATAAAAGTAGGGTTTGCAGATGGTAAATTAACTAGGCGAACCCTGACCCTATGAATTCTCAATCGTGTGTAGTTTGAATCGTGTGTCATTGTATAATAACTGCACATGAAATAATTTGCAGTGCATTTGACTGTCGCCTAATCAGTGGAAAGCTAGACCTTTCAAACTTAGCTTGCCATGTTTTTTATCATTTCCTGACTCACTTTTCAGCCCTTTTAGATAATCATGCCTTTAAAATCAAAAATTCTCTCCCCCAATCAGTAGCCGTGCCATTACGCATGCAGGAACACCCAACGCATGATGGAATGATGATGGCTGGTCTCAAAGTATAGTCTGATGAGACATAAAAATCAAAGTAATGCTTTCAGAGATAAAAACGTATCTTTTACAAGCATGGATCATCACTGTCGATACACTCGCTATGGAAAAAGAGATCATGAAAGTGTGCAAATCGTGGAATTATCACTCTGAGATATTGTTTGTTGTTGGCAGCACTGAGGGAAAGTTAGAAAAGCAGCAAGGTAAATGACCCAAGTTGACAGCAAGCAGCGGTCTTTGGAGGTGCACAGTGAATATTTGCCCAGGTTTTGAGCTGTGTGTGTGCGCGTTTGTACCAGCGGGAAGGACACATTAAAGTTTCCAGACGAGGCTCCACACCGCGTTCCATTCACGAGATTCAATGCCCCGCTAACGTCAAAGACAGCAGGGTGCAAGGTTGACTGTGAAACAAAAAGAAATATATGAGCGACTCCGGAGTGGTGCACAAAGGCTGGTTGAGCAGAGAATCTCACTAATAATAATTGAATCACCCGGCGTGACATGTATCATCAGCTCACCATCCCTCACCTGCAGCCGACGTGACCGCTCCGTGATTAGCTTGTGTCTTCAAATATTTCATGGGCAGTGCACAAAAGAAAAATACCAGAAACGTGTCTCTTTTCTCCCTGCATTAAGCATTGATTGTAGTTTGTGATTGTACTCATGGTAATAAAGACATATTGTGTTCTTAACCTAATCATAGTTTTAAAGCGTCATTCAGTAGACAATTAGCTGCTGCGTGATGAAGGATCTAGTACAATTTGTATTAATCAACTGTGAAGGTCCAAATTAATAGTTCATTTGCAAAAACAGTGCCATTAGAATATAAAAAATAACACTTAAATGCTTACAATTTTCCGGATCTATTTTAGTGCCATACATATAAAGTTGTAGTTCTTCTTTGGAAAATTTTCTCAAATGTACTGCCAATAGCAAAACATGTTGAAGATTGTAGCTCAAGGAATAAAACTTGTTGGCATATTTTCGTTATTGGAGATAACGCTTCCAATATATATATTCAGTTCAACGTTGTGATTACGGAATGAGATGAGTGCGCTTTGACAGAAAAGTAAAAGTATTTCTATTTTATCTTTACCGTTTTTAACAAGAGCCACATACATGGATGGAATTTTAGCTATCCTGCTAATACGAGCATATTTATGTTGAAGCTATTTGCTGACACATTTTGGTATGTATTGTCTTTTGTCAAATAAATAAATAATTCAAACATCTTAGTGCAATGAACATAAATTCTCCTTCCTTTTTATTTTCAATTTTACTGCAGTATTGTTGAAGATTGTCACTGGAGCAATACATGTATTTTTTTACTGATATATCTCTTTATGCAAATGAATTATTCGGCCTGGTTGTCGATTATTGATTATTGACTGAAAGCCTCAAGTTATAGATTCAACAATGTCCAACTCATTCAATCCTTATGCTAACTCCACTACACTCTAGTGGTCCTGTCATTATCCCTCCTATAGTTTCTCAAAATACACATAAATTGTGATATGCCATGAGGCCTGTAAGTGTTAGAGCTATTCTTACGCACTTTGACAAGCTTCTCTGTTTTGTCTCCTTAACTAGAGTGGGCTCCAGCGTCCAGTTCAGCTGCGATGACAGCTACGTGCTCCAAGGGTCTAAAAGTATCACCTGCCAGAGAGTCACGGACACGCTGGCAGCATGGAGTGACCACCGGCCCATCTGTAGGAGTAAGTTTCAGCCAAAGTTCTCCCACAGCTTTCCCAAAATCCCACTCTCTCCATATACCTTTGTATCTTTTTCCTCTGCATTCTAACATCTTGAAGCTGTTCACACTTAAGCAATTTTAGAATAGTATTTGTTATTATGAATTTCTGAAACCTGTAAAATAAGAAAGGATTTGTGTATGCAGATACCTTTCACTTCATTACCGTCAATTGTAACACTACAAGAGATTTTAGTAATATAATAGTTTTTTTTTTTCTTGTTTTTTTTTTTTAGAAAACTTGTTACTAGAAAGTCTAGAGACAACAGTGTCAATAGCGCTCTCAGACCACATGTGGACTGTCAGGGCCGGGTGGGTCCTGGAGTGCCACACTCACACATGAGTGTCCAGAGCCTCTGTGCCCAGAGCTTGACAGCTCAGCTCTCTGACATGTACTGTAGGGAGCCCGTCACATCACATTACACTGTGCATATGTGGCTACTGTCCACTGCCCGTCAGTAAAACACACAGGACAGCCATCCTAACATGACATGACGTAGACCATTTTCAAGTTTATTACAAGAACTACAATACGATTAGTTCAATGTAGACCTGTTCATGAGGTTATATTATCTTTGTTCATCGTCAACTGCATTGACCTTCAACTGCAGCAAAATAAATGGTTTTTATAGACTTCTGAATTTTAATATTCAACTCTTTTAAATACTAAACCTGATGAGCCAGGAAGACATAACACTGTTTTGGGAAATTATATTTATTATCTTGAATAAATAATATTTTGTTTTATGTATTATATTTATCATATTGAAGGTATTCTTATTCAGCTTATAGAAATTTTGAGATAAACATGCTAATGCTAATAAGATATATTTTTGGCTTTATTTATTTTATTTTATTTACTCAAAAAGCACCAACAATATGACCCCCTAACCATCTCCAAATGGAAGACTTGTGGTACATAAATAGCACAGATTAGAGAAGAGATTCCGATATTTCCCCCTGGAGTTGCTGTGTAATAACAGAAGTGCAGCCAAAGTGCATCCAGCACAAACATTCATCAGGTAGACAGAAGAAAGACTCATTATGAATGCTAAATTTGCCTTTAGACTTCGGAGAGTTAGTAACATGGAAGGCAATCTTTGGTGATTGAGTGTGCACACATCTGTTTTTACTTCATTACATTTCTGTGGCATGCCATGCTCATTTATCAGAATACAGAATGATATAATGGTTTTGTGGTTTGAAAGAAATACCTCCAAAAAATTCTCATTCTAGACTTTGATGGACAGAGTTTAAAAATAGTTTCCCAAGGTCCCTGTTCTTTAGTCGACCTGATCACTATCCAGGGATTGAACCCACTGAGCCCTCCTCATTCTCTGCCGAGACTTAGTCCTAATTATAAGCTGCTCTCTGGAATGAATTGCCATCAATGTTCTACTTAGTGTTTGTGTACGTGTGTGTGCGTGTGCGTGGGTGCATGTGTGTGTGTGTGTGTGTGTCTGTGTGTATACGTATGTGTGTGTGTGGTGACTGTGTCTCGCCTCTCTCTTCTAATTAACAGGCCGATCAGTCATGTGAGCTCCTGCTTTAGCCCTCTTCCTCTTCTGGTAGTTTCAGGTCCTCTATTTCGCCCTTTATTCCTCTGTTCCTAAAACCAATATAATCTTCACCATTCAAATTGACTGAACCCTTTGTGTGTGTTGTAGTCAATATGGCTCATCTAAAGTTTGGCTTAACTTCGACTTCCACAGTACTTTTTTGGTAGTGTCTCTGTTCAGAATACTGAATCCCTGCTTTAAAATGAATTTGGATATGTATTTTGTTACATGTTATAGTCAGAGTACAATAATCTGAATATGTTTACACCAATTTGCATAATGTTGCTATGCAAATGAGTTATACTAGAATAACAGGTAGACATTTTTATTTTTCATATCTGAAAATGTAGGTGCATGCCAGTGAGACAAATCTTCCTTGCTTAATAGAAGGTGTAGTTTGTTGTGCATTCCACATTAATCTTGTTTTTAATGAATTATATATGCTTAACAATATCACGGTGTGAAGAAAAAATGCACAATACGAGTACATAACAGAAAGACAGAATAAAATTAGGCATTCGAGTCATTGTATAAGTAAAATAGACTGAGAGTTTCCTTGAGAAATTCTGTGGAAAATGGTGTAGCAGCGGCATCAGTGCAGCATATGTACCAGAAAAATTGGATTTAAATGGCAAGCAGCATTTTTTGCCTTCAAATAACCTTTTCAGCATTATAAATATCACACTTCAAAAACAGGTATCCATTCTGACAACCTCCTTCTGGCATAGTGTGGTTTTGGTTTACAGTATTCAGTCTTATGTTGTTTTAGGTGGAAGTGAGGTATGTCTGATGGCTGCTCTGCTTTGTCAGAAGTGCTGTTTATTAATTATCAGTACGCTTTGTGCCTAATGTGATTAGCATAAAGTATTTGCTTTAATGTCACCAGATGTTTTTGTTTAGGGATAAGTCGCTCTGCTAGAAGCTGAAGATGACACTTGCTTACTAATGGTCCAGCTAATTCACTATTGACAATTCACAGTTTTGTTTTTGTTTACCTTAATCGTAGCCTGTGGTTTAGAGTAATTGCATTTTTTCTTTATCCGTTCTCCTTCGGCAAGACTTTAAACAAAACTATTTTCTGTCATTGGGTTTGAGTTGAATTATGCTTTGATCTTTTTATTTTTCTATAATGAATAATATACTCAGATACTGAATATTTATTTTCTGTGTTGTAGCACGAACATGTGGAAGTAATCTACGGGGGCCTAGAGGGATCATCACTTCTCCGAACTACCCTGTTCAGTATGAGAATAATGCACATTGTGTGTGGGTCATCACAGCAATGGATCCTGGCAAGGTAAGAACTTATGCAATTATGCATACATACTTCATATATAAATACTTTAAAATACAAATATACTTTTGCCGACTGGTTCTGGAGTATTCTGAATTTTTATTTTTATTTTTCAGCTCATTTTTTTATTGTGATTAGATTCACAAACTACAAAATAAGTGATTCCATCTATCCATCTTCTTCCCCTTAATCCATTTCTGGGTCGAGGGGGTGGCAGTCAGAGCTGCACCCAGTACACTTAGCACCAGCGCCTCACTGATCCTCCACAGGAGGATGACTGCTCTGTCAGTGATGACACAGCCTTGATTTTTCAGCAGGGGCTTCAGGCAAAGTGGGGGTAAGTGTCTTGCCCAAGGACACAACGACAGCAGAGATCAGTGGGAGTCGGGGAAGAAGGTTCCGTGGTCTCGAACCCACAACCTTCAGGCTCGAAGGTCAATGCTCTACCAACTGAGCCATTGTCACCCAAAAAAATAAGTGATTAAGTAATCCTAATTTCTAGATCTTATTTCACAGACCAGGAAATACAATGCACTTGTCCTTTCTACTGGCCAACATCATCAATATTCTCTAATCCTGTCTAACCTTGCCTGCAAGCTGAATTCTCGCGGTATTTGTGAGTTCACAAACACTCGAGAATACATCTTGCCCCGCTCCCGCCAACCCTTTTTGAGTAGAACATCTAGGTGTTCAAGCCAATCACGCGCCAATCTGGGGGTTTAGGACGGGATATCCGGGTTTGACGAAAGCAAGAAGTGCCGGGCCGAAGCAACCGAAGCTACGCAGGAGGACGGACGCGTAGCTGAGGCTATCAAGTCAGTTTTAGCAGAATCTCCAATTTCTTTTTTGAAAGATGAACAGCGAGAGGCGCTTTGTGCACGCCGATGACGACATAATGTTACCGGGATTGGTTTAAGTCAAACCTTGGTAGGCGGGCACACAGCGTCACTTCGCCCAATCAGCTTGAAGTATTCTGCTGCTTATCCCTCCTTTCCCCGAAAGGATTCTCCTGCAGAAGTCCCAGATTAAGATTGTGGAGAACGCATTAGAGTTCTACACAATCATCAATCTGGCTCTTGTCAGGTTAAATCCTGTCACCATTTCTAGACACTTTTATGAGAAAATAGTTTGACCGTAGTTGAGATGACATAGTTGACATAGTTGAGAATGTACTTTATTATGTACCATATGAATTAATACATACAATACTTACAAAAATCCTTGATATACTTGAAATACTTGATGGTCTCCAGATACTCGTGTGATCATGAATAATTCATACCTGCGACTGCTGCTACCATGTCTCAAGTCTCTATCAGCACTTTCTTTGTGCTCTTATCCGCATCTCATGTCCTGTCACATTTCCTCTGCTTTACGTCTGTACTCCTCGATCTCCATTCCACCAACTCACTCTCCCTGAAAACACCTCTGTCTGGTCTTCTCTCATTGTGCCTTCACTTTACACTAGATTTGTTAAAAATGCTGAGTTGTGCTCACTAAGAGCACAGACGGGCACAGAGGAGAACAGCAATACAGCCAGGAGCCTTTCACAAAACTCTGGATAAAAGATTCTGCTTAGGTAACCTGCATTTCAATCTGAATTTGAGGGCAAGAGCATGAGGGAGAAAACAGAGGTGGCACTAGCCTGCAACACAATGCAAAAATATAGAAACTTGTTTAAAAATCAATCATGTGTTTGATCATTTAAAAATCAAATGTAAAAATATTTTAATAATTCTCATACTTGAATATGCATAATGCAACTTTTTGTGTGAAAAAAAAAAAAAAAACCTTAAGGGACCTAAGCACTACAAGCATAGGTCCCAGCCAATTGTGTCTCTTTTTTGATTGTATCAGACCTTGGAAAATTGGATTTCTTCAGTATAAAATTGTTTACAGTTTAAACAAAGTGGTGTATGGCTCCCACATAAATACGTTTTAGGTACTGTACAAGACTTTTTTTCCCCTCTTAGCTAAAAAGGTTCCCGACCTCTGGTGTAGTGTCTCAATACAATACAATACAATTTGTAGAATGTTAAAGTGTCCTGGATCATCACCACAGTCCTTCTAGTTGGACACTAACTGCCCAACAGACCCTCCTGCATCGGCAAGGAAAAACTCACAAAAAGTGAGAAACCTCGGGGAGACCCACATTGAGAGAGGGATCCGCTCCACACGGACGGACGGGCGATAGATCCAGGACCTAAGCTATAGGACCAGGGCCACGCAGCGGCCGCAGAACGTGGGCAGGTCCGGTGCAGGACTGAAGCAGCTCCCAGGCGGGTCGGGCAGGGCAGCCTGCAGGTGCAGATGGAGGAGGCCAGGTTCAGAGGTCCCGTCGTCTCAGTGGGCATCATGGTGTCTTAACTTTTGATCAGGGTTGTGTCCACAGAGCTCAGGATCAATTGTTTTGTAGGTTTACTGGGTCCTCGGCAGAGAAAACCTTTCAAACATTTGATCCTATAGCCTCCTAGAGCCCACTGTGATGGAAAGTAAAGGCAGCATGCTGCCAAACACTCATACAAATATGTCATGCAATTTTCCTGCCGGGGTCTAATTGAAGCTTGATTAACTTTTATTTTCAAATGCAATGAATATATTTGTACCTAATCAAGGCGTCTGCTTTGGTTAGTCTATTCATGCAATCTCGACAATACAAATATTCTAAAGCATAAAGCATTCTTTCTACATAATGACAAAACTAAGGATCATGGCTAACCACAATTAATTTATCAAAATAGAATAATGTCTAATCATATTTAACCGTTTTAAAATTGTTTCGCCATCTGCAAAGTGAAAAATGGAGTAAACATTAAGGAGTAAAGTAAAGTTGTGCAGTACCTAAACAAAAGTACAGTATTTAGATTCTCTTTATATTTATGGGGAGAAATGCAGGACTCAGATAAATCAATCAATCAGTTCGATTGATTTACATTTGTTAATAGTTTATATACTTCTTTGCAGGCATAAAAATGACATGTTATCATAACAACCCAAGTTAACCCAGGTCTCACTCAATAATCCTTTGAAGCCAATATTGCGTTTTCGGTCCTGTCCCGTGGATACAAAAGCTGAGCTCTCTTCAACCATTTTACTCTTTTGTTTCTTTGATTGACCATTATTCCAGATGACTCCTTTGATCAATACCATGCCATACAAAATTGAAATAGAGGCATGTAATTTCACTGAAGTCAGTTCACCTTTTGTTATTTTTTACTCACAAGTTTAAATATCCAGGGATTCATGTTTTGGTTGTTTTGTAGGAGTGTCTGCCTGTCATTTCAGTTTCTGAACAAAGACAAGCAAATCAATAGAGTTTGTATTGGCCTGACAGCTTGTTGGGAAAAATGCGGTGGGTCTGTCTATCACCTTAATTGCTAACTTGAAGAGATTGAGAAAACTATGTTGTAGAGTATATTTTCTCAATTTTGCTAGCCCATCCATTCATCAGTATCAAGGCAGAGGATTTTGTTGAGACTGAGACATGGCTTACTGCACATACCAACCAGCAGCTTGAAACGCATCACCACACATCTCCATTAGATCTGTAATCATCTCTCTTTTTCATACACTGTGAATACATATTAATACGGTGGAGTGTACATCATGCTATAATGTTATAAGTGTCATTTAGCAGGTGGCGAAATACATTGTGTTGAGCATACATTATAGATTATCACCAGGCCACATGAACCTTTTGTTATAATTTAACAGCTTTGTTTGAACCAAAGTATCCAAATTCAAGGAAAGCTGACCACATTCCAACCCAATTTTTTATCTCCACAAGCATTTATTTGTTGTAGAATTTGTGCCTACTGTGGTGTTAGCTGAATTGTATTACAGCTATCATCCAATTGCAGCTCCAAAATGTCTGAGCCACAGCAGTGACGACTCAACTGTAGTGCAGAGGACCACAACAAGGCCACCAACTGATAATGAGATTATTTACTTTGTCTGTTCATGGGTTAAAAAGCCAACAAAATATCTAGTGTAGTAAATACTGTATATGGTAAAACAGGAAGAATGGATATAAACTTTGGTCAGTTTTTGTTGTTGCAACATGGTTAATAGTTACAATGGGAAAGGATAATCAATTGAACATAATATTATGACGACTATCACGTCTTCAGCGATCAATTAATTTTTTTTGTTATATACAGAAAGTATGGGTAAAGTGTCTTGCCTAAGGACACAACTACAGTCTACTTATGAGCTGCCCCACTGTGATACCTGCAATTTTTTGCAGCCTTCCATCTTCGTATAATAACCAGCCCATGCCCTTAGCTTCGGAGATCTGACGGGATCAGCCTTTCACATTCAGATTCAAGATTCAAGATTGAGGGTAAACTACAGAGTTGTACCGATCTGTCAATATCGTGCTCCAATAATCTCCTTTTCCCCCGAAATAATTTGAAAATTTGAAGTCAATACCTCAGTTCTGTGGCCATACCTGTAGGGCAAATGCAGATCTCTGATGCTAAGCAGTGCAGGGCTTGGTTAGTACTGTGACGGGAGACCTCTGGAAATACCAGGTGCCACAGTGGGGCGGCTGCGGCTATAAAGTGCCAAACTGCCGTTGTGTCCTTCGGCAAGACACTTTATCCACATTGCCTAACATGAGTCTGGTGTGTGTCGGTGAAACGGTGAAACAAGGCAACCCATATGCGCCGATGGCACATATTAGACCGTCGTGAGACAGGTTAGTTTTTCCCTACTGATGATGTGTTGTTGCAATAGTAAAACATCTGGATTTTCTCATTTCTGCCAGTTTGCCTCAGGGCAGCTATGGCTATGACTGTTAATGGAGTGAAAGAATAACATAATGCGTTTTTAGTGTCCAAAAATGAGTTATACAGTATATAACCGATGCATTATTAATATTATTATTATTATTATGATTTGTTTACTTGGGTTAGTTTAAGTTAGTTTACTTAATTTGAAGTGGTCTTGAACTCTGGTCATTATATTTAATTGCAGGTTAGGTGCAAGTCCCTGTCTGTCACATGGTCAAAGCCTCTGAGACCTACACTAGCCCTTAACACCATGAAAAACAATTACCATGTAAAGGCAATAAGTCAGTGCTTTGGCCCTCACACTAATGAAGCAGCTAACTCCTGTCCTCACTTGTTTTATTAAAGACTCTGGGAATAGACTAAGGCAGCACCCAGTCACTTTATATTACATGGCAGACTCATATGTGTGCAGACTCATCCGTTTGTGTGCAGGGGCAGAAATAATCTACTCTGTAAAATAAATATTGACTACAAAATATATTATACTGTATCTATCTACTGTATATATCTATATATATATATATATATATATATATATATATACTGTATATATACTCTACATATATGGGCCTTTAGTTACCCCCCAGGTGAAACTAACTTGGTGCAGGGTCCTGTAACCTGCCTTACCTTTAGGGCAGATCTGAGATATAGCTGCAGAAATTATATTTCTCAGTAGGGTAGATAAGCTGTGCTGCCCCTTTAGAAAAGCATAAAGCACATACTATTTCCCATCAAAAGTTTTTGGTTCAAAGTTTTCAGAGGTTAAAGGTGTATTGGTAAACAACAAGCCCAACAGTATACTGTCCAGTGAACATCTTTGAACACTTTGGGTCTCGAGGAGAGGCTCGTGGTCATCGATAATAAATCTACAAAGAGGTTTTTTGATTGTCATCAAGTAAAAAGTACAGTTTTTTCCTTAACAATACACAACATTACACACTTACACTACATACAGAGCAGTCGTTATGACTTGCCCTGAGGCTCTGGCTCTACTGTATGTCTGTTATCAATGTGCCCGTTTGATTCATCTTTGTTTTATCTGTTTCATAGCAGTGTTGTGTTTCAGCCCATAATACACTGTATGAACCACCTTTAACCATTTGGAGATGTTTGTTTGAAAGCCAAAACTTCTTATCTATTTGCTGAATGGACCTAAAATGGCATCATGGCTCTGCGCCAACTTCTCATTTTATTGCACAATTTGAGCTGCAGAATTGAAGAACATTGTACTCGCTGGACAGCTGGTCTGCCCTGCACTAACAGGGTCACCTCCGAATCGCTCTTTTACTGATTATTGGACCCAAAGACATTTCATTTTAGCTCTTTGATGTATAAGAACACATATCACTCCTAGTCAAGTGATACAACTAACACAAATACACTTTTTTGACCCTGTCAATGACCAATTTGTGGCCTCTCTGTAATTTCTCGTCTATAAAGCTCCACCATTGTAAGGCAATTGTGTAACTGTTTTATCATTGAACAACACTGAAAAAAATGCAAATAAAATTCCAATGGACAAGACAGAACAGTCTTTTTATTGTATTTGTTTTATAATATTTAATTATTTACTTAATAATGCAACACTGGTAATTTATTTTACCGGTAAAATAGCATCTTCTGATTTTCTCCAGGATGTTTAATGTCTTGTATATTTCTGATTTTAGCTTGTTGAAATGGTTTTACACCTTTATCACCTGGGGTTAGCTTTTTCATCATTATTGTGTGTTTTGCTGAGTGATGGATCCCCTTCTGCTAAATTTGGTGTTCCTGTCTCATCTCAGACCTTGAACGTGCCATGGGGTCATTGATTGAGACTCTCCTCATCTCTGCCAGGATGCCTGAACACAGCACAGATTTATCATGGTCCACACAGACAGGGAAGAGATTTAACGCCTATAAATAATGGACGAGCACCAAATAATATTAGGTTGATTCTTATGCCACATACAGTACTCTTAATGACCCTTCTAGAGGTATAGAACTCAATTTGAATAGTTTCATTCATTTTCAGGATAAAAGTATCTAAAATTTAGCTGCACAATACAGATATAACTATGGTGACCCAGTGGACAGATTTTCCTATGGGGACAGTATACCGTAAACCATAACTGTCTAGTGTATAAATATAGAAAGGAGAAAGCTAAGTGGAACAACAGAGAAGTTATTATTAGGAATATAATTACAAAAACATAAGCATTTATTATTATGTTGCTGGGAAAATCTTGATCAAATGATTTCATAAATATTTGTGTTTATTTTTTTTAGGTGATTAAGCTGTCCTTTGAAGAATTTGACCTGGAAAGAGGATATGATACTCTGACGCTGGGAGATGGAGGGAAGATCGGGGACACGCGGCGAGTGCTCTATGTGTAAGTAGCACACTTTATGCAGACTGTGAAGGACTTCCCTTCACTTCTGTTTACATGGTACTAAGCATTTAGAAATGACAGTTTATATGAAATCCAATCCAGCTTGTTTATTTAAACTGTCAGCAATCAATATTCATGCCATAGTCATTGAGCTACCGTCTTTGTAAAATACATACATGTATGGTTCTACATGTTACATGCATTATATTATGAAAACACAAACTGAGGACAAACTTTGTTCTTGTTCCTCTTGCCCGAGCTGCAAGAACAACATTTGTTAAGTCTTTAACCTTTGATTCAGACACATCAAAATAGAGACAAACAGCACACAAACATATTACAATATTCTGCATAGACAGATCCTCCAATGCCTCCATAGTTCAGATACGGGCCTAACACTGCTCTGCGCATGAGATGTAAACACATTCACAATCACATTTAACGAGTCTTCAGGGCATTTCTAATCACAGCTTCAGTGTGGCTACATTATTGTGAATGAACATGGGTTTCAGCGAGGGACTTTGAGTGGATGTCCGAGTGCATCATTGAATGCAACTTGCAGATTCCTACTGTAAACTTGTTCTTACTCCACCTGCACCACAGTGTATCTCTTATAACAATAAATTTGGCCTTAAGTCTAAAAACAAAATGTCACACGTAGCAATCCATGGACGTTCCATTTTGACTGGCCATCGTAAAAAGCTGAATTTCTAATTCTGTTCCCGGTTTAATCTTTACACACACAGACATACAATCAAGTGACAGCTACTTATGTTTTGTTATATCCGTAACAAAACGTGATGTTTTTCCACAGGCTCACAGGCGCCAGCGTCCCAGACCTCATTGTTAGCTTGTCCAATCAGATGTGGCTTCATTTACAATCAGACGATACAATTGGATCGGCAGGATTCAAGGCTGTTTATGAAGGTACGCTGTCCCTTGCTCACTCAGAAAATAAATGCTATTTTCGTATGATGTAGCAAAGATGTCAGGAGGATGGATTTTCTTGAATGAAAACATGCCTCGTTGTCTCAAAAATGTGCTGAGATCTTGTTATATACAGAAGCAATATAAGTGAGCAGCTTGATTTATTTTGACAGGTTTTTGCCCAAGAAAATCTGTAGATCAGGTCAGTCTTTTGAAAAACACATTTAAACTCAGTTTGAGCCAATAGCAACTGTTGATAGACCACTTTTACTTCACTAAATAAATTAGCACATGAGTGTCAGTATTCCAGTTTTGTTTTTACATGTCTATATATGTCTAAGTATTGTGTATGATTGTATGCTGTACTTTTATTAGTTACTTTAAGTGACCCTCAGCTGATGCCTGTAAATCAAACCCACTTGAGACAGCGAGAGAGGGAAGGTGATGTGATTACTCGGAGACAATGAAAAATGGACAAAGCACGAGTGGAGATGACAGCTTGAGTGTGGACACGAAATTGTCTGCCAGAGAGCGAAGGGTGTGAAGGTTAGGTTCTTGGTTCAGCTCATGCTTTGGTTAGATGCGGTGATGCTGCTGACGCTGTTTTCTTGGGTCACGGACTCTCTGCTGACATGACTTCTGTGTCTCTTCCACCGTGGAATGCTTAGTAATGTTGTTTTATTCAAAATGCACAACACAATGTTCTGCTGTAGTTGAACGTAACATCTGCAGTCTAAAAGGGCCTCACTGTGTATAACAAGTTCAACCATTTCACAGACTACGTTTTAGGATGCACTTTCGTTGTTCTAGATAATGGTATGTTGTTTTCTTTGCCTTGACATCAGGCTGTCCCTTTTGTTTTTTGTTGTAGCGTCTGTTCATTCCTTGACGCCCATGGACATCAAATTCATTCAGACGATGTCCATTGGTCTGTTGAAGTAGACAGAAAATAGCTTTTAAAATGACTGGAGACAAACATGAACAAGACAATGCTCTGTTTAACTTGTACACTTAGAAGGAGCTCGCCGAAGCAGCCGGTGTGCCTGTGCATGTGTGAGTGCCCTCGAGAACATATTTGAGCGTCTGTCACTGCGGATATCGTCACCTTCTCCTCCACTTTGATCAGTGTTACCCCCTGAGAGAGTTGTCAGGCTCGCAGGAAGAACGTGGCACATGTGGGCACTGCACTTTAAATGCTGTCAGGGTACATGTGTTTAGTGCATGCAAAGTCATGGGAGTGGGTGGTGTGTAATATGGGGCTGTTCACAGACTGCTGATTGGATAGTCATGTTATTTTTGTTAACCAATGTCTTAAGGTTGTATAGTATAATTAGGCTATTCCACTTTTTTGCAATACGTAATTCTTTTGATAATATGTGCTACTGTACATGGGAAATCCTGTTTTCTTAATATGTACTTGAAACATGATAAAAACTACTTGATGAATGTAATGGTTTACATTTGATTCAGTTTAGTTTATTTCAAAGGGGAAATAGGGGCTGAGTTGGTAGAGGGTGGGTTCGAGCCCACCGCGAGACACTTAACCCCACTTTGCCTGAAGCCCCCGCTGGAAGATCAAGGCTCCTGTGGACTCACCACCTGCAGGAGGATCAGTGAGGGGCTGGTGCTCTGTGTACTGGGTGCAGCTCTGACTGCCACCCCCCTGACCCAGAATGGATTAAGGGGAGGAAAATGGATGGAACCCACGACCTTCCAACCCAAAGGCCAATGCTCTACCAACTGAGCTACTGTCGCCGCCTTAGGACAGACTCCAACTGCTCCCACTGTCTGCTGTTGTTGTGTCCTTGGGCAAGACACTTAACCCCACATTGCCTGAAGCTCCCGGGGGAAACTCCAAGGCTGTGGCACCACTGACGTAGCAGCCATCTTCCTGTGGACTCATCACCTGCGGAGGATCAGTGAGGGACTAGTGCTATGAGCATTGGGTGGCAGCTCTCCTTGTCACCGCCCTGACCGAAGAATGGACAAATGAAGGGGAAGAAAATGAATGAATGAATGAAAATGGATGGATGATTAAAAATGACTTTAAAGGCCTTATGCCGGGGTTTTTTTTTTTAATCAAAATTGCATGACAATGTCGATCTGAAAGAGATTCCGGCAAAAAAAATCCTATATTTTATAAAAAGATTTTATAAAAGAGATCGTGTTTACATGAATTTAAGTTGTCTATGCTCTAACCTGTGTGTGACGTCACAGCGGGTAACGCCCATGCATTGAAAACCATGGATCTATGCCACAGGAATGCCTTTTCTCTCTTCTCTCCACTGATGCCCAACACAATACTGCCCTCTACAGGTGACAATTGCTCACTACACATAAATTGCCGTTTTGAGAGTGAAAATGTGTCTCAGGTGGATTTAGAACCCCAGTATCTGGATTAACAGTCCATCGACACAACCACTGGACTATCTCAGTGCAGACAAACTGTCACAATCTAGTACTAATCTCACACTCCCTGTACACGGCCTTGTCATCTTGAATATCCGCGAAAAAAGAACGAATACCAAATTGTAAACAACTTACAGCGTTGAAACGTACCCACTCTGACTTCACCAAGGGCTGTGAAGTTTTTTCGTCTCTAAGGGCGTTGCTATGGGGTTATTTCGATTTGGGGGGATCAGACAAAAAAAAAACTGATTTTGAAACCTTTAGTAGTTCTCTTCTAATATAAAATGGTATTAAGACTGTATTTCTAAATAAATCAAACCCGGCATAAGGTCTTTAAGAAGCCAGAATTAACTAAGGAGGCTATTTGTCATCTGTAGTGTCCTGGCCGTGATGTTAAAAAGTCATCACTCAAAAAAACAAAAACAACAAAACAAATTACAGCTGGTCGAGGGCTTTTAGACGTACTGAGGTCTCCATTGTTTTTTTTTTTGAGAATTTTGTTTGAAGGTCTACTTCTGTATATGTGGTTAATTTTCCATATCTATATTTGAAGTTATGGAGGTAATTCAGTCACTAATATGTTTTACTTGACGTGAGCTTGGATATTCTTTTCTAGGAGATATTTTCTGAACTAAAAGAGTTCAGTTATGTTTGCATTGAATCAAAAACTGGACCATAGGGTTTGGTTTTTGCAGACTTATGTGTCAAATGTTTATAGTTTATTGGAAGGGAAAATTTATTACTTGTTATTTTAGTTCAATGTTTAACATAAAATTACTGTAAGGTGATTGTCTTCTTGAGAAAATTAGCTTGAAATTAAAGCTTAACATAGTCACATCATGCTATCAAGTAATTTAAAGTGATAGTCTGTAACTCTAAATGAATTGCAAATTTTAGGAAATGTGTTAAATTGACTTCCTGGCCTTAAATGTTGATATAAAATAAGTCATTTTATTAATTCTAATATTACGGGCAAGTCCCACCTTCCCTTCTCTTAGCTATAGCTCAGAATCCACAATGCCGTCGAGGTTAACCAATCAAGTCATGCCAAGGGCTGTCAATCATCAGCGCTGATGCTCGCAGCTGCGCGCATGCTCAGTCATTAGTTTTTGTGGAACCTCCAAATCAAGCTTCTATTAGGCTCTGGAACTTCATGAAAATTGAACAAAGAATTCTGAACATCCGCCCTGAGTTACTCCTTTATATACTGAACCTATATCCATAATCAAATCCTCTGCAGATGTGTCCTATAATGTTTAATTCATGATAATAGCTTCGTCCGGGTTTTTTTTTAAACATAAAAACATTATTTTTTTCATTAAAACGTTAAAAAATAATTCTGAAAACCTCCGTGCATGTGTATTAATAATGTATATGTATAATGTGTTCTCTGATTAACATTTAAAAGTGTTACGGAAACGTAGGCGTAGACCAATCAGAAAGGAAGGGGGAGGAGCTTGCGTCGGTTTTTTTTCAAATCAAGTACCTCTCTCTCTCTTTTTCTGATAAACTCCAGACAATCACTTTAATAGTAAGGATCTTGTTCTTGTTCTAAATGCTGCCAACTTGATTATTTTTGTTTTATTTTTTTTGCAGTGTTTGAACACATATTACTGCTCTCCAACCAAAATACATACATTTAGAGATGGTTAAAAAGACTATTGTTATGGTTAGGAAGTTACATATTTAGAAATAAGTTGGTTTTGTGTCATTTTATAGTGCCCTCTAGTGACGTGCGCTATGTGTGCAATGTGACAGTTGAGAACATTACACTGTCCTGTATGGCAGAAGAGCAGGGCTGTAAGTTTTGGTTTTGAAGATTGGCATGTCTATATTTTATTATTCTGTATGTACTGATATCAACCTTGATTCGTTTATTGTGGGAAATATGAGTTTTGAGTGTAACTGAAAAAAACGTTAGCATGTTTTTTTTCTTTTTGTTTTTTTTCTTTACAAATTATTTTTTTAAATTGGTATCAATACTTAATATATGGCTACATTACGCATCTCCATTCCATTTATCATGAAATAAAGTGTTTTTTTTTTTTTTATTTATGCCAGAAATGGGCATATTGTATATTTCTGACCAATATATTGATAATCGTCATATCGTGATAATATCGTTATCGTGAGCTTTGTATCGTGTATCGTATCGTATCGTGAGGTACCCTTAGGTTCCCACCCCTAGTCACGAGGGCTAGAAGTCGCTAGGCCTCCGCCATGTTGGAGGACAGGCAAACGCTGTATGATGGTGGCGACGGCGTGCACCAGGGACCGCATAAACATGTTCAAAATTTGTGCTGTTTTTGGCTGCAGCAAAAGGAGAGACAGGGAAAATAAGTTGTGTTACCGACTGGCAGCCGTCCTTACTTCACATGACTCCAAAACAGAAGAAATCTCCAAGAAACGAGAGAGAAATGGCACAACAACAAAAAAAACAAAAAACTAACAGCCCCCAGAGCGCCTGAATATGCTCGGATCATTTCATTTCTGTTAAGTTAAATGAATTTGATGGCGGATTTAATGTTATTCCGAAACAAACAGAAGTTTAAAGATAGTACAAACTTATCACTGTCTGACTGCAACGTGGGGGATCCATAGACTGTAGCTTAGCTTGTAGCGTTAGCATAGCTGTTATATATTTGCTCCCACACCGGACCTCACCCGGTTCACAGGGTATCTGACTTGCCGAAGGCCAGCAGACGTGTGAACGACTGAGCCGTGCTCGAGGCAGGGTGCCCCGTATTAGTATTTATTAATAAAATATACGGCTCCTCACAGTAGACGCAGAAAGTTCCATTGATTTGAATGTAATTTCATTATTTCCACTGCAGTGTAGCCACACATAGATCCATGGTGTAACAATAAGCACATTAAATGTTAATCGGAGAATACATTATACATATACATTCTTAATACACATGCACGGAGGTTTTCAGAATTTTCTGTTCACGTTTTCATGACAAAAATACTGTTTTAATGCGACAATATGCGACCGCGGTAAACCCGGAAGTAAGGATTAACATTAAAAATACATTTTAGGACGCATTTGCAGAGGATCTGATTCATGGATTTAGGTTGAGTATATATTTGGGTCACTAACTGCTGAAGTTTTGAATTCTCTGTTCAGTTTTCATGTAGTTCGAGAGAGTTCTCGTTTTGAACGTCCGGTTATAAATAGCTCGCATGGCTGTTACTCGCCGAGGTTGTCCTCCAGTATGGCTGCCGTGGCTGCTAGTCACGTGACCGTAGGATCCCTCTATTGGGACAGCCCTATTTACATTCATCACATTTATTGCTTTATCACATTTAGATGAGTCATTTGAAGAACAGCTATTAATACTGTAATATTTTATGTTCATACCAACTTGTTAATGTTATTGGACAAGGCGCCGTGGCAAGAGCTCTGGTGTGTGTCGTCTTCTCTGTCTGGTGCACACCGGGGTAGTCTTGCACAGTTTTTCCAATGTGGTTTTACTGCAAATGGCAAATAAATGAATCTGAATCTGATCTGAATCTGAATCTGAATCTGAATCTGAATCTGGACAGTAACTACTGTTAGTTCAGACAGAAGAAGACACTGTAATTCACTTATTCTAATTGCTGTATTTTTGTGTGTTACAGTTTTACAGTAAATGAGTAAACAAACTCATCTGTTCGCTGTCTGTCTTAGCTAAATAGCTCTCAACATTTAGTGAGGACAGAACAACTATCAAATGTAACTATTCTATTTATCTCTTGTGGTTTTTGTTGATGACAAAGTGCAAGGATCAGTTTGCTTATATTTGACTCCACTTATTGTTTTGCTGTTTGTAATTAAAGTTAAATTACACTACAATTACCCTAATGGTAATTACCTGTGAGACAAGACTATACAACCCCGTCCTTCCCTGTGGCTGCAGTGAGCAGTCTCTTCCACATTTCTTTATTACCACTGATCTGCAATTGTCAATTTTTCCTCATTTGTCAATTTCATGACAGCTTCATCAGCAACGCTGCCAACTCTGGTCAGAGGAGGTTTGCTGTTGCATAAACTTGAATCCAATCCCCTCCCACAGGCTCCCCACTCATCTGCGTCTTTCTGAAAGTCTGTAAACAGATCTGTGTAGGCTGCTATGACTCAAGATACATTAGGGTTAACACACACACACACACACTAGCATTTGTTGCTTAATTGCATTGCTCTGTATAATAATACAGAGCAATAATTAATGAATCGTAAATTAATTGCATTTCAAACGATCGACAAAATGATGCCATATTTTTCTGTAAATGGTTTTTTGAATGGAAAGATACATGCCAACATAGTGTACATATGTACTGTATTGGTTTATTATACAAGAAATCCATATAAAATGGCATTAACATTATTAACATTCTGTCTTTCTGTTTAGACTCAGACCAAAACTATTGTTTGTTACAAATGAGGGACATTTCAAAACAGTCAGAAATGCAGAATGTGATAAAATCTGTTTGATTTGCTCACACCATTACTTTTGGGCACAACCAACATGAACTGGTAGTGGAAGGGAAAATTAGGTACACCAGCTTTAATTTAGCGAGTGCACTTCGGGAGAAGACACGGAGGAGACTGAGGCTCCGTAGTCCAGCTTCTGCGCTGTATTTTTTGTGTGCACCGGTTACGCAAAGACACACACACTACAAGCAGAGAATAGTTCTGTGCGTGGCGCCGTTCGCTGTGATCACAGCCGCTGGAGGAACCGCTGTCCAAAGTGCCCGCAGCTCAGCTCGCAGAGTTCATACAGGAAACAGCAGCAAGTGCCTTGCGGTCACGTGTGTTTTCTTTTATAACTTGGATTCCAAGAGGCCTACCTATTCTGAGTGTTATTATGGGATGCATGGGCATGCGTCAACGCACGTTAATTAATTCAAAAACATAACAAGGTAGCAAATACAATGCAAAGGAAACCAATACTTTCGTAATTTTGATACTGTAGTTGAAAGTTGCACTCAAGATGTAGGTGATACATGCACTGATGTCTACCGTTGCGTCCTTGGGTAGGAAACATAACCCCACTTTGCCTGAAAGATCAAGGCTGTGTGTCTTGGGTAGCAGCTCTGACTGCCACCCCCTCGACCCAGAAAGGGAATATGGGGAAGAAAATGAATGGATGGATGTGGCTTATCTGAGTGTCTCATGTGGGTAATGATCAGTGTGTCATGGCTGTGTCCACATGTTGCAGAGATCGAGAAGGGAGGCTGTGGTGACCCTGGGGTTCCCGCGTTTGGTCGGCGCAGCGGAGATCGCTTTCAACATGGAGATGTGCTGAGCTTTTTCTGCCAGTCAGCATTTGAGCTGGTGGGAGAGCGAAGCATCACGTGTCAACACAACAACCAGTGGTCAGGCAACAAACCCAGCTGCGTGTGTGAGTATGCTTTTACTCACATGAGTACACATGCATCAAGAGTTCCGAGCTTCCGGCTCGACCGCACGGCATTGTGGGTAGTTTTCTCAAAAAGGTGGGCATCAAATCACGCTGCCATATTGGATTACTTGTTGCGAACGTGATCTCTCTTTCTTGTTTCCAGCCCATAGATGGTGAATTTTTGAGCTATTAAAACTAATTTCAGACATTTTGAAGGTAAGGTAAAGATTTTTTCATTTAACAAAAAAGCAATGCATTTTTTTCTTGTGGTTTTAGATGTAAACACAACCGACTGTCTGTAGAGCTACATGTAGCTTATGCTACTTACGAGGATCGAAAGTGTGGAGCTTCTGAATGTAGAGAAGGCCAAATACCTGGGGCACGTAATCAGGAGTGACCTCAGTGATGACGATGACATTCAGAGGCAGTACTGTGAGCTGTATGGACAGGCTAACACAAGCACGGAGAGTTCACATGTGTACAGATAAAGTGAAAATAACTTTAAAGCCTACTGCACACCTATCTATACTGCCAGCTCACTGTTTGTTCTTATGTCCCCACTCTGAATGCTCTGATCAGAAATTTTATTTATCCTCGTAAGTAAGCTACTTGTAGCTCTATAGTCAGTCGGTTTTGTTTACAAAAAAATCACAAGAAAAAAATGCATTGCTTTTTTGTTAAATGAAAAAATCTTTACCTTACCTTCAAAATGTCTGAAATTGGTGAATTTTTTAGCTATTAAAACAATCTATGGGCTGGAAACAAGAGAGAAAGATCACGTTCGCGACAAGTAATCCAATATGGGAGCGTGATTTGATGCCCACCTTTTTGAGAAAACTACCCACAATGCCGTGCGGTCGACCCGGAAGCTCGGAACTCTTGATTCATGTATGCTTTGTCAAAAAAGTAGTAGCTCCATCAGACATGACATGTTCAAATGGACATATCACAAACTTGGCATGCACAAACGAATCCTGGCAATATGTCTGTCCCCACATTTGTTTTGGGAATTTCTTTGGTAAAATTAAAATATGTTGTTTTCCCTTGTTTAACACTAAGAAGGGCTTTCACCACTTAAGTCCCTTTCTTTATCCATGTATTTCTTCAACAAATTTTTTTGTAAAAAGGCCAAAATTAATGCATAATAAGTGTTCCTTATTTTGTATGTAGAAATAGATTCAAATCAGCTATAGCATCAGGGACTTGGGACAGGACAAAAAATTTACAATCAAACAAGTAGGAACACGTAGTAGGAAATATTTCAGTAAAAATACTTTGTGTGTTGAAATAGATTTATTTAAAGGGGGCATATGTGGTTTGCACTTTTTTATTACAAAAAATTCCAATTCCATCATTCCTTACTGTTCTTGCAAGAATCTTCTCGCCTGTGCTCCTAATCACCAATTACAAATGCAAATCACCTACTGGGGTTTAGATGAAAACTGTAACTTATATCTACATATCTTGTGTGTGGATGTAATTTAGAGTTAAAGTACAACGTCCTGTTCATTTGGAATTAACTGTACGTACATTTACCTGTTTATCTGTTTATTTTGTTATATTCTCAGCTGTCCTCTTATCCTGTACGTCTAAATACCTTACACTTTTTGTTTGTTTTATCCTCATTCATCTAGTCTCATGTTTCTTCAACTTTACCGCTCCTTCTGGAACTATCCTGTCCCCAAACTACCCTGAGGAATACGGGAACAACCTGAACTGCGTGTGGCTCATCATCTCTGAGCCAGGGAGCCGCATACACCTCCTCTTCTCTGACTTTGACCTTGAGCCGCAATTTGATTGGCTGGTTGTCAAAGATGAAGGTAATTGCACATTATATGTTTTCCCTATATGAAAATGGCCTCTCAGGAGTGTTTTTTTCGTGAATAAGTGGCCTGACTTAGCACAACAAGCAACTTTGAGAATTACTTGAATTTGTCTGTACGGTCTGCATCTGTTAGTGGAAAGCGATAAGGAGTGGTTTTGATGAATGCGAGGCTGTCAAACCGGAGGGAGAAATCGATAGATGGATAGTAAGACTTGTAAGACTTTCAATAGGCCCTGCACTAATATTCCCAAAACACGGACAAGACATCGAATTGACTCAAAGTGCATCATTGTGTTCATTAAAGGTGAGCTTTAACCAAGAGGATGTGAAAATGAGAATCTGTGAATAACTTGAAGTGGTTTTGTTCTAAAAATAATTAGATAAATATATGTAGGGCTGGGCGATATGACTGAAAACTAGAACACAATGTAAGTAATTCACAGCAATCAATAACGATATATATTAAAAAAAAAATCTTTTTTGAAACCTAAATAAATACATTTGTTGTGTTGGCTAATACACACGTGAACAGCCTTTATTTACATTGCTTTTGCCGCATGGATCAAGCCTCTGTTCCTACTGCCTCTCCCGCGCCACGCTATTCCTCACACAGACGTGCAAAATCATTGACAGCATTGAAACACAATCTATAGATCCATGGACGCTACGCATGGTGCGATGGTCGGCACTAGATCATATATGGAATCGGGACAAAACCGGAAGTAACAATCCTACTTTCGAATTAGTTTTAGACTAAAAAGTCCTGAAGTGGTGACTGGTTAAGTTTTAGGCGTCTGATTAAGATGGTTAAGGTTAGGGTTAAGGCTGGGTTGGGGTTATTTTATGGGAATGGCTGGTTAAGTTAGCTGGTTAAGAATAGGTAGTTTGTTTTATTTACTTCCGCTTCTGTCCCGATTTCGTATATGATCTAGTGCTGACCATGGTGCGAGTGTTGTTTTGCATTTCCCAGAATGTTTTGCGGTTCATGCTCGGCCGTGATAGGCTGAGATAGGCCGAGAATCCTCTGCCTACATCCCCCAGAATGCTGTGCGCTTCTGACTCGCGTTTACTTCCTGTGTTATCTTCCTGTTTTTTCTAACGGAGTGAAGTGAAACTATCGAACATTCTATTGACCCCGCTTTCTGTTGATATCGAACACGTGTCTATTGCAATATATATCGTTATCGTTTTATCGACCAGCACTAAATTTATGCAACTCATCAAATTTCAATAGTATGTCACAAACCGGCTTACTACTATTTTAGCAGTATTTCTCAGGAAGGTAAACATTGAATCTCTGGCAGAATTCAAACAGCACAAAGCAATATTATGAATGTTTGTGTAATAACATTGAATTGCATAATGCGAGTGAACACGTATAAGTATTGTTAAGATCCCAGAAGATGCATAACCTAGAATTTAAATATGACTGCTGGTCCTCTCTACGATACGATTACCATTTTTCTTCATCAAAAATCCCTGATGCTTTCATTAGTAATGCTCATGACCTTCGCATTTATGGTTTTTACTGCTTTTATTGCTCCATGTGCATTATCTGCATTTACTTCTTCTGCAAACAGCTTTAAAGCACAGGGATACAGGCCTTAAGTGATAGAAGTGTAGTGTTGTCATATAATGGATGGATGGAAGCTAAGGCTTACATCAATGCTTTTAAAAACTATAGATTAGCTAAAGTACTGTGCAGTCTGGTGCTTCATCCATCTCTGCTCTCTTTGTATGGCAAAGCAAAGATTCTTTTTAGTTGAACATTTACTGTGTATATGTATCTACAACGTACTTTCATAAGTAAAAGTATATTTTACCCTTCTGGAGTGTGCTGATTGTATAGTAATTTCCATTCTAAGTTTCAACGGTTACTTTTTGGTAGAGCAAACTTAACATGAAGCCTACAGTAAATGCTCAATCAGATGTACTGCCTAACATCTGCCTCCTAATGTGTTTACTTACCCAGTTCTGATTTATCCGCCTCCAGCACTACACCTTCTTATGTTCTCACACCTTATTACCATATTTGGGAATGGGGTTTTCTGATTCCTTATACATTATGTATGTCATAAGTCAGTGATATTGGCCTGCTGGGCTGCATGAGCCTGTCCCTTTAGGGCTTTAGTAAACCCCGGCTGAATATGTTGAAGTTGGTTGGATCATTGGAAGTACACCCTCCAGAGCAGAGTGCATCCGAAACAAAACTCCAGCCCCATTTGTTGCTGCAAATAGGCCTGTGCTGCGACAAAAATGTCTAGAAACAAAATGCATGGTTTCAGCTGTAGCGGCCAGAGGGACAATAATGACTTCAGACCTTTAATTGGGATACAGTGGCTACTTTAAGTAGAAAGATGCCATTATGCTGGACTGTTTACTAACATAGCAGATACAGTAGACTCTGGCCATGTGTTGCAATCATCCCTCAATGAATGACAGCTTGATGAAAGAATAATGGTCTCCCAGTCTCAAAACCATAATGAAGGGATTGATAAGGAATGTGTGATCATCCTCATGCTACACAAAAACTAGAATTTATATGTCAAAGTGAATGTCAGCTTTATTTCTATAGCACATTTATAAAATACTAGCTGCCGAAAGGGCCTCACATGCACAAAAGAAAGAAGACAAGAAAACAACATGAAATACTCAAGTAAAACCTTTAAAAACAGTAGAACTTAAATTGGTGTTAAAAGCCAGGGCAAACAAATGTGTCTTTGAACGTCATCTAAAAACACCAAATGAAAGAGCTAAAATGGAGTCCAGTTTAGCTATTCCACAGTTTTTATGTATGAGTTACAGCTGATAGCGGACATTTACATGCAGAGAATGAAGACCTTTTTGATTGTTCTCTCTCACAGTGTAAAAAAAGATCAAACATAATCGGTTTGTCAATATCCCATACAAAGCTGCTTGTGCTACATAATGTTGATATTAAAGTAGATGCTCCATTTTTATAAACAACATGCTCCTCTCTTCCATTTCAGGCCTGTCTGAACCAATGACATTTGGGACGTTCTCCGGCAAAGATGTCCCTTCACAAATTGCCTCACACGGACACATCATGAGACTAGAGTTTCAGTCGGACCATTCCAACACCGGGAAAGGATTCAATATCAGCTATACAAGTATGCATCAAAAAGAAATAACACTGATGATCTGTGATTACAACAGCAGCTTTTGAGATCAGTTACTTACTTCGTGTGTATATGAGAGCTGGTTTTTCCCTTGAATTCAATTAGTTTTCTTGCTTTGTGTGGCATTAGAAATATATAACTGAGACATTTGTACTGGTTAGTTACAGGGTCTTTCTTTTTAAAGAAATTGGTTCGTGTTGCTATCAGCAGCCCATACAAAAGGCAGACAACACACCTCTGAGTGAAGGTCACAAGGACAGAATTCAGCTGTAAATAATTAAATAGTGCAAGAGTGTTTTCTGACATTGTCCTGACTCAACCTTGGACCTGCTCTTCCTCAGAGGTTAGCATGGTCCCTTTGACTTATTGTGATTAATTCTTAGTGATATCCACATGTTCTGCACTGTTTCACAGCCTCCCACATGACCTTGTCTTTGCCTTCCTTTTCTAAGTGTCACTTGATAAATTAATCAACTTGAATGTCTTTAGCCCTAGACTAATTCTTTGTCTTGTTTTTGTCGCTGTGGCAAAGAAATTGTATTTGTTAACATTCTGCATACTACACATGTAGGACTTAGTTTGTGCCCTATTAATCTGACGGAGACAAATGATTAATCTATGGGCCATTGATCTTTTTTCACAGCTTCAGAGAGGAATTATGTTTTTTTTCTATAGCAGTAAACTGAAAAATAAAAACTTGGTATGATTGTAGCATCGATGTGTCTTACACTAGTCTTTCTTTGTTTTCAGTCTTATTAGTGGCTGGGCTCTTGGTCTAATGATACTTAATGACACATACGCGCAAAGATCATACTATCAAACTATCGTAATAATGCCAGGACTCAGCATGATGGATAGAGTTCTCACATTCATTATTGTCAAAGGACTGTGCCATTGGTGTCAATTTTTCTTTATTCCTTTAATTTCCTGGTTCATCTAAATCAGTAGCTGATCCCAGGAAGATCACACCTGCAGTGATTGGATGTGTCTCAGGTTAATCTCTGGAATAGGCCTAGGTAAATATGACAGGCCCAAATCCATGTAAAGCCAGTCTCATCTCCTTCTATCTCTGACAGCCATATTAATGTAAAACTACTTGTCAGCAGAGGGGTTCTCATATTGTATTAATGTAATATCTGTTTTATATTTTACATGTTAAGCTCTCTTTCATCATCTTTCTCTCTAGCATTTGGACAAAATGAGTGTCACGATCCGGGGGTTCCTGTCAATGGTCAAAGATACGGAGACCACTTCCTGCTCGGCAGCTCTGTGGCTTTTCGCTGTGACCAAGGGTTCATCAGGACACAGGTGAACTCCTCATTACTGTCTTTATAGAGTGTAACACATTTATCACTCACACACTATCTATGTATGAATTGTGCTATACAAATGAACTTGCCTTGCCTGTGTATTTCAGGGCTCAGATCAAGTGACATGTATAATCCAGGATGGAAACGTGGTCTGGTCTGCTGCGGTGCCTCGCTGTGAAGGTACATAAGATAACAGCTAATTTACACAGGAGGCGTTACAGCAACTAAAGCGTATACGCGGCATACGCTCGTTATCTGTGGTGATATTTACACTACTAGTGTTATACGCGTGTGAGACGGACGTATTGACGGGAGGTTGCGCCTAAATTAGAATGGATTTCTAATTTTGCGCCTAGCGGTCCTTGGCTCTAGATCAGCTCCACACACACACACACACACACACACAGGACTGGTATTAAACATTAGGAGGAGGTCTGGCAGGTACGTGGTGTTAACGTCTATTGTGTAAATTCCCAGTTAGATAAGATGAGATAGACTTTATTGATCTCACAATGGAGAAAGTTACAATGTACTACTTAGTAACTCCATGAACTAATTGACTTAATAATAATTTCTGAGAAAAGCCTTAAATGATTTTTGATGAATAGACAAAAAAACATTATCTTTATTGCCATTAAGTTTACAAATATGAGACTTTAGCGCAGACGTTTCAAATCAATTGGGTTTTCACTTATTAAAATGCTGTCTACGGGAAAATTGGATGGGCAACGATAATTACTGTATGTTGCATTTTTTAATTATTCTCTTAAAATCGAGCCCATGAATGCAACATGTCCAGCAAGACAATTATTAAAGGATTTCCTGGACAGGGTTATGAGGGCAACCAACATAGCAGAAGATTTATTTATGAAGATGTGCGACTTGGGATGTTGTAATTCGCCTGAAGCCCTAAAACAACCGCAGTTCTGATTTGCTGCGAGACACACAAGCAAAATGTACTTTATGAGTGTTAATTAAGATATAGTAGGTTGCAATCACACTAGTTTAACTGCTAGCTCTGAGTTGTTAGGCAGTTTTTGCAGATTAGAAATCTTTTTTGAGTCAGTCTATAATAAATAAGCACATTCTCCCACAAATTATACACGTATAATTGTCTTGGCCCTTTCTAAATGCAAAATGGTTTACTCAAGCAGAAAATTGGCACGGACAAGTTTGTGATGGTAAATGTTTATGTTTAAAAACTAGGAAGATAACGATGAGAACAAATTGAGTTGAAAGAAGCTGAGATAGTTCAAAGACATAAAGATTCTTTGTTCAGTCCGTTGATGTAAAGGTTTACAGAAACAGGCAATAATAGGAATTTGTTTTTTACAGTAAGTTCCACTTAAGTTTTTTTTTATGTAATCGTATTATTCCTCTTATCAATTAGACAGTTGTAATTGACATGATTCTTGGCAAATTAGGATAAAGTTGGTTACAATCTATTTTGACCTAGAGGAAAACTGTTTTTTCTTTGTGTACCAGCGCCGTGTGGGGGTCACCTCACAGCTCCCACCGGGGTGCTGCTGTCTCCAGGATGGCCCTCTTTCTACAGGGACTCCCTCAATTGTCAGTGGGTGATTGAAGGACAGCCTGACCACGCTGTGAAAATCCACTTTGACAGGTAAGAGATGGGTATAGTCTCAATAGGCTAGCCAATAGAGTTTGCTGATTTTCAATGTAATCGATACAAATGTTTGCACATTAAATCAGTTGTAAGTATGGCATCAAACTGTAATAACAAATGAAGACATTTTAATAATATTTTAAATCTAATGTTGTATTCATTTTAACAATATCTAATCTAATGTTTTATTCCATCTAGTCCATTTTATTGAAACATATACTGTATAGTGCTTTTTTGGACACTCATATGTTTCTCATTATTCTTTCCCTTCACACACTGAAATGATAAGTATCCACCGTTGACACCGACAGTGGCTACTGCTAATGTAGGCAATCTGGGTGAAGTGTCTTGTCAAAGGACCCAACAATAGTTTTGGACTTTACAGTCGCAGCTGCTCCACTGTGGTACCTGATGTTTCCTGAGTCTCCCATCACTCCCATCATCAAAAATGCTTTATTTGTGGTGTATAACGTTAAACAAGCAATCAACTTATCAGGACTGACTTTATAGAGGTAAGGGTGTGCTCACTAGTGGATCCACAGGGTCTTAAACATTATTAAAGATAGATTCTGCGATAGATCATGATATTTTTTTCTTTTCTTGTATTGATTTAATAAAAATATATATATATATTTTTTTTTAATTTTACAGATGGAAATGTTTAATTTATTATTAGTTTATTATCAGGATCTATTGAGATCACCAACCACTATGCACATCCCTGTTTAATTACAAGGTGCTGAAGAAGTCCTTTTTTGTACTTTAGGTGGTGAACTTGACAGTTGAGAGTAATGTGGAGAAAAAAAAGAAACATCTGGAGCTTTGTAAATTGAAATGTTTTAACTAGTTACTCTATATTGTCATGTAATGTAATGTAATGTATTGTAATGTAATTGTAATTTTTTGCAGTGCACTTTGATGGCATTTTACACCTTGCCTATAGGGACTACAGTTGGAAACTAGCTGTTAGCTAATACTGACACATTTACAGCAATGTTGATTAATGTGTATCGTCCCTATTCAAATAAACTATTAAATAAAATAAAAAATGTTAGATCTTATTATATTAATCATAACAAGCAAATAAGTATTCTCAAAGTACAATATTATCTTAATCTTAATATTGAAGATTTACCCAGGATTAAACAGATATTTTTGATTCTAGCGCAACTGAATATGTCCTGTGCTACTGATCGGGTGATGGCTTGTAGAAAACATTACATTTTGTATATATGTAAAAAAAAAAAAGAAGTTTATCATTTTGAGAATCTTGCACAGCAGAACTTTGAGGCCAAACCGTCTCATCTCTTCCTACTCTGCTCTGTCATTTCCTGTAACCAAATTGATTTAACTGGAAAAAATATCACTTGGCTTAAAAATTTGTCCAGGGGATGAATTATTTTGAGTGTAACTGAAGGTTTTCTCATCATTCCTTCCATAATTACATTTGAGTTAGATAGAGCACACACACTGTATAGCCAAGCACCAGGTTAATAAACAAGTCCATCATTTCAAAGTTATTAATCTCGTAGTTGGCATATTTTTCTGTAAGTTACTGTGATAAATGCACATGGCTGCTGCGGTTAATGATTAATGCTGGCGTTTCGTGGCTTTTCGCTGGAAACGAGCCACAAATAGATGCAGTGTAGCTTGAAATTGCTACTGCAAAAATGTATCTTTTTTAGGACTGATGAAAAGGGCACGTTATCTTCCTTTTTGAGGCATGTCGTTTGTTGGATTCAGCATCAGCATTGCATGGAAGTGTTCTGTGCTGAGTACAGTTAATTGTAATCGTTTTGGTTTTAAAAACGCCAGCAAAGCAATCCCTTGAACCTTTGGCATCCAGCCTAATTAGTAATTATGTCTTACCATTGTATGTATATGACAATGTAGGGACAAGCTATGCACAATAGACTCTACAGTGTGCTTTGTTCAGGAAATCAACATACTTGACTATATTTTACAAGGTCAGGATTAATATTGTGTGTGGGTTGCATTACATATCATTATAAGTATATTAGCCATAGAGGAAAGTGCTATAAGCGCTGAAAAAAATAACAAAGGACTTTGACAATGCCTTAAAAACTTTTTTGTAAAGCGTTTTTTTGTGTGTGTTTAAGTAACATTTTGTGATAAAACTAGACCGCAACATGCTGCATCTAAATAGAAAACTTTTGATCACTCAGCAGATTGGCTGGTCCTGTCTTTTTAACTGAAAACGCTGATCTAAAAAGCGTTCGAGAGCTAGGAACTAGTTACATGGTTGTACATTCTTAGGCTGCGGTCACAAGCACAACCTAAAGCCAAGTTCAAGTAGTCCTAGGCGCAGAACATGATTAGCTAGAGCACGGTTGTAAATCCCAGATGAGAGGGGTCGATGGGGTTGCTGGTGGGTGGTTGGGGGGATGAGGTGTGGTAGGGACGTGATATTGTGCGTCACATTATGTCTTCCTGAGGTCGTCGCTGAAGTTAGTTATAGCGTGGGCTGTCTTCACACCCCCGTGGCAACGATCCGGGCCACTTGGCCTAGTTTGTTTGTGATAACCTATTTGACCTTGCCCTTAAATTGTTTTGCTTTCAATGTTAGATACCCAGGCTTTAAGAAAGCTCATACTCGTATTTTATTTTTTCAACTGACTTCCATGGGTTCACTCCAGGCTTTTTGCAATGACCGTATGCCTCAGCACTGCATACAGTCTGATTTTAGATTCCTTCTTTACAACGTCTAATAAAAGAAGACTGGGTCGTTTATCTTCAGTGTCGTGATTTCTCAATGAGATTTGTTATCTTATATAGGACATAATCAGATGTAAGTAATAGCATTATATTGGGTTAATGAAATCAGCAACTTTGATATTGGCATAAAAACATGGAAAAATATCTGCTGCTCTTGGCGTCAGCTGCCACTTTAGCAGCGCAGTTACTAAATCACATGGCAGCTACAGCTTTATGTCTGCCGATAACATATGCTATACTGACTCATCATGTTTCTTCAGATAAAGTGGTTTTATGAGATAAACGTAGCTAATCATTGCACTGACTCTTACAAATTACAAATCTAAGCTGTTATAATGTATTTGTAAAAAAACATCACAAAATGCTTAATTTTATTCTTTCCTCCAAGATAAGGATGTCTCCTGATGTCACTCAAGATCAGTACAGACACCACATAATGCAGGGGTCACCAACGCGGTGCCCGCGGGCACCAAGTCACCCGTAAGGACCAGATGAGTCGCCCACTGGCCTGTTCTAAAAATAGCTCAAATAGAAGCACTCAAGCCTAGTGTATAGTTGCGCGGAGCTTAAGGTGGTGACGTGACGTCACTTGCGCAACGCGTGGATCACCGCAACGCCCTTACGTAGCCTGCCACGCACCCTCGAATATACGCGGCCACCGCCGCAGACAAGCTCCGCTGTGACTGGTCCGTGTGTGAGAGAAGCTCCGCTGTGATTGGTCCGTGTGTGAGAGAAGCTCCGCTGTGATTGGTCCGTGTGTGAGAGAAACTCCGCTGTGATTGGTCCGTGTGTGAGAGAAACTCCGCTGTGATTGGTCCGTGTGTGTGTTTTAGACAGAAGCATGGAGCGGCTGCAGGGAGCATGGACGAGGCACTTCGGAGCAGACTGCTTCGTGCTTCGAAGGAACCGAAGGAAAAGCAGTTTGGGCTCGTGGCTCAGAGCTGATATACGCGGAGACTGTGGACTAGAATTCTGTTGCATATCTAACATATTTATAAACTTATAAACTGTGCAGTTGTTTCTTTTGCACTGTTCCTGTCTGTGTTTGAATCTACAATCGTAGCTTATCGCGTCTGTTGCGTTCCTCCTGCACTTGTAAATAGTTGGTGTTTGTCTCAGATATTTACCACTTATTGTTTTGCTGTTTGTGCTGAATACACTTTAATAATAACTATGTTTCCAATAAGAACTGTGTCTTTATTCACAACATCACAGTTAAATGAGTTGAAACGAAGAGTCCATAGAACTGTCACATGAACCTACAGTAGACCCACATGTAATGATCTCAAACAGCTTTGCTTTTGTTCTCAAGAGGAGAAAGGAGCAGCGTAAATGGGACCGCTTTGGTTTCTAAACTCCTGTGAGATCGCCATCACATGTGTGATACGATTTATTGAAAAATTTGAGAGTTGACTATGAGTTGAGTAAGAGTTGAGTTGATATTTATCTGTTTCTATATATATATTTATTGTGAGAAAATATTAAGATGATCAGTTTTTCCACAAAGACAAATATCATTAATTATTAATGTTAACATAGAGTTAAAGGTAAATTGAACAATTTGGCTGTTTCTGGCAATGTATGTAAGTGTGTAACAAACTGGTAGCCCTTCACATTAATCAGTACCCGTGAAGTAGCTCTTGGTATCAAAAAGGTTGGTGACCCCTGACATAATGTATAAAACGGAATATCAATAAGATTTACACTTTGAGAACACGCAAATGCATCCTCTATATCAGGGGTGTCAAACTTATTTTGGTTAAGGGCCAAATAAAAAAAAGAAAGAGCTGGTCAGGGGCCGAAGAAAAAAAAGTGGGTTTCATTTATTATATACTGTATGTATTTTTTTTGACATATTTTTTCACATTTGTTGGATTGGAGATTCTTTTCTGATTAGAATTAGTTCAGTTTCTGTGGACTGAACCAAAACTGGACCAAATATTGAAGGTATAGAGAAAGATGCTTTACTTCCGGGTGGATCATCAAGATTATTGCTCCTCCCAACTGTCAATCATTCTGGTGATTCGTGATCGTCAAATAAGACCAGACGGTGTTGTTCAAAAAGTGGAGAGGGCGGTTCTTTCCTAAGAAAATTGGGAGATCCTTTATTTATTATGGTATTAAATGTTATGATTGTTTTCTCAGTAATGGATAACATGCAATTGCAACCTATTACCATTTATGCTGCTATTTGATATCATAAATTAAAATCCTCTCAAGGGCCACTGGAAATGGTCTCATGGGCCGGTCTCTATATATTTCTCTATATATGGTCTCTATATATTTCCTATACTTTGCATTATTCAATCCAAATGTAACCATTACCACCCTGGGATTGACTGACGGAAGCAAAGCTGCCTATCTGTACCATGAGACCTATCCCTCATGTGTCTGGTTGAAAAAAGTCGTCCTTGAACAGTCCAAAAATGTGGGAAAGCCTGAAAAGGACCTACATTTACAATAGATTATACATCTACTAACTATAGAACTGTAGTTTGTTTAGCACAATAGTTTGAATGTGATAATAACGACATACATGGATAACAGAACGGTCTCAGTACAGAGTGTGCCAGCCCACTCATTTTCGTAACTCGTGTGAGGCTCAGCTGGCTGTGGCCTTGCCAAGCGTCTCTTCTCCTTATTTCATCAGCAAAGGAGTTGAGAAAAAATAACATTTAAGTTACATGGAAAATAACGTAATATTACAAATGAGTTGATGTATGTGTATGCCTCATGCTTCAGTAAATCCATTCATTGATTGATTTTTATATTTTTATAAACTTGAATATTGATTGGAATTATATGTGGCTTTGACAGTTCAAAAGTCACCACCCTATTCCTTAAACGTTTTTTTTTAACAGTTCACTTGTGTTCTGTTGTAGGTTTCAGACGGAGGTAAACTATGACACATTAGAAATCCGTGATGGCCCCTCAGCATCCTCGCCTCTGATTGGAGAATACCACGGAACCCAAGCTCCGCACTTCCTGATCTCCACGTCAAACTTTTTGTACTTACTGTTCACCACGGACAACAGTCGCTCAGCATCAGGCTTCAGCATTCGTTATGAAAGTAGGAAGACATTATAATGGTAATGAATAGAAACACCTTGCAAAAGCTCTAATTGTTTTGGGTTGAACAATTTTCAGGTGTGAAGATGGAGACTGACTCCTGTCTGGATCCTGGCATCCCTGTGAATGGTCGTCGCCAGGGAAGCAGCTTCTCCATTGGCTCGCGGGTCTCGTTCACATGTGATGCCGGCTACACACTGAGTGACCAGGAGCCAATCGTCTGTGAGCAGAATCACCAATGGAACCATGCACTGCCGAGCTGCGACGGTAACATACAATCAGTCATCTTGATTCAAACTGTGTGATTTTACTTTTTAGTAGTTATCTACCACATACGGCAGTGTTCAGGTTGTAAATAAGGCAACACACATGCACAATCACACGCACACACACATGCACGCACGTACAGTACACACACACACACACACATACACATACACATACACGCACATGCACAATCATCAAGACTAAGTGTGTATCCTTCCCAGGATCATTATAAAATAGACTGGACTTTCCAAAGATGTGCAGGTCAAATAACAATCGAAATACAGAAATAAATTTCTGCTCTGACTTTTCAACACGTGAGCTACAATGTCATCCCATTTTACTCATTGAAAAGAATCCAATTTGAAAGGTAGAATAGGAGGTGTCTCAAATGTGGATTGAGTTCATGTAGAGGCAATTCTTGTCACAGGACTGGCAATATAACATAAGCAGTTTTAAAGGGCCACTCTGACATTTTTAATTTTCAGCCATGCATGCCATCGCACCAGACAGCTGTCACATTACAACGCACAACATTTTAACATAGTGATTTTGGAAAATGGCTTTGACTGAGCTACTGTATGCCTTTGGGGGAAGTCAGTGATGTGATAAAAAGTTGGTACTAGAACATCACTTTGTATTGAGTGATATGTGCTATTTATTTTTTCTCTTTCTTTTTCTTTTTTTCTTTTTTTTCTTTTTCAATCCAATGTTCAGAACGAGAGATGATTTAGACTCTTGGGTACCTATGGACATTTCAACAACTGTATCTTATTCAAAGCAACCCTCTAAGGCAGAGTAAACATGCAGAAATAAAGGGAAAATGAACCAGGTGAACATACAGCAATTTGTTGCAATTGAAATGCATTATTCTAGCTATATTGCGTTGAAGAGTAAATAGCTAAAGATAAGCTATTTCCCCACAGGCAATTAAAGGGCAATTAGTTTTCATTTCACCAAAACACTTTTATTCTACTCTTGCCGCTGGCTAAAGTCACAGTGCGTATAAAACAGGACCTCACATTTTTTGTGTGCAATATTAGAAATACTGTCTACGTGCACCAGTCATAACCAGTCATTAGGGCCTTTATCCCCACCGCTGTCAGACTGTACAATAAGTCACTAATGCACCAAGACTGAAAAAACCAGCACTGTTATTGCCACTCATTTATTGCCGCTTTTTTATTGTACGTAATTATATTCTGTACAGACTATATTTTTTTGCACAATCTGAGCGATTCTATTGATGGCAAATGTGACATGTAAATTTCAAACATTTTGAAAAAACTAAGCCTCATTCTCCCCATGTAAAACTTGACTAAAATTTCAAAGTTAAAGGAGCATTATGTAAAAATCTGGCCAAAAGTGGTACGGTACTGTAAATGAACTACACAGACCACTTCAGTTCAGACCAGTTTCATTTTTAAGTCCAGATAATAGTTTTAGCGTAGAAAGGTAATCCTCCATTCGGAAATAAGATGGATTTCCACTAAATGGAAATAGATCGTCATCGTCACGGCAACAGGGTTAAAGAAAAAAGCCATGGGTCTGACATTGTTAGAAAAAAAAAAAAACTGCTGGACCAAAAGACTGCCATATGAAGACTTAATAATTATTTGATACAGATAGAGATTTCCTTTTTATTGCAAGTGCTTTATTCATCTGATAACATGGGGTCATTCTGTGAAAAGTAGATTCAAGCCAAATTTGATCCAGTTGCACCGTGTGCTTGGGAAATCACCCACAGCTTTTCTCAGTTCGGGTTAGGGAGCAGAGATTTCGTGAATGTGTTTTTTGTCAGCATGTCAACTGCAGTCCTCGACACCACACTTAAAAAGCAGAAGTAAGCAATTCTAAATCCAATGCTTTCCTTTATTTATCATGGTTTCTTGGACCAGTATTGCTATCAAAACTTCAACTCAGCCTCCACACTGTTCCAATCAAATCAGATGATCCATTATTGTATTTATCGATATAGTAAGACATACTCTGAGACTATTCTGAGAAGTAACAAAGAAGAAAAAATGTGTACAAACCCCCCATGCAAAAGGTGTTTTTTTTTTTTTTTGGCTATCTATGACATTATCTATCCTATATCTAACATTGCAGCAAATTACATGGGCCACATGTAATGAAAGAGTCACACCAAAACATTTCCAGTCTAATAATTGTCCCGGTTCCTTGTCGACTCCACCGACTCTGGTCTGTTGTTGTTGTTTCCCTGGGAAAGACCCTTAACCCCACTTTGCCTGAAGCCCCCGCTGAAAGATCAAGCCTATACTCACTCCTCCTGTGTTGAAAAAAAAAAGATTATGTCATTGAGATATTGGCAGTGATTTGTTTGTCATTGGTCAGGACAAACTCACAAAGCTGAACGATAGATCCAGAAAAACATTTTCCTAAAAGCCTTACAATTCCAAAATGATCAGATGACTGAAACAGATGAACAAGAGAAAGATTTTTTTAAAACACAAAACAGGTCAAAATAACAAAAAGATGCTTTCAGGTGAAAGAGGTTTAACTCTAAATATATTTTCTTTTTTCTTTTTCTATTAACAAGAATGACACTAACTAATGACGTTAACACATTTTTTTATCACTCACTTCTGTTGTGATTGAAATGTCATGTTGATTCAATGTCATTTTTTTATTTTGTTTAATGCAAATATTATTTATTTGTGGAATATATTATTGCAATATGTATCGTTTTTGCAAAAACAAACAATATTGGTATCACAATTTCTGACATTGTGCAGCTCTAGTAGAAATAATAGGGTGTAGCTCCTCTGTAAGTCTTTCTCAGAGTTCATTTAAGCCCAGATGCGGTGTCTTTAGAAACATTATGCACACCAGACACACAGCTCTCCGCACAAGGGTCACAGTGTCAGACAGTGTCAGTGTTAGAGAGTTAAATCCTGGGGAAGGGCAAGAAAAGTCAGAGAAGTAGAGCAACTCTCCTCAGACTTCTACTGGCTCTAGTATAATTGCTAGTTTAAGAAAGAGTGATACTTTACATTCGTAATACTTGAATAAACATCCTATATATGGGCTTTGTGAATTTCTTTGGAATGATAATTTTTTATGTTTTTAATACGATACAAAGATATGAACGCAGAAGTAATATTTAAGAGAAATTGTGAAGAGAATGGTTTAACTTTACATTATCTAAGTCGATTTAAAGGGGGCAGTCTCGTATAAATGTATATTCTGTAGTTGAGAAGTCTCCAACCTCTTTTGATTTGAGTGATACTTCCTTTGAAATGGAATCTTCAATGTCACCATATCTGTGTATTAGTCCACAAAAACCCTAGCCTGGCCTTAGCCATCCGTACACTCCGCTCAATCATCATTTCACTGCATGTATTGGTCTGGTCCCCATGTTAGCGATTACAATCGCTTGAATTTCGACCGACCAATCAGCGAGCGCGGAAGGCGGATGTTGTAGTTAGTTGTGGGTGACGTCAAGAGTTTGCGTCAAACGGGAAGGTTGTAGTTTGGCAATGGAGAAAAATGCGATAGTAAAGTAATCCAGTCTGGTTCTATCAAGAAATTGAAGCCGGAGCAAGAGGAATGTTTAGCAAATTGTGGAAAAAATTGTGGCGCTACTCCCCACGGGCTCCGTTAGCGGCAAAGGAGATGGCTAGGCTAAATGCTAAATGCTAACAACAGACTCGGGCACATTACAAACGTCACGGTAAACTCAGATCCAATCGTTTCAATCTGCAAAAGGAGTTAACCCCTCCCATTTATAAACGGAGCTCAATGGAGCACCTCCAGACCTTAGTACGAAATGTAATTTGTACTATGGTGTGGTACGACCAGGCTTCAAAAACCCCATTTAGATAACATTTTTAGGGAAATGTTTACAGTGTAATGTACGTAATTACACAACTCCATCCATTCATTCATTTTCTTGTTTTTTTTTAAATCCATCTGCACACACACACTTCCTCCAGCGTTCTGAGGGACATAGTCTTTTCGACATGTCCTCCTCCGAAACAGATTCCAGAGCCACTGGCTTCTCTTGATGCTGACTTATTCTTTGATGAGCTATTTGGAAGGGTGTGGTTCGAGCTTTAGGTTTGAAATCAAGTTTATTGCAACAGTCTTGCTAATATGAGGAAAATGTCATTCTTAAGTCTTTCTTTTTATATATTTGTATTTCATGTTCTGTGCAGCCCTTTGTGGAGGATACGTGTATGGAACAACCGGGACAATCTTGTCGCCAGGCTTCCCTGACTTTTATCCAAACTCTCTAAACTGCACATGGACAATCGAGGTGTCTCATGGCAAAGGTACGCTTTTCCTCTTAAATCAATTGACAGTTTTCAAGTCTTACATATGGGATCCTTCTATAGGAGTCCATCTGGTTTTCCACACCTTCCATCTGGAGGAGAACCACGACTACCTGTCCATTTCGGAGGACGAGAGTTTTCTTGTTCCAGTTGCGCGCCTCACTGGCTCAGTACTGCCACCCAGTGTCAAAGCAGGGCTTTTTGGGAATTTGACCACACAACTGAGATTCATTTCTGACTTCTCCATGAGTTACGAAGGTTTCAACATCACTTTCTCAGGTAATGGTGTTTTAAATCCCACATATTTAGCTCTAGACTAAAGTACACTATCTAAAGCATTCATTTTTGTGTGTTTAGAGTATGATTTGGAACCATGTGAGGACCCGGGAGTGCCAGCTTTCAGCCGAAGAATGGGGTTTCAGTTTCGAGTTGGCGACTCTCTAGCCTTCTCGTGTTTCCAAGGTTACAGGCTGGAGGGGGACAGCACAATTTTCTGTCTGGGTGGAGGACGACGAGTCTGGAGCAACGCCTTGCCCAGATGTATAGGTAAGTCTATCAATCAACAAATTATACATTTTAATGCAGTCTGATCATTTGTGTTATCCCTGTAATTAGCTATACATGCCTTTTATGTGTTGATTTCCATGCCCATGATTTCTAATACACCTCTGAATCTTAATGGAAAACAGTGAAAGAAGAAAATTATAAAAGTCTGAAAAATGGATCCACAGCTCTGTGCCATTTTAGACCTGTATTCTCTCATCCAGTTTTGCTTAGAAGATCAGAACTTTTAATTAGCTGTGACTATTAGCTGGTTCTGTCCACAGGTCTTTTTGGTCAAAATCTATTTTTGTTCATACATTTAAATTAGTATTTTTTTACACAGGTATTTTCAAAAGACCCCTGTCAGATCCTTCTTTGTTTTACTTCATTGTTATTCCTATTACGATCTTCTCACACCATTTGTATATTAACTGATAGTGTCAGCGTGTTTTTGTTCTTTTCTTTGCATTTAACAAAACATTTTCATCCTAATCACGCCCGATGTTGTAGTTGTCCAAATGCTGTCTCATTACCTCTGCAGCTTCCAATCTAATGGCCCTCCTTAGTAGAACTTTAAAGCCCACTTTCCGGCATTTGCATACAACTCAAGAGTATTTGCACCGTGTATTCGAATTTGGTAGTAGGTGCTGCATCAGCCAGATAATCCTCCTGTATGATTTCAACCACACACATTTTAACAAGCAAAGCGGCTTTTATTCATAGTTTTGTCTTTGACTTTTGTAATGCATTTAAATGAAAGTCGCTTCCACTTATGCAGGCCATTACAATTGTCCAATACATAATTCTCAAATCCTTGCAGGAGTGTAAATCCCTGTATCATATCTACTATTATCTGTTCTGTAGCCGAGTGTGGAGCCTCCTCAGTGGGACTGGAGGGAGTACTTCTTTCTCCAAATTTCCCGTCCAACTACGATAACAACCACGAGTGTATCTATCGAGTCACCACAGAAAAGGGCAAAGGAATCAGGCTGAGAGCAGAGAGCTTCTTACTGCAGACTGGTGACTATCTCAAGGTAAGAACTAATTGTAACATACTTGTACATATACTTAAATATTTATACATATAAACATATTAGTAGGAGCAATAGAAGAGATAGAAACTTTATATGATCACATTAACGCATAACACTTCTGTCTTTTTGCACAAGCTCAGTTCTATTTCTATCTTTTCTTTTGGATTTAGTCAAATAAAAAAAAAATCTTTGCACAAGATATTAGCAGGTTTTTTTTCTTTTTCTAAAAAGGTTAAATTATGTTCCACCATGTGTTCAAATAAAGTGCTTGATTGAATTGAACATGCATTGGAGAAATAGCCATAAGCACATATGTGGGAGATTGGTCCTCACAGCTGTTAGCAGGTGCTAAACATTGTGGTGGAAGCAGTAACATCCCTGCAGGGGATTATTACCCATGTTCCCCATTAGTTCTGATGGCGTTCTGCAGCAGCACCGTCCACAGCGGAACCACAGTCGCTACACGGGAATCAATTCAGCCTCTGTTAACCCGCTAACCAACTCTGTGTAGTCCATTAGGCTGAGCGCTTAGGCTTCAGTATATCGCACGTCCCCATAGAAGCGTACAATGATGACGCTCGCTTTGATCAGCGGAGACATGAGTGTGATTTGCACCGGTCGTGAATGTTAAAGATCGTGTGAGTCCAGCAATACATTTATCACAGTCCATTGACAGTTTGGAAAGATAGTGTCTTGAAAACAGTTTTATTTATGCTACTTTTAACCCATGAAGTGTTGAGGCACAGGCTGTTGTACAAATAATTTGCATTAGGATTACAATTTCATCTTTTGTTCTGCCACAGCAACTAGTCAAAGGTGTATCAAAGCATTTTAGAGGAAATTACTGTGTTTGTTATTGGTGTTGCCATAGAGAGGCAAAACAAAGGCCTTTTATGGTTGACCTTTCTGTAATACTGTGATGAACTCTATTTAGCTGTTGAAGTTAATCATAACTGCCAAATTCCAAAATTGCATTTGTTCTCAAAAGACCAGTATGTCTTGTTCTTTTCACCATTGGTTACCGTCTATTATATTAAGCCTTTGAGCTGAAGTAAAATGGATGACTCCATGATTGCGATAGCATTGATTAATTCAGAGCATGGTCTTATGCTGGTTCAGCTCTCCCTCAGGATGTACATTATATACAATCACAGAGACTGTAAAAGCAGTATATAAATAACATAGTGTACAATGACACAGTTCCTACAGTAGTGAACATCGGATGTAACCAATGAATGACAGCTGTTCCCAGCCCTCCTTGGTTTCAAAGACAGAGCTGTCTTTGTCTGTGGCTCATGTGCCACTTGTGTCAGTCGTAGCAGCTGGAGGAGATATTTTACAGTCAGGAAACCACTCCGGACACGTACAAATAATTGAAATGCTTCATGTCCTTAGTGTGTTGTTAATCCGGAATGATGGCTCTTGGAAACATTTTAGCAAATTACATTATATGTTATTGTTCAGGAGTTCAAACAGTGAAACATTCAACAAGAACTCAGAACATCAGAAGAACTAGAGGCACCTTTCTGTAGAGATTCACAATTATCTATTCTTTCTCTCTCTTTTTCATCAATTGTGGCGCTGCTACTACATCTTAGGGAAAAAGGGAAGATTCTTGCAGTTTCTCAAAACAGGACAATGAGAATTGGGAATATGTCAGTATTTACTGCAGTAAATTGATTCCTTATCACAATAGAACAGGGACAGACAAATGCATTTGAGAGAATGACGGGAGTTCAAAGGAGTTAACGAAGTCGGTGCTGAAACAACAGCAATCAAAGGCCTGACATCTTGTGACACAGTTTTTGGTTTTCATTTTTACTGATTTAAATCAATTCACCCTAGAGCTGAAATGTTTTCATATTTAGTCTCACATGTATTAGCAACTCTCTGAGGGTAACAAAACAGAAAGCAACGCAAACCAATTGACCCTTACATGAATATAAAAGGTATCTATTATTTAAAGTGCAAACGTGAATTGATGAATGATACGACAAATACATTGAATTACTGAAGTTAATAACATGTTGTGACTGTGCAGAATTGGCCTTATTAGATGGTAAATTAGTCACAAGCACAGAGGAAAACATAATATTTTGCTTAGGTTTTCTTATAGAATGCCCCAAGTGCCACTTAAACCACCAATTAGTATGCCACTCTCCCAGCTAATGCACCAACCGCCTGTTACCGCCTCCCTACTCCCCGCATAAAGCATTTGTTTGACATTTCCAGTCGACTGTGGGATAACATATGAGCATTATAATTCCTTGCTCATGGCTAAGTTTTCATTGTGACACATAGGAGCTTGCCCAGTTCAAGTCGTGTAAAAATATCCTCTAAATTGCCTGACCAAATTTGCACAAATGGACTTGTGCCCCTGAGGAGAATCAAGAGGCAAAGAAAGTGGCGATTGTAGGAAAATGGAGGTGGTAGAAGAAGACGCCGAGTCAAATGGATGGACACCGGGGGCAGTGGGCAGTTGCAGACATGTTGATTTATGGCTGCAGGGCTTTACTCTAGCCACATAGACTTTAACTGGAACAGAGAAAAGGACTGAGACAGAGGTGGAAAGAGTGGAGTGTTTTTTCACAATGGAACCAATTGCATTCGGGTAATGTCATGGAGAGATAATGAGTTATGTAAGGAAGGATTTAAACAATACATGCATTTGATATAGCTGAGTTACATTGTTGTAGACCAATTCCCAAGGTTTCTCACCTTCTCCCACTGGGTTTTACAGTAGTTTTTCACCAATGCAGGAGGGTCTGTTGGACTCTTGTCTGGGTCTAACTAAAAGGACAGTGGTTATGATCCAGGACACTCAACATTCAACAACATCTATGGCTATTTATGGACATTGGTCATCCGCCCCTTATGGACCGATGGCTCTTTGTGTTTTTATAATTGCATTTCTTGTATTTGAACTGTTTGATTCTCTTAGATAACTCTTGTGATTTAAGGGTATACAAGTATGCATTTAATTGAAATGCATTTATACTCGGCATGACCATATATACATAAGTGTGTGCATATACCTGTATATATATAATATCCTCTTATATGCATATAAGAGGATGTACATGGTATATACATGGTATGTATTATTTGACTGAAAGGTAGAGGCCAAAGGAACAAAAACTCCATTTACATATTGTCCAATTATGTGAAAGGCTCCTTGTAAGAGACTTGAAAAACTCAGAGGGATAGAACAGTGGCTCAGGCTTTTTTCTTGGCGGTTGGAACCACCTGCCGCCCTGTCACTACCAATCTGTGGACATGTCCCATTCTGTCACTTATTGCATGAGCTCTTCATATTTATAACCCAGCTGTGCGGTAATAAGAAGCTTTTTACTTCTGAGCATCATTTTCTTCTCCCTGCCTGCGATGGGGGTATGTGCCGGCCAAAATGCATTCAGAAATGAAAATGATGACTTTATGATTAGAAAAGCTTGTTTTAAAGTATACTTGAAAGATTTCTATAATTACGTGTGCTTGTTCTTTTCTCTTACTTGCAGGTTTATGATGGAGAAAATAGCTCTTCCCGTCTCCTTGGTAATTTCACTTGGGATGCTATGGTTGGCCTTGTTATCAACAGCACATCCAATCACTTATGGATGGAATTTAACAGCAATGCATCTGGGACTGACAGGGGCTTCCGCCTTACATACACCAGTAAGTCAACATAGCTGTCATAGTATGACCTTTTTTGGTTGTATTTTGTTTTGCTTTTGAAGATGTGTTGAACTGTATTACTTAAACTAATTCTATATGTTTTTACAAATAATTAAAATACAGCTTTATATATTTTAACTTTTAAATTTAGACACTATTGAAATATATGAATTTTATATATATATATATATAATTGTTTTCTTCATCAACAAAATAGACAATTACTTAAAACAAGACTTTAAAGGAAAGAATAAATGATAACATTCTACAAATGTATGTGCAGGGCTCTTGTTTGATTTTTGAAGACAGCTGTTGTGTAAACTTAAAGTGGCAATTTAAAAGACATTTTTCTGCTAGCGATTAAAGGAGTGTCACATCTGGCATCAGAGTGTCCTCACTGAAGTGGGAGATAGTTTATGAATCTGAGATAGATGTGCTATTGGCCACATGAAGTAATAGACAGTCATTAATCTGAGGGTCATTAAAGGAAGGAAGATGACACTGTAAATGCAACGATAAACAGATAGACCTTTTAAGAGAGTTAGGAGAAGATGCCAATGGTTTGGAATGAGGTATGGCTTAAAAGTGTTCATAAAAGGAGTATACAAAATTCGACCAGATGTTGCAGCCATTAACTAAAGTGGGAGACAGAAGTGCACATGTGACTCAGGGTAGTGTCTGATGTATGGACAGGAAATACAGTGTACCCTATAAGTGAAGAAATACAGAGGTAAAACTAAACTAGTGTATATTACTATCAACGCAGTGGAAGAGATAGTTGTGATTACTGATGGACGGTGATAAGTAACTTAAGTAATCAGCAAAAGCACACTGCCAGCCGCTCGACATCCCAAAAAATTTGACCCACATGGGTTTCAGGCATAATACATACTTGCGTTAATCGTGCAGTAGAAAAAATGACGCAGTTAAAATGGCTTTGCGATACTGCCATTATTAACGTGTTTAACTGATTGTACTAATTGTTAGTAATTTTATAAAACAATTTAACAGTATTATGATATAGACTACACGTTGGCCTCATTCCTCCAAATGTAATTAGTTATATGCCATTTAAAACTTATAATGATAAAATATCGGATAAAAGTTAACAATTGCACTACATACAATAATTGTCTGGCTCACTCCATGAACTCCATTTGCAAATCCAACTCATACAGTTTTAATGGATTGATTTTAATTAATTCGAGCTACGATTTACATTCATAAGTATTTACAATTTTTACATTCCTTTATTTTACATAATCTTTTGTACAGGTTGCCTACTGTGCCTACAGTACAGTATATACTAACACATGCAAATATATAAACATAAATATACAGTCAAGCAACAGTATTTACCCTAGTTCTGCTACGTGTTTTATATTTACATTTTCAATATGTATTTACGAATGCTTTTCCATTTACAATTTGTCAGCTTGAAATGGAGTGGGAAAGAACAAAAACTTGTAGACTCCTACCCCATGAACATAATTCAAAAACTTACAAAACCTTACCTCATCAATTATTATTGTTATCATTATTTTGTTAATTATTATTGTTGAGGTCTGTTTCAATCATATTGTAGAAAGTGATGAATCATTAAAAAATCTACTTAAACGCTACTTTGCTGATATTGCATTACAGCTGCAAACACATAAGATGTGTTTATAAATATTAGGAGGCCATGAAGCTAAACAATTATGACTTTTATAGGTTTTGACCTTGTCCGCTGTGAAGAGCCAGGCATCCCAAACTACGGGTACAAGATCCAGGATGACGGTCACTATGCCAACACGTTTGTGCTGTATGCCTGTAACCCTGGATACAGTCTGCATGGCAGCAGCACGCTGACCTGCCTGAGCGGAGACCGGCGTGTCTGGGACCGGCTGCTTCCATCGTGCAGTGGTTAGTATGCCGACACATGTGGAGGACACATGAATAAATCACTGCTCCGGGGCTGAATTATTCACTGGGGGTTTTATCCTCTAACGCAGCGACAGTTTACTGCACTAAATGGTTTCAGGCGTCCCATTGTATCCTCGTTGTGAACTGACCACTACCCCAGGGAAGTCCACTTGAGCGGAGACTTTGTATCCAATGCAGTATGAAGTATGTGTTTAGTTTGGAAAGCTGATATCAACAGCAACGTATCAACACAATTTGAAAAGTAAATGAAATTCGCTTCAAAATGTATCAAATAAAAAAATGTTTTTTACTTTAACTGGGTGTAAATGGTGTGATTACTGATCAGTATCAACCACCAACTATTACCATTTTGCTCCTCTCCGCAGTTTTAGTCTTTCTAAATAAAGTGTATTTACTTGATTTTGTAAAATTGCGTTGGCAGCGGCACACATGATTCAGTCTGTTGCTTTAGCTTTAGTTTTGTTGAATGTTGGCAGCTCATAATTAGGTTGGAGAGGAATGTACCAAGCAATTCAGGGGCTTGAGTACAGGGAATAAAAATGTGTATTTTCTATTATTGTTATAAAACTGTGAAAGGTGTTTTTGTGTATGGCTTTTGTGTGCGGTTGGCCATTACACTATGTTGATGCAGCATCCAACAGTGGAGTGTGAGCCTGACATTTGTTTGCATTGCTCTCCGAAATCTTGAAAATCTCCCAAGCTAAATACCACGTTGGAATAGCCACATTTTTAGCATCTCAATTGTATTTTTTGAGCTTTGCATGATTTATAAATTTAGGAAATGTCACTTTGTAAAAAACTATCCAATAAAGTGATTTCAATTTACCCACTTAACAGTAAAATGCAATGTTTTGCTGCACACCTGAGCTCTCGGTAGACAAACCTGGCCTGATGTGGTTGCTACTGACAACAGTGTGCGTATGCGTGTGTGTGTGTGTGTGTGTGTGTGTGTGTGTGTGGACAGGTTTGTGTACATGGGTGTGTCTTTGTAAGTCACAAATTGAAGGTGCTCTGTCGTGACTGCATTTCAGGTAAGCCAAAAACCTGGAGAATACTTGCTGACAGAGCCCAGGGCTAACTACCTCCGCAGCTCCCTTTGTATTGTTGCTGCTTTGTCTGTCTCGCTGAAGTGTTTGTCTTGCCCGTCTACTTCACTCAGTCCCATATCACTACACTGGAGAGCATTGGGAAGATACTGTGCCGCCAGCTATTTCTATACCGTCCTTTCTTCTTCTCCACAGCCTCATCGCAGATTTTTTAGCCTTAATTTTAGCACCCTCAAAGAATGCTCTCATGTGGCATCCTTTAGACCCCTGCTATCAAAAAATTAACGTCACAGATTGTGCCATCATCTCTGCTCCTGTTGCGTAGATATTGCAGCTTCTACATTATGTTCGTTGGTGAATAAGTAATAGCTGTTCGGTTGATGGTTAAATGACTAAGACCACTGCAAAACAGCAGATATTGGTCAAAGATATTGGGTCTACACTGGAAGCATCAATGTTTCCTATAGTCAGTACTATAATAGCACAGCAATTTTGTTAGATTCAATGTGGATGATGTGTTGCTAAAAAAGATGAACCAGTGTATTTTGAGGGTGGGCTGCTTTACTTGGTATTTTCTTTCTTTTTGCCTTGGGTAAAACAATTTCTTCATTATGTATTATATGTGCTATTTTATACAAACAAACAACAACATGCTTTTGTACCTGAACTGTAAAAGCAAAAGACGATGGCTATGGTTTTAATTTAATATTCCAATTAGTGCAAGGTGAAAAAGCCCTCCTTTCCTCACTCTGTGGGGAAAATCCGCCCTGCTGGCACTAACTTTAAAAATTAATCTTGCATTCTAAAATTGCTGCGACTCATAATTCAAGGTTGATGTATTGATTGTAGCATTTTTTGCAAGTATACAACTCAACCTTCACACCTTTAGTGCTTTGCCAAGTCTGTAGTGGCTGAGTGTATTGCAGTGAAATAGAAGCCCATGTCAAACCCTGTGGACATGGAAACACAAATTTGCGTAGTAAAACAGTACTGGCTGTGCTCTAAGTGTCTTCTTTTTTCAAGTTATTAGAAATCTGAAGAAAATATAACGATTGCTCCATTGCAGGTATTTTTATGTTGTTAGAGGAAGGATAAGCAGAGAGAACGGACTCAGGGGAGTACACAGGACATCTATATGTGATTAGGGAAATTGTCAGAGTTTATGAACTTACTATTTTGACGTCAAGTAGTAGGGATGAAAAGCACATTTATTGACAAATGAACTGGATTTACCAGAGTGCAACAGCCAAAACCATGCTTCGACCAGTTAGAATTGTTGTCTATCGGATTTGGTTTGCTCCATCAGCTTTTGATTTAATGTTTGGTTTTCTCTCAGCAGGTGTCCTATATGGATGTCTTATATAATAAATAATAATATAAATCCATATTACATTGATGATATGGCTTCACACTGTGCCTCTAAAGCCCTATGTTGTGTGTCCTTGTAGCCGAGTGTGGGGGTCACATCACAGGTGCAGTGTCTGGCCGTATCCTCTCCCCGGGATACCCTGCCCCCTATGACAACAACCTGCATTGTACCTGGACTATCGAGGCGGACACTGGCAAGACCATCAGGTAATCCTTACGATGCATAACCCCCTCCACCTGCTTCCATACTGAGCGTTGGCCCATGTACAAAACTATAAGAATTACTTTTTAATGTTTCAAATTCATCAACACAGCAATTATTAGTATATTGTGGTGTGAAGTGCTCAATTGCTGCATATGTTGTGCGTTGAATTTATGTATTGTGTTCATACAAAAGTGTCAGGTGTTATTTTTTCCTTACTTATTGATAAATGTGCCCTGTCAAACCAACTGCTGTGTTGGAGATCACACCACATTCATCCTTATGTCAGGTCTCTGAGTTTGAGTTTTGCTGTAAATTTAGCTACAGTTCTGTTTTTAGTGCGCTGTGTTTATTTTTGCACACAACTAATCTATGCTCATGACATGTTGTTTGCATTCCTTCTTGTTTTCAGTCCAATTTATTAGCCAAGAAATATTATTTATAAAACTAATTGGCGCTGTTGTTTCTCCCCAAAAGCATTGTAAGGGAGCTGTCACAACATGTGGCTCGGAGATCAAATCCAAGCAATCTGATCTTCCAAATAAGAAAGAATGATTGTTTATTGCTTTGATTGCGGGTTAACCCTGGTTGCCGTGGTTATTATATTCCATGTTAGTTGTGGTATAAAACTGGATGTTTCAAGTCTAATAATTGTACATTTCTCCATTGTCAGATCAATAAAGTTTATCTTATCTTATATGAATGTGGCAACACCTGCATGCGAAAGTCATATCCCGTCAGACCTCTGAAACTAAGAAGGCAGGGCCTGGTTAGTACAGTGATGGTGGACCTCTGGAAACACCAGGTGCCACAGTGTTGTTGTGTCCTTTGGCAAGACAATTCACCTACAGTGCCTAGAATGAGTCTGATGTGTGTTTGTGAATAGTTGGTGGTGGTCATAGGGGCCAATGGCATGTACAGCTTGCCTCATCTTTGACGGACTGCCCCAGGGGCTATAGCTGTGGCTCCAGTAGTAGTTTAAGGCCCCGTCCCAATTCTCACCCTTGCCCTTAGGTGTGAGTGCCCTCACCAGAAAAGTGCCTTCCCAAATGACGCTGCAGACGTGTTCCACGTCACACACATTATTAATTAGCCTGATTTCACCACATAAGATTTGACACAGACATGACTTTATGAAACACAGTATTTATTAAAATGAGAAGTTTTTCATTCTATTTCATATGAGGTTTTGCTATAATTAGGTACAGAACTGCTGCACGTCACGCACTCAGAGACAGACGCACACACATTATTTATAATAATTTTAACTAGTTAGCTGTATTTTAAAAGATTTTATGAAAATTGTCCTGTCTGAACAAATGGCCTCTCCAAATAATCTGGCCCTTGAAAAAACTTGTTGAAGTTGAATTTCCCTGCCTTAGTGACTCATACTATAAAAATGTACATCCAGATCTCACCTTATACTTTCCCCTTTGTACTCCTGTCACTTTCAACTTCCTCACATTACGTTCTGGCTGGGGTTGTGAGTGGAATTAAGGTCTTGCTTTAAACTAATTCTTTCATCTTTTTTTTCAGCCTTCATTTTATTGTTTTTGACACGGAAATCGGACATGACATCTTGCGAGTATGGGATGGCCCCTCAGGAACATCAGACGGAGGGATCCTTTTGAAAGAGTGGTCCGGCCCTTCTCTACCGGAGGACATCCACTCCACATTCAACGTCCTCACTCTGCAGTTTGACTCAGACTATTTCATCAGCAAGCAAGGCTTCTCAATACAGTTCTCCAGTAAGCATTGATTCATTAAAATAAACAATATCCTGAGAGCGTTGGCATTAAAGCTGGATTTCCTAACTTTAACTTTAACTACAGTAACTGCAAAAAATGTAAGAATCAAATCCAGGTAGCTAGTTTGTAGCTCAGAAACAGTCTGGTTCCATCACTACTTTTGACAGATGGAGACAACAGACTCAAGTTGGTATTAAGTCTCTTTTAAGTTTCTGCGATTTTACTCAGACTTGTCACAAATGACTCTCCTCCTACTTCGCGCACTCCTGACACTCCATGTTGTACTCTGCCCAAAACAATAGAATAAAGTCGGATCTGTCTCCTGTCAGGAACGTATGAATAATCAGTGTCTTTGAGGAATGATTCAATATTCACCAATTTAAACTTGACTTTATCATTGAAATCCGCAGTGTGGCATTTGGTATTTGACATTTAAAAAAAAATTAAAACATAATCATCCTCTAGTAATTATTAAGTTTTATTCCGTTGAAATTTTATTGAAACTATGAAATCAATCAATCAATCAAATCTTTATTTGTAGAACACATTTAAAACAGCCTAGGCTTACCAAAGTGCTGAACAGACAGCGAGGAAAATAAGTGGATAAAAATAAAAACACATAAAATACAGAAATAAATATATAAAAAAAATAAAATAAAAATAAAAAAAATACTATATGAGACCTGGACTTGACTTGGTCTCCTAGGCAGAGACTTGGACCTAGATTTGCTAGTCAGGCATTTACGGTATGTGCATGTAATTAGACACACATGGGAGTTTGTATAAAATGCATTAAGAAACAAAAAATATGTATCAAATAACTTTTTTGCTTTGCTTTCCTGTAAATGTTATCTCTGCGTATCTATAGTAAAAACCTATAGTATTAATTAAGATTGTAAAAGAAATTGGGCATGTCAATTGGGGAGGGAGCTCTAAAAGTTAAACCTGCCCTTTACTTGCAAAAATAGCCTTCACTGTATGAGCCACTGAACCCTAAAATGTCTCTGCCACTGCTCTGTTTGAACCAGTGGTCAAGTCACCGCGAATCATTGTTGCAACAAAAATCAATCACACTCTCAGGGAACAAGAAGTTAGTCGACTGAAGATTTTATGACAAGGTGCCTATATCAGTCCATAAATATTTCGACAGCACTGACTATATCACCTTTTTACACCCGCACAGCGATGCCCACATTAATGACAGTAAATATTTGCTGGAGCTAACATGGTAATGAAAGCAGCATTATTCCATTACTATGGTAATGCCGCTTTAAATTTCCCTCCGCCGTGATACACTAAAGCACAGGGAATATTTACAGACACAGCATGTTTATTTAAAGCCGTTTAGGGATTCATTGAAAGTGGTGATGCAATTAGTTTTTTTTTAACCTTTCATTTAAATGTCCATTTCTACCAACATATCTCATCTAAAGCCGATTTCTACCTAAATTACTCAATTTCCAACAACATAAACAAAGACAATAATACAATACACAATGGTGCAGAGTTGTCTCAAGGTCTTCAGTAACAAGATAATAATAGAATCAATGCAATTTACCGGGCGGCACGGTGGTGTAGTGGTTAGCTTTTTCTTCACAGCAAGAATGACCTGGGTTTGAGTCCACCTCCAGGCATTTCTGCGTTTGGAGTTTGCATGTTCTCCCCGTATTTGTGTAAGTTTCCTCCGGGTGCTCTTGTTTCTCCTACCATTAAAACATGTACAATAGGTATGAATGTAGTGAGTGAATGCATGGTGTTGGTTGGGGGCTTTGATGCACCAAAAATATCTGAACTCTCAGAAATTGTAAAGCGTTTTGGGTCTGTAAAATGCGCTATATAAATAAAGATGAATTACTTTCCTGCTTACTCAAATTCCAAGTCGGCACGGTGGCTGAGTGGATAGCACTCTTGCCTCGCAAGAAGGTCCTGGGTTTGAATCCCGGTCGGAACAGGGTCTTTTCTCCGGGTACTCTGGTTTCCCCTACCACTACAAACATGCTCACTAGGTTAAATCCTCCAGCTCCGGTAGTCCTGTCCAAGCCTAGCATCAACATACAGAGATGGGTTCCCGGGCGCCCATCAGGATGGGTCAAATGCAAAGGATGAATTGTCCTACGGGAATCGATAAAGTGCACCTTTAACAGCTTTAATAAACCATGGCTCAAACTTATGTTTATTTCACATTAGATACATTTCTGTCAAAACTGGAGAATTTAAGCAATACTAACTTTTACATTTTCTCTGCAGCCAACACAGCCACCACCTGTAATGACCCAGGTGTCCCGGTGAACGGCTCCCGATACGGTGACAGCAGAGAGCCGGGAGACAGCATGACATTTCAGTGTGATCCTGGATACAAGCTGCACGGACAAGACACTATTACGTGTGTGCGCATGGACAACCGCTTCTACTGGAAACCAGACCCGCCCACATGCATAGGTATGGTCACTATGAAGACTTTCCTCATTTAAGCACAGAATGGCTCAAAATGGTTATGTTGAGAAAAAAAGGTAAAAGGTAACAACAAAAAGAAACATTTCAGAAGGATAAACTTGTGTACGATATTGTATTTTTTGGGCATCAACAAGTCTGTATTATAAGAAACTTGTAATATCAATAAACATATAATGGTGAAATAACCTTTCCATTTTCACATAAATACGTTGAAAGGAGCTCAGTACAAATGGGGTGGTCTTCATCCTGTGCAATTAGCCAAACAAGCAGATGAGAACAAGAGACTGAAAGTGAGTTAGCTGCGCTCCAGGGAACATCAGATTGCTTTATTAAATCAGATGAGAAATATCAAAATGTTTGCACTCCTTCCTCCTATTATCACCAATATTTATCCCACCTGCTGCGTGCAGCTCTGTGGGCTTCCACATCACACTCCTCTGCTTTTGCACAGCCACGTTCATGTTTATTCCTTCAAACTTTTCGTTTTGTGGAACAGACTGCAATTCCAAAGATATGAAACCAATTACTCAGTGACTTATGGATTGAATTATTTTGTCACGCAAAATGACAAGTTTACTGTATGAAGCCAGGGTACTTTCTATACAGCAACCTGGCTTCCTCTGTTTCCTTCATCTTTCTAAAATAATTTTCCATTCTTTGTTTCGAGTATCTCAGGCCTTTGTCTGTTTCCCATCCCATTTCGAGCATCTAAAGGGTTAACGTAAACAGTAAACGTCCACACTGAATATTTAATGCAAATGTTTATAGATCCCAAACATTATCGCATCAAAGAAATTCAAACGATTAGATCCAATCACTTGTTTTGTCATGACAGAATCCAGCTCTGCCCCGTCTCATATGTGAGCTGGTTAATGCCTTTGTTTACGTCTATTTCACAGTTGGTAATCTATTCACGCCCACATGGAAGCCACTAAACGTCTTTTTATGTTTAAAATCCAGGCTTCACGCCCCGAAATTACAATTGCCTCTGTAAGCCCAATACCCCTTCCCTGTTATTGCACTTCTGCACTCTAATTTGTTTTACGATAACAGGACTGCTAGGAGTGGTTCACCGTTAATTACCCCCCAGTCTAATACTCGGTAACTAAATCTCCCATCTTGCCCTGATTTTATATTGCACTTTCAACCCTGGTTGCTACCTGTGAATGTAATATTAGCTGTCCATCAGGGCTAATTTGCAAGCACTGTCTTAATGCTATGCTGCTGCCTTTGCCGGTGGGTCTCATCAAAGTGGTCAGTCAAGGGTCATTCTCATTCTATCAGCCTATTATTTCTTCCCGTCTTATCATTTTTTTTTATGCCTGTATCCAGCAACCTGTGGAGGCAACGCCAGTGGCCCATCTGGAGTTATCCTGTCCCCCAACTACCCCCAACCATACCCTGCAGGAAAGGAGTGCGACTGGACGATTCAAGTCAACCCTGATTTTGTCATAGCATTAATATTTAAAAGGTTGGTATACGCGTATTTTCACCAGCGCCTCTTTGGCATCTAATTTCATTGTAGATATGCGCAATCTGCCAGCTGTGTGATTCATACTTAATTTAGCATTATACAAATATCAGCTTTTGCCAGCGATGTTATGCTTTTTGGTCTGCCAATTCTGATGAGTGCTGCCTCTCATTTTCTGCCAAAGTGGACAAAGCTTCAAATTTGTCAAAGGCCAATAATAAAGCTTGACCTGACAAAAGTACATTTGGCAAAAACACAGAAAAAGAATGGAAAAAAGGCAAGTACTTGAATGTAGATTTGATTGACATCTTAGTGGTATTTTCCCCTTTTACCTTGTTCCAAGTCTGAACAACTACGGATTTAGTGACCAGTGTAAAAATGTGGAGAAAGCAGCCTAAGGAAACTTTTTAGATTGGCTGCCTTATGAGATTCCAGATTGAAATTAGCCTATGGCCGTTGGTTTACTTTCATGTTTATAATGTGTCTGTTCCGTGACATGCGCTGTCCTATTCAAATAGATAAATAGATTCAAATATGTAAAATAAAATAAAATAAAATAAATAGAAACTCTCTTTTGAGAAGTCAATTATTTGGAAAACGGTTTTATTTAAGAGTAAGACTTATGAATGGACCTAAGATATTTCCACAGCACTACAGAGAACCTAGTTGCAAGATGTTCATGTTCTCACTTGGTCTATTAAAAGCAAATCATGATGGACTTTGGGATTTGTATACTTTGTTTGAAGAGACGCGAATGTATCAAACAAATTGTTTACACTGTTTTGAGTTTCTTGACTGCCTGTGGAGAAGTTTATTTCCAATGTTTTTCTTTTCTAAATATCAATTTAGATACACTTAAACAACCACAAACCTGTGTGATCTATACATGACCATAACCAACTTTGAACTTTTTTCCACTGTGCATGTCCATCTTAAAGCTCATTCCCTTGGCAAATACATATGCAGATACTATATACACACGCATGGACTTTCCTTGTGACAGGTCGAAGACTAGGCTAACATCAGCACTTTCAAAGCAAACACTGTCGGAAGCTTGTCTGCAGGTAGCTTTCATACTATAGCCTCAGGGGGACTGGGTGTCATCACATATGTAAAGAGAGACAAGGAGGATGTGGAAAAGTTCGAAAAGGAACTACAATGAGCTCACACTGCACTTTGAAGATTCACTGCTAGAGTTAGGAGGATGTCAGACAGCTATGTTTATTGCCAAGCACAAATACAGGGGAAAAAATCAGAATAAGGTTCAAAGGTTTAAATTATTGTATACCTCATTACATGCAAAGTGACCTTCGTTTGTTATAATTTTCACAATTATGGCTCTCAGGGGATTTACAAGCGATGAGAAAATTATTAACTGTATCACAAGTTATATTTATTGATTTGTTTTCAGCATTTCACCCATCCTGTAATGCCTCTTGGGCCTTGGCCAGGAGCAGCGGTTACTATTGTACATGTTTTTAGTTGTGGAGGAAAACATGTGTAAACGCAGGGAGAACATGCACACTCCACTCAGAAAGACCCTGTTACGACTACGAGTCAAACCCAGGACTTGCTCATATTTTACTTTTTGATATTTCACTTGTACCAGTTTAGAAGCTAAATAATGTTTACAACAACAATGACATCAACATATAATCTACATTTATACATTTGTGACAGGAATGATCGATCATGAAAGTTGCTACCTTAAAATGTATATTCCTTCGCAGTTTCAACATGGAGCCGAGTTACGACTTTCTGCACATCTATGAAGGTGAGGACTCGAACGGGCCCTTACTTGCAAGTCTCCAAGGTAACCAGGCCCCAGAGCGCATAGAGAGCAGCAGCAACAGCCTCTTCCTGGCCTTCAGATCGGATGCTTCACTGGGCATGTCCGGATTCGCCATCGAATTCAGAGGTAATTAAATTGTCGTAATGTTATTCTGACAACTCATCAAATCATGTATTTTTTCTCTCAACATTTATCTAAAATAGTGTTGCCACGTTTAGCCACCTATTATTTCTTGTATCTACATTTAAAAGCATGATTTCAGTTTTGTTGTTTACCAGCCTCTCAGTAGCACAAAGACCTCTGCACTTTTATCATTGATTTCCTGGCTTTCATCTGCCATAACTCTAATTAAAATACAGCCTTAATCATCTCCTTGATTCACTCCCAACCTGCCCTCCCCCTTTCTTTCTCGTTATATCTCCAAATCTCACGCTCTGTGTCTGTCAAGCCCAATATCTCATTCTTATTGGCTGATCACTGAATAGCAAACAAGCAGGCTCGGTGCCAAGTCATAAAGATCAAGACACATTTTGATTTCCTCGCCTGGTTTTATGCCCTTGAATCATAATTTAACTTTGGAGACTTGAACCAGAATGCAAATTGTCTGTTGCTAACACATTTCCATTGTGGACAGAAAAACCAAGAGAGGCCTGCTTTGACCCGGGAAACATAATGAATGCTAGTCGAACCGGATATGACTATAAACTAGGATCCCAAGTGTCCTACCAGTGTCACCATGGCTACACCACAGTGGGTGGAGACACAATTACCTGCATCATGGGGAATGATGGGAAACCAATTTGGGACAAGCCACTGCCATCCTGTAAAGGTAAGGACACATTTTGTTAGTTAATTGAGAAGAGAATTTAATTTGGCATGACATAAATATATCTAAGGTTTAGTAGTTATATGAAGAGGTTGTTCAGTAGCAGTCACTATGGCAGCATCATGGCCAGATGTACAAACTAGTTTAAACTGGTACTCTCCTGTTATTGGCTTGGTTGTGAATTGCATTTTACAGAATTGAACGGGAAAACTGATGTTTCACTTTCTGCAGAAAAAGAAAACCGTGGCGTTGTGTTCCACTTTCTTTATTATGAGCTAACACATGAACACACACACACATACACACTTACTAGGTGGAGTGTTTGCAAATAATACCTCCCAATCCAAGGATGCGCTTCTACTAAATCTAGAGTTAAAATATGATTATAAAAACCTTGACTGAAAAAATTCACACAGTTCAATAACATTTTATTGCTAGTTGTGTGGCTTCCAGCAATGTCTTCTATTATTAGAAATCTTGAATATTTGCCTTCTTTGGTGTTTTCTGGAATGTATATCCTGACATGAGCAAAATGATTGGAGATGATTTTTTTCTCTGTAATTGCCAATTCAATGTAAACGATTGGTCATGTTTTCTGTTGTAAATGTCACAAAGTTCCGTAACTGCAGCCGTGCATGAGACTGTTGGTCCAAGGCCTGTAATTCCCCAGCAGTAATGCATATCTGTGCGTCTGAGGCGCCTGAGCTCTGTGCATCTGAGACAGGCTGTCAACAATTGGGAGGCTGAACTGTCGCTTTGATTGACAGCTCTGAGCACCAAGAAAGCGACACCTGCCAAACTGCCATACTGTGCTTTGTGTGACTTCACATCTACGTGTGATCTCCGAAGTAAGAGAGCCCTGACCTAGTGCCTCTTGGGGAGAAAATTCAAATAGGCTACAGTGCAAGGTGATGAGACAAGAGATGAATTTAAACTAGCAGCCACTTTCAAAGTGATAAGTATTCAAAAGGTTGATAACTTTTGCCTAATAAAGTTTGAGAGACAGTTGAAACGCTGTGTGGCTGGAAGAGTAGTTGAAGATTGGATAATTACACTGACAGTAACAAAAGGCAGACACCGCGCTACAAAAGCTGTTAAGTACTCCCATGATTTTTTTTTCAACTAAGGTTCAACTGCAGTTTCTTTCAGAATACTGCCACCAATTATCTACAGTTGACAATAGTTCAATGTAAAACCGGGCACACCGACGCACACACACACACAACACAGGCACAAAGACACAAAAAATCATTTTGACTGGCTATCATAGAGTGTGCTGCAGATATACTTGTTCTTCTGGATATATGGGGTTCTTGGTCACCTTCCAGACCAAGGCTTTGCTCAATTTGGAGACCACCATGTCTTTCAGGAGATGTTTGCATATATGCACTTTGTTACAACCCAGCTCTGCTAGGAAGTAACAAAAAACCCAAGATGTTAAATGGTAAAGCAAGTATTTAATTACAGGAATGTAAATGATAAGTTGTCATAAATCAAAAGGACACTATACAGGACCTAAGGGGGTTACTCAACGTTACCAAAACAAAACCTACACTAAATCTTTACACTTATACACATAGACACTAAACACTAAACTGACTGTTGTCTCAACAAAAGCGAATAGTCACAAAAACAAAACCTCAAAGTGACAACTAAAAAGAGACAAATCAAATCAAAGCTGTACAGACAATAAGGACCGTCACCCCTTGTGACAATGACAGACACTTTCTGAAGGACGATTTGTCATACCAGCCACACAAAGGCTGGCAGTCCCGAACAGGTGTGGAGTGTGGCCTTTAGTTGGAGTGACTCCAGGTGGGGAAGCTGGATTGGTCAGGTGCGCCGCTGCTCGTCCAGTCAGCACCTGAGACACGGACGTCTGGGAGGTGGGAGGGCCACTGGTTCTCCAATCACAGGCCAAGGATCTCTAGACAGAAGGGGTTGCCACACACACACACACAAAAAACACACAAAATCCAAAACAGGAGCAATTTACCTCAGATACGTGCACATCTGACAGTCTGCAATCAATCCTTTTTGCTCTGAAATGCACAGTGATCTTTGAGACCATATACTGAAAGCTGTGTGCCTTTCCAAATAAAGTTAAATCATTTGAATTTACAGCCGGAAGACCCCCGTTAAGTTGTTGAAACGTCTTCTTGAGGATGATCAGTAGAAATAAATGCTCCGGACTGTGATGGCAGAGGGACTCGAATGTGTTGGGAGGTAGAGAAGATTCAATCTAGTGCTTCGCTATTGTGATTAGCCCAAGGGCTTTGCTTCACAGACTTTGTGAATTAGGGATTTTGTCACGAATCAAGTTAAAAGTATTTAGGACGTTTTACCGGAAGTTTCCGTTTTCCACAGGGCTACACTAGTTTTCTTTCGATCCTCTCCTGCCTTTCCTCTTTGTTCTCTCTAGAGCTATTTTATGCTCTTACATTTTTAAATAGACTTGGCAATCAACTCACTACTGTATGCGCAACTGGCCATGCACTATAGTATGGATATTGTCAAAGGCTGTGAGGTACACATATTTTTGCCATACTCATTTGCACAAATATTTTGGATGAAAATTCTGAAGCAGAGCCATCACTCAACCTCCTACTCCAGTGAACCACCTTGCTCCTTTGTCCACTCCCCATTACCTACAAGGCCTTGATTCTTTGCTTTACTCTGCAAAAAATGATCAAATATGAGATCATAATTGCTAGAATCGAGTTTTTTTTAACTCGACTTAAGTTCATTCTGACTGTCTTAAAATGAGATTTGCCAATGAGACAAGCAATTTTGACTTGATTCAAGAACTATTGCTTTTTTTCTCATTCTAAGAGAAAAATATCTTGTATCTTTTTAAAACAAGACAATTTTTCTTGTTCCACTGGCAAATCTTGTTTTAAGGCAGTCAAAATGTGCTCAAATTTAGATACATTTTTTTTGTCTTTAATTCTGTCATCTTTTGCACCTACATTATGTGTTTTTTGTAGGTGTTGCATGTTCTTTTGCAAACAATAAATCATAAAGAGATAACCCCTGCTCAAAATTAAATAATCATGTTCCATTGTTGTGGTGCATGGAGAATTTAATCAGATTGTTTGTTGTTTTTTTTTACCAAATTATTTTCTAGAAGTCATAAATTAACCATTTTAGTCTAGCTACTATCATTTACCCACCAAGAACAAATATTAAGCTTGTCCCTACTTCTGAAAGTGCTTTAAACCGGTTTTAATTTAACAAATGTATGCTTTGATATCACTCATCAGCAGTTGTTGCGCTGATAAATCACAAATCTCAGTGTCAGTCTTCAGGGAGACCATATTGGATTTTTTTCACCACACAGTTCAAGTCGGGGGAGTTTTTGGCCAAGCTCTGTCTGTCTATCGTTCCTATTTTTGGGCCGCTCCTGGGGCTTTTAGACCAAACTCATTAGACGAGGTGAGACCCCTTTAAATAATACATCTCCGCTTTACACTCTGTCTACCCACTTCTTTCCCTTTTCATTCCCTCTCCACATCCTCTTGCCTGTAACTACTCCTGTCTCGTGGACCTCCTACCTTCGCTCTCTGTCTGTGATTTACTCTATATTTTTTCCCCCCAATATTTTTCTCCTCGACTTACTTTGCCTCTCTCGCTCTTTCACAAGCGTTCACTATCTCAGACCGCTCTTTTATTGGTTTCCATGGTAACTAAGAGCTGGTGCGAAGAAGAAGGAATTCTCTGTGACTGTTGATAGGGTTGTGTGTGCATAAAAGGCACAGAGACACAGCTATTACAGAGTGCCGCCTAGAGGCACGTACGCACGCACACAAACACACACACGCATACTTTTAAAAACCCACAGAGATGAAGCCGTCCGTTCACTGCGCTACGTAAACATGCATTATGATGTTACTTTTAAACAACAAAAAAGTCATTGGATCCATTTTGGTCCCTTTTAAAGGACTTTTTGAACTTAATACAATGTTACACCGAGAAGATTTGTGATAATATCTGGAACTCCACCCATTCCTTCACCCATTTCTCAATTGAAAAAAACTACTTCTACCTCTCTCTTGTTGTGGCATAGGGACAATTTTTTTACACTTCATACTTTTTTACATAGAGTTTCTACTTATGAACAAGTTCTTCTCCTCATTTCTTCACCTACTGATTGATTAGACTTTTAGAGAGTTGACACCGTTTTGACACTGCGTATTTCTTCATCTGATTTAATGTTTTTCTGTCGCAGCATCACAGTGCGACCCTGAGGCCTGGTACATGCATTACAATGTTCTCAGGTGACGTGGATCCATCTGCAGCGCTGTGTGGGCACATTTACAGAGCTAGATCGGCCTGTACGCTTTTCGGTTTCAAAATGTTTCACAGCTTTATCTCCGGATGGATATGGCCTAAATGATGGTGACATTGTATACAGCCCTCAGTCGTACAGGGATTAGTCAAAGCAAATGAAGGTTTCTCACCCATCATCTGTACTTCTTAGCAAGTTTTCCCGACGTTTCGTCCTCAACCTGGGGACTTCTTCAGGGAATGAATTCTCGGACCGCGCGTTGGAGATTTATAACCTATGGGTGCCATAGGTTATAAATCTCCAACGCGCGGTCCGAGAATTCATTCCCTGAAGAAGTCCCCAGGTTGAGGACGAAACGTCGGGAAAACTTGCTAAGAAGTACAGATGATGGGTGAGAAACCTTCCTTTGCTTTAAAGGTAGGACTGCAAAAATGCGTACAGATGATCAAAGCTTATTTATATGTGTAAGACTGTGACTTGCATTAGCTGCATATAATTGTGTACGCGTCACTGCCTGTGCGTAGGCATGTGAGTGTGTGTGGGTGTGCGTCACTGATCAAAGCATGTATATGAATGGTTTTGAGAATTCTGACACTTGAGCCTATAGCGTTGCCACTGGGTGATTGTGGGTAGAGCAAGTCAAGGCCTTAAGGCTTTGATTTCAGATGCACAAGGAGAGACAATCCTAAATGCAGTGTTTCAAGTCAATATAAGCCCACAGTTGGAGCAGTGGAAAAGAAATGAGTCCTTCTCAACCAATGTAGGACTGAGAGCTTCTGTTATGTATGAAATTATTATTATTCCATACAGTAATTTTAAAGTGACTGAACATGTTTTTTTATTTTTTTTTATTGCATCTTTATACGATTTATAAATTATCCGTACAATTTATATTTACAATTTTCAAGCAGATTATCCAATCACAGAGCAGAATGAAGCTCTCATTTGGGTTGCCAGTTTGTCAGGTAAAATTAAGCTGGTCTTGAATCCATCTTTATTTTTAGTATATATAACAAAAATAGCTTTCATTGATTTCAATGAAAGCAAGCAGGTACAAACAGAAGTGGCTATATGCAATACTCCCCAGCAGATGGATTCCATCAGTAATCAGTGCTACAGGAGCAAGGCAGAGGCTGGAAGATTTTGGAAACAAACGTTGGATTGTTATTGTAATGATTCCATTTATTTATTAGCCCTCTAAGACTCGTTTGGGTAACAGTACTTATGTCTGTGGGGTCGGTTACATCAGAGATAAAACCCCTGCACGCTGCACTGCCATACAGATGGATGTGAAAATGTGAAACTGTAATGTGAAAATACATTCTGTCTTTAATATGTAGATTCAGGAAACTCAGAAAGGACAGAATAGAACCATTTTCATACACTGCAGAAATATGGACCCATTTAACTAACTATGAAACCAGAGTTTTTTTTCAAGTTAGTAGCTTGCGTTTTAATGTTTTACGTTGCTATCCATCCACACACACTACCTCCAGCTCATCCGGGGGAATCCCAAAGCGTTCCAAGGCTAGACATAATCCATCCAGCTCCTGGGGGGTTCCTCCTGCTGGTTGAACATGCCCTGATCCCCACCCCTGGGAGGCATCCAAGAGGCATCCAGGAGGCATCCGGAATTTATTCCCGAGCCATCTTAACTTGCTCCTTTTGAAGTGGAGAAGCAGCGGCCCTATGCCGAGCTCCTCCCATGTGATTGAGCTCCTCAGCCCAGCCACTCTGTGGAAGAAACTCATTTTGACCACTGGTTTCCGCAATCTCGTCTTTTTGGTCATTACCCAAAGCTCAGGACCATAGGTGAGGGTGGGAACGTGCCTTTCGACTCTGCTCCCCCATAATCTCACACGCTAACCCTACCTCACTTGTGAACAAGACCCTAGATACTTGATGTCCTCCACGTGAGGAAGGGCCTCCCTACTCACTTGATCTTCCTCCCAGTCGCTTCACTCTCGGCTACAAACTGTTGCAGTGCATGTTGCAGGTTCTGGTTTGTTGGAGCCAAAAGGACACCATTGTCTGCAAACAGCAGAGATTATGTGGTCTCCGTCTGGATTGATTGCTCCAAGAAATCCTCCAGAGTACGTATGTCTGTGGTCTGTGTCACGACTAAACTACAGACAAAAGTGGAGCCATCTTAAACCCAGGATTTGACACAATGACAAAGTGCATAAAGGATGCACTAAATCTGCACATAGTTATTCATCTTGCATTTGTTTATTTCTAAAACTCTTCATACACCCCCTATATATTTTTCAAGATTTGTGCAATTGTTGGATTTTTCTGGCAGCTTAAAAAGTCTGCTGTACTCTACTTGAGCTGAGCACACATGGTTTTGACAGTGTAAATGTCAATGTCATTCTTCTTCAAATTGTTTCTGTCTTGGGCCTGTTCTACTCCCCTGGTTGAAGCACCACTTACTTTCTCTTTGTTAAATACACATCATGTTTCAAACTAAATCAGAATAATGGTAAGAAAGTCTCATCTGAGCTTTGTGGCCTTGTGAGCAATACTGTGCTAAGACAATGTGACGACTGTTTTCCCTTACCTTACTCCCACGCAACACAAGTAAAAAACCAGGAAAGTAAAATCAACACAACAATAATTCTCCTTCAGCTCTCTTTTAAGTGACTCAGCGTTGGTCATAATATTGGGTTGTGGCCAGAGTGAGCCATAACCTCAATAATGGACTGGACTGTAAATGTCATGATGGGAGTGGGTGAGAGTTATTACTCAACTAATTGTTCAATAGGCAGCTGAATTTACCGTTTCTATTCAATGGCATTGTAGCAACAGTAGGCATTTCTTACTTACAGGGGCAGACAGTATTAACCTCTTGAAAAGCTCTTTGACAAGTTTGTGAAAATCAAGTTTTTTTTCACCGACATCGAACACATTAGTCGCTCCAATTCACCTTCTTTACTTCTTCTCTTGCCTTGTGTAAAAATAGTAATCGTGCACAGACATTTCTCCTATTGTGATGAGAGTGGCCATCATCAGAATAGGTCAGCAGAGGTGACGTGGCTTCCTGGTGTGTACAGTTTTGACACATGTGCTACTATCTCTCCATACCTGACACTCGCACGTTGCTCTCAGGGACCCCTCGGCGTGCTCTTATTTCATTGACCTTGCTTGTTGTAGTGCGCAGTATAAATGCGTTCACACCCACACGTACGGCTCGTAACCCTCTCGGGAGCTGCAGGATGGATCAGTCTGTGTTCTTGCTGCTTCTTGTGGGTCTTGTAATGGTTGTGGGGATTAATAGGCTTTTAGAAATTGCACAGCGCTGATACAGAAGATCCCACACTGTGCAGCAGCTCGCAGCACATAAATTAATTCCAGTTTTTTTTCTCCCTGCCGCAGTGTTGTCAAAAGGATCTATAAAGCAGTTGCAATTATTTTCTTAGAAATAATGTGCTAAATGCTATGCCAATCTCATTATGCTGTATTTTAGGGATGTGCTTTGGTTAAAACTTTTCTATTGCAGGATCTGATATTTTTTCCCATGGAGATTTTTTGTCTTTAATGTTCCCTTCAGCTTGTTGAACTTACTTGAAAACATGGTACGCAGAGATACCCCATTAAAATATGGTAAATTTGTGTTAAAATGGTCATCCCAGCCCGATACAATAGGACCATTGACACAATAACTCTTTCTATTACAATAATGAGTTTAGTGTTTCTTTGTATATGATTCTGATGTAGATACATGTGATTCTAATTATAACCTGAAGACATGACATAATTAAGCATTGTAAGAACAAAGTACATTTCTTTCTTTCTCTTGATGAACTTGTTTTCTCTTTGTGTTCCTCTAGCCCCATGTGGAGGACAGTACAGTGGATCTGAGGGGGTTGTGCTTTCTCCTAATTACCCTCTGAACTACACAACCAGACAAACATGTACCTATTACATCACTGTGTCCTCGCAGTTTGGTAAGTGCACACAACACAATTAGAAGCTAAATAATTACCATGCTTTTTCTATAAATAAATAAATGTGCCTGTGCTTGCCTGACCTGCTCCTCCAGTGGTTTTTGGTCAGTTTGCAGTTTTTCAGACGGCCATGAACGACTCTGTGGAGCTGTTTGATGGAGCCGATGAAAACGCTCGGCTGCTCAGTTCTCTCGCTGGAACACATTCTGGTAAAGTTCACTGTGAATCTTTATAGTTATGCATTTTAAATGCTGTATTATCCACATATTCAAAGTAAACACTGCTGAACTTTGCAGACATGATGCTGGCGGTTTTACAAATGTTAATTATAAAATAAGCAAAATTTTTGCAGGATGGAATTAGAATAGTATAGAATTAGTGGAATAACTTTGCATTCCATGGTAGAATGCAAAGTTATGGTAGAGCATTGGCCTTTGAGCCTGAAGGTTGTGGGTTCGAGCCCACCATAAGACCATCTCCACCAACTCCCACTGATGTCTGCTGCCTGAAGCCCCCGCTGAAAGATCAAGGCTCCTGTGGACTCACCACCTGCAGGAGGATCAGTGAGGGGCTGGTGTTATGTGTACTGGGTGGCATCTCACCCAGTACACATAAGATGCCACCCCCCCCCCCCCCCCCCCCCCCGACCCCCGACCCGGAAATGAAAGGGGTAGAAAATGGATGGATGGATGGAATAACTTTATTGCCTTTCATGTGTAGTGATGGCAGATGGTTTTATGTAATTTTCTTTTTCTTTTCTTTTCCAACTTCAGCTCTGCCAACACATGCTCGTTATACCTTGTTGTGAAGCACCAGAACTCTACTTGCATTTTTTTTTTTCAACGCTAATGTATCTGATGAGTAAACATTTGTCACTTTCAGCTCAGTCAAATATGAACCAATATAGATATGTCATACATCATTTTAAAACTAAGAACATCCCAAATCCAGTCAATCCAGTCAATATAACAAAATCCCCAACAGTGGAACCAAAACCTGTAAACTAAATGTATGTACAGTATATACTTTATATGTTGAAAGTATGCACCAATATATTTACTTTCTTCAGACTTGTTGACTTGTTGACAGAACCATGTGACACAGTTGTAGATTGTAAAAGAAAGTACAGTAAAAACAATGTAAGAAATTATTGATTAGCATAGATGCAGGCAAAATGTGCTCTTATAGCCGTAGAGTGTTGCGTTCTTCTCTTATCTGCTGTGGCCAGAGGGCATGCTGCAGGGGAATCCCTCTGGAGTTCACGCTGGATATTTTTTACTACTGCACACAGAGCTTTTATCATATTTCCCCCGCTCACTTCTGTTTACTCAGTGGAAAAATGTGCACTTTAATAAAGATAATTAGGCATCAAATAATAAAATGTTCTTTTTCTGATTTAGTACTTAAAAATACAGCTCGTTTGAAATATGTAACGGGATGATAACATTTAAACAGCAATATAACAGCTTTCAATGTTATTATTGTATGAACAAAAGAAAATGGTGCGGCATAGTGATTATGAGCTGCCGTTCCTTTTGTCTTTTACTGGACAACACTGTCTTGGGCTGACTGATATTTGAATAATTTCATCAATTCAAGTAGTTACATTCACTTATTATAAATTGAGGCAAAGTGAAGCCACAAAAGAATATTCTGTGACTGAATGGCAGAGAAAGTTGTGTAATTACTGCGTTTTCAGAGACGTATAACCTTGTATTATTACACTTGTTAATTAGTCACTGATTATATTGTCAATAATTTATTAGTTGCAACAAATCCAATAAGTTAGCCATGTAGTGTAGTGAGTAATGCAAAATAATAATTACCTCTGAGTATGTTTTATAGATGATACGGTAATTGTACACTTGGATGGGAGAGGGAGCAGCGTGGCAGAGGGGGCTTCAGCATATGCTCCGTGTGTCCGTTTGAGAAACCTAGCACACCAACCAATATGAAAATGCTCTAAGTGAAAGAGAGAAGAAGAAGAAAGACTATTTAGAGTTGTAAGAAACTTTTAAAAGTATGGAAAAAAACAGTACATTTTCTAGTTTTACATTTCATTCCTTAAACGGTCAGGAGCCATTGTTCTACATAACAAGTGGGTGGATTTGGTGTTCTGATTAATGAGGCTCAACATGATGCAATTTTCTCCCCCCCCCCAGCACTATCCATCTACAGTATGTTGGTTCAAAGGAAACGGACAAGAATGGGCGACTTATTTTTAATGTTAATTTGGATCTGAAATACCTCGTTATGCTTGAACACAGCAAGTTGTACTAAATAATGTTATCTGCCTCATTACACCTCCTTACACGCACACACGCACACACACACAAGCACACACACACACACTGAAATCACAATGCTGCTAGACAGAAGAGCATTGTAGCACATTGTTCCAGCTAAATGACTGATTATCCTGGCACAAACATATTAACACACAGGGCTGAATACCAACACATGCACGCTCATTCTGATGCAGCTAATGATGGCTCTAAATGTCAGCCACACCAGGCCATGTTCCCCTCATTCATCATCCTTACTTGGGTTGACTCTCTTTGTGTGCACTCACATATTGCTGGGGAACAATGTTACAGTGGTCCCTTCTCCAGAGACTCTTGTTTAACTTTTTATTGTTAAACCAAATTTGTATATTTATTTATAACAAGTCATCTTGAATCTTATGGCCATACACCAAGGCATAGTAAAAATACAATAAAAACTTCACAAAGTGATGGTTAGACAAACTTTTTCTGTCTTTATGCGTTATGACAATGTGTGTGCGGCATTTAATGTACAGTAGTGTATGTTTTAAGTGTACAGGTGAAACTCAGAATATCATTCAAAAGATGAATTTATTTCTGTAATTCAACTTAAAATGTGAAACCATAAGGAAGCCAAGTCTTGGTTTGTTATAAAGTTGTTGATTATGCCTTTCAGTCTATTTTCATAATATATTTTTCTGAGGTGTGGGGTTTTTTTGCACAATGTCAACATTGATTCATCTCACTTTGTGTGTAATAAGTCCGTCATTTACTACTTTCACATTGTAAGTTAGATTGCAGAAGTAAATTTGTCTAATTTTTTGAGTTTCACCTGTACTTTACTTACTTTTCTTTACTTAATATCAATATTAGTAATAATGTTTTATGCAAAAGTGTAGCATAATTGATTCATCCTCAACATGGCATAACTGATCTTAAACAAAATTCTGTCCTGTTTTTTAGAATTTTTTTGTTTTTCTGTTACGCTTCACAGCACAGCCATATCATTCTGCATCCACGTAATCCAAGACAACCTGTATTACATCATCTTAATGCTTTTCCTTGTGTGTGTCCTAGGGGAGACATTGCCACTAGCCACCTCCAATCAGATTATGCTGCGGTTCAATGCCAAGAGTGGCCAGTCAGCTAGAGGCTTTCATTTTGTCTACCAAGGTAACTATAATTCTTCAAGTTCACCATTCAAATCCCTTTGGCTCCTGATCTATTGCGTTTTAACTTTCTGTATTATACTTTTTAGCGGTACCTAGGACCAGTGATAGCCAGTGCAGCTCAGTTCCAGAGCCGCGGTATGGTCGGCGGATTGGTTCAGAGTTCTCAGCTGGCTCGGTGGTCCGCTTTGAGTGCAGTCCAGGATATCTGCTCAAAGGATCCAGTGCAATCCAGTGCCAGGCCGTACCAGGGGCTCTCGCGCAGTGGAATGCATCCACCCCCACCTGCATAGGTATGACTCTCCAGAATCACCAATGATCAATGGAGTTAGAAACCTTGATTTGTCAATTTGTAATCAAATATTGAAATACTTGACAAACTATAGTAATAGTGTGTACTGTGACTACTTTATGTTATGTACTTTTTTTGACAAATTATAAGAACAAAAGTCCAATCCTGGTTCTAAAACAGTTTGGTTGTATTTTTGGCCTTTGTCAAATCTTTAGATCAGCTTTATCAGACAGAAAAGTGAAAAATAGAGGACCACCTTTCCTCAGCCAATCAGCACTTGTGACTCACAAAGCTAGTTCTTACAAGTTTGCAAAATACTGTTATTGTTTTCTCATTATGCTGAGATCTGATTTGTTCACAACATTATTACGTTTACTCGACTCTTTCCGTTGGGAATAAGATAATATAAGATTTGTTGAGAAAAGTCCAATGGAATCAATCAATAACATAAAAACATCTATTTATATTGATATCTATTTGCTTGCATGAGCTGTCATTTTCGCTTCACATACAAAACTAATAGTTCCAGCTGTCTTTTTACATCTCCCAATAAATAATCGTTGTTATCATATTCACTCAACAGCACCCTGTAGTGGTAATTTGAGCGCTTTAATGTCTCTCGGTGTGCACAAACCACATGGCTGCAAACTGTCATATTTGTTAGCCCCTTTGTTAATAAACTTTGACAACAAATACATTTTTTATGTTATAATTTCAGTTCCCTGCAGTGGCAATTTGACGGAGCGCCGTGGTACCATCCTGTCTCCTGGATATCCTGAGCCGTACCCAAACAGCCTCAACTGCCTCTGGAGGATCCATGTCAGCGAGGGGGCTGGCATACAGGTGGGGAAACGGCTCTGAATCACACTATAATTAAGTCTGGAGAATCTCAATAATCTTTCATCTGCTTTGAGTTGCAGATTCAAGTGATGACGTTTGCTACTGAGCACAACTGGGATTCTCTGGAGATCTATGATGGAGGGGACATGACAGCTCCTAAATTAGGGTCATTTTCTGGTATGACAATATGTTCACGCTCTCCTCCTATCTCCCACACACCGCTGCATACACAATAACCATTGGCCGTGTGATGGATGAGGCTCGACAGGTCTTAAACTATAGATCCGCGCACATCCATGGCTGCAGCCCCATACATGGATAAGCACACAAACAGACAGCAGGGATTTGATGGATTACATATGACACGGTGGCCCCCGCTGTCACAGAATCCTTGTTTTAACACACACAATGTTACGCGGGAGATACGTGATGGATGACCCGTAATATTATGTAATGCTATAAATGTTTTCCGGATAAATTCACAGTTGAGTTAAGATTGCAAAGGGGAGGGGTGTCAGTATTAGCTTAAGTGAAGTGAAAGGAAAAAAAGCGTCAGAAGATAAAGGCAGGAAGGAATAAAGAATGATCTAACCTTTACGAATTTCCCAACGGAGTTTCCCCTGTGACCTGCCCCAAGCACACACCTGTCACACACCTATCACACAAAGAACATGCCACCAAGAGGGCACGCACACACTTGCATGCACACAAATGACTGTGCCCTTCACAAGGAGCCACTCAGGAGAGCAGCCCACTCTAACCATGGTGACCACAGAGCGCCTGCACGGAGCCAGGTGACAAGAGCCTCACTATAATGGCCTCGATAATGGCTGTCCGTTTGGATGGATGACTAGCTGTCCAGAAAGGGCCAAGGGTTGTTCATCTACTGTTCCTGTCATGTACCTTTGTGCTCTGAAGGTTTGAACATAAACAAGCAAGGCAAGGCAAGTTTATTGATGTGCTTATCAAAACAAGCTAAGACACATAAAATTCATACATACAAGGCATTCAAATCCTAAATAGTCTCAGTACATTGAAGATACAATCATATGATTGTATTGTCAGAGTAGAAGCCTAAGTCACATTTTTAGAAAGACCGTTCCATATATTAGCTGCATCTGAACTGCTACCTTCTAATGTTTAGTCCTGACTCTGGGTACCAGCAGGAGACCAATCCCTGTGCTCCTCAGAGTCAGAGTTGGTTCATATGGAACTAACAAGTCACAGATGTACTTTGGTGCAAGGCTATGCAGAGACTTGTACACAAGCAGAGCTGTTTTAAAGTCTATTCACTGAGCCACAGGAAGCCAGTGCAGAGACCTGAGAACTGGACTAAGAAATAATACATTTTTAAAAACATTAAAGGCACACCGCGGACTTTGTGACCTAAAGAGTTGACACATATGAGTTATTTTATATGAATACTTGGGCCAATATACAGCGCTTGACACTTGCAATGCTCCGAGCGGGGCTGCCCTCTTGAAATACCGCCCATGTAAGTTTCGAGCAGACGGACCGTCTGCCACCAGGTCACGTGACTTGGAAGAAAGACTTGCTTTACGGCTACAGGCGCTGATATACTCATGGAGCTAAGGCTTTTGCTACTCATTTTTCACCTGCTCGACTCCTGGTCATGGCTGAGGCAAGGAAAAATTTTAAACCTTCGGAGGAGGCTAAAAAGAGGAAACGCGAAAGGGATCGTGCTGTAAGCTGCATGTCTGTATGAGCGCTGCTCTTCACCTGGTTCCTGGATGTCATCGACCGCAAAGATGTCATTCCACGCAGCACGAGCTAGACGCAGAACTCCCTCATCCAGGATATAGAAGTCCATGTGTGGTAGATTACTAATGCAGCGGTCTGGAGGCTGACCACAGCAGAGTCTCTCAATATCTGTAGGCATGTCTCTACAGTTTGAACACACACACCAGTGCATGCTGTCTGAATACACACTCAAAAGACACCGGCTGACTGTTGACTTTTGCGACAGTGCTGAGTTGCTTGTGGCCACTAGGGGCGCTAAACGTGAAAGTTGCAGGTCTAGCGCCCCTAGTGGCCAAGAGTTACACGGTGTGCCTTTAAGCACAATTGCCTAATAAATATAATATTTCATAGTGCCCAGATATTTCACTCTTTTAGCTTGGGAAAAATCAAGTGATTATTTGGTATCAGTTCCACCAGGTGTGTCTTCAAATATATGATGTGTTTTTACTAGTGCTGTCCAACAATTAAAATATTTAATCGCGATTAATCGCATGAATTTCATAGTTAACTTGCGATTAATCGCAAATTAGTCACACATTTGTATCTATTCTTTATGTCCCTTGAATTAATTAAAATAAAATAAAAATAAAAAAATAAAATTAATAATAATAAAATAAAATAAAAAATGAATGAATAAGTAGATAAATATAATTATAACATGAATAATATGTGCATATGTGCATATAATGATAATACACAAGTCAGGGTAAGCGAAAGCTTATTTTAATGCATGACACGTTTAGTTAAGAAAAACACTTGGGAAAAAGGAACAAAATAAGAGAGGGAATGGGCCGGGCGTGGGCTCCCTCCCCCCCTTTTTGGGGTGGGGGCCTGCTTGGGGGTCTGTGTGTGTGTCGGATTTGGTTTTGATGTTGGCTGGGTTCCGCTAACTGTAGCTTGGTGAAACTCAGGCGGGCAGACTTTATATCTTATCTTATCTGTGGGGTGTATGTGTGTGTGTGTGTGTGGAGTGTGTGTGTTTATGGGTGTGGGTGTGTGTGTGTATGTGTGTGTGGGTATAGACCATAGACTGTATAGAAACATCATGGTGTCATTATGATGATGATAAACAATCTGTAAATATTTTGTAAATGTGTTCTTTCGGTATATCTATGACTGTATACTGTTTGCTTGTATTGCCTTTTTTATTAACCCCTCCCCCCATCTCCCACTTCATGCCCCCCCCCCCCCCTCCTATGTGCCCTTCTGGGTTTCTTCTTTGGCCCCCTGTATCTCCAACTACATATTGTTTGTAATCTCTGTCTACAATGTATCTGAACTAGTCCTTTTCTTTGTTTCTATTTTTTTTTTCAGTATAGGTGTTTGTCTGCAATAAAAAGTTAAAACGTTTTTTTTTTTTTTTTTTAATCGCGCGATAAAAAAAATGACGCCGTTAATATTGATTTGCGTTAACGCGTTAATAACGCGATATTTTGGACAACACTTGTTTTTACATAAGGCATATAGATAGTTACTAATAATGTTAAGGACGCACATGTGTAATTGCCAGAACTATGGTCTCTCGAATACTCATTAGATCAATACATTTTCAATATTATATTTTGTTACCGCCCTAAAGAGGACCATCAACAGCTCACTCAAATGTAATAGAGACCCAAAAGGAGTAGGCAGAAGCAAACCTTCCAATTTCACGTTATTTAATTGTGCAAACAGGTTGATTTTTTAACTTGTTTCTTTTATAATTTTTTTTTAGGTCATGATTGTGATGTATACACTTATAACATATCTTTTATCTATATGTTTTAGGCACAACAGCGCCAGCCCTTCTTAACTCGACATCCAATCAGCTGCTCCTGCACTTTCAGAGCGACATCAGTGTGGTAGCAGCGGGCTTTCACCTAGAATATAAAAGTAAGTTCTCTCTTGCAATACATGTTGTGGGATGCACTCATGTTGATTTACCGTAAACTTCAGATTCAGATATCCAAAGCCACTGACCTGAAATGGTTTTGCCTCAAACCATCCACACACACCAGGACATGCACTTCAACACAGCACCAACAAAACAAGTGGGCTTAGTGTAACACAGGTAAACAGAAATGTCAGATCTATACATGAGCTAAAAAGCGTTAGTGAGAAGGACAGGCAAAACAAATATGTACCGAGTTCTTCTGTTAGAACATACACACAGACACACACACACACCTGCCAGGACACTGTTGTGCTTTTGCTACTTTGTAGATGTTTCGGGTTAGAATCACTTCTAGATCAATGAACACGTCCCCTTTTCTGAGCAGTTCCTGGACTCAGTGTATTTGTAGGTGAGTGCACACATTTGTGGCTTGGCGGTTTGTATTCCTGCCGAGGAAACAACATTGCAATTTCTTTTTCCAAGCATTTTTGGAAAAACAAATTACAAACTGTAAAAGCAAAGCTGAAATGCAGAAATAATGTAATTGAATACTTTTCTATCAGAAAAATAAGTCATAATGATGATGGAAATGCCAGCCATTTGCTTTTAGATCTTTCATTTTGTCATCTAATAGTCTTCTAATTGGACAGTGAGTTCTATTGTGATACTGAAATTTCCCCACTGTGGGACGAATAAAGGATCTCTTAATCTTAATCTTAATATGAATCATGTCTGGCTCAGTTGTCACAGTTTTTCTTAGATAATCTTTTCACTTATATCTTTGTGTTTTTAGGTTACAAATAATTTCATTAGATTTTACGTTTTTTTTCTAGTTTGAAGGTGTTTTTAATTTCATATTTATGAATCATCAATGCATTGCCAGTTTGCAGGGCTAGTTGTCTCAACAGTTTGAGGAGTGATACTCCCTCCGCACGCACTTCCTCCGAAATGTTCCAAGGCCTCTTGAGAGACATAGTCCCTCCAGAGGCAGCGGCTCTACTCCGAGCTCTTCCTGTTTCCAACGGGGAGGATAGGAACATAGATTGACTAAACAGAGTGTTTCGCATTTCAACTTTGCACACTCTTTACCACAACAGACCAATACAGCTCTGACTGCAGACGCTGCTCCCTCTTCACCACAACAGACCAATACAGCTCTGACTGCAGACGCTGCTCCCTCTTCAACACACACTGCTCCGATCTGTCTGTCAATCTCACACTCCATCCTTCCCTCACTCGTGAACAAGATCCAAGATACTAGAAGTCCTCCATTTGTGGAAGGACCTCTCCAGCCGCCTGGAGAGGGCAAGGCATCTTTTCCTGAGGTGCTGCTTTTGATCCCATTATTATGTAATAAGAAAATAATGAAACAAGATAATAATTTTTCTTGTTAATTGTTCCAAAGAAGTGGCTTTTGAGTCTTTTATGAAATTAAAGGTTTTGTCCCCAGGACTGTCCTCAACAAAACTGGAGCAGAACAGTAAATCCAGTCAGTTAGATTTAAATGCTGACATGACTTGTTGTAGTCTGGTGGCCCTAGTGGGGTAGATTGTGGAGCTGTCAGCATTTTATAGAGCATCAGTGCTCCTCATAACCACTGAGTGGAGCGAGCCGTTTGCTGCACATAGAGAGAAAGATGGGCAGCCAAATGGAATAGTTTCATTGATCAGTTGTCATGACAGCCTGCTGATGCTCTGCCTAATAATACTCTGTATGGATGTGTGTCATGCAGCTTTTCCACTTATATTCCCTCGAAAAGTCTTCTTGGTCCCCTTGTGAAAACACAAACTCATTGAAGAGATGGTTCACAGGAGTGTTAGAGCACTGTGGGATTTTCACTGGTTAGAAAATAGATAATGAAGGAACAAGAGCAGATACACAAGCCAACATGCAGATGCACATGCACATGCACACGGACACAGACTCCTCTCTCCCTCTCGCTCTCTTGAGTCGCTCTGCCACCCCTGTGTTGCCATGGAAACGGCTCGAGGGCAGTCTCCTGCGGAAGTTTCTAAAACACACAACTCCTCAGCCCGACTGATGCTATGATAAAGGAGTGACTGCTGCCAAACTTATTATGCATGTTTAATTTGCGGTGTTGGGAATTTTCCGGAGACTCATGGCGCTACACTTAGACATAGATTTATGGAACTTTTCAGCAACTTTTGGCTCCACCAATACACAATGTGTGTGTTTGGAAAATATTTTGTATATCATCAGCATGACATCAACATTTGTGGGTTTTTTTTCCAATTTTGCAACTGTCATGATGTTGATAATACACAAGACATTTTTGAATTCATAGTAAAAGAGTAAATTATATTATGATGCATTAATATGATTAATGTAAAAGTATAATTATTCTCTGGTTGTTAAACCCGTTAGGTTGGTATATATTCTTTATAGTATAGACTGACATTGCAGTGACCCACATGCAGCTGTGAAATGCTTATGAGGGCTTGTTCACACTAAAGGTGCGAAAGTTTTTAATGATTTTACTATTTAGAAGATATATCAGGGATGGGGTTTAACCAATTACTTCCTCTGTCCATTAGTAGTTGCTAGAAGATAACTGTTTTATACGCTAGTCAAGTTTTCGGCTTTAAAGGTTCTTTAAAAGACAAAAAAGAACCTTTACATCTTTATCCATTTGATTATTTTCTAATCTATGATAGTAATTTTAGTCTTTGAGTTATAACCTGACCAAATCCAGATAATTGACTTTGTGTTCACTGTAGTACTGATTTGGGTTTTGTTTTCAGCGGTCGGTTTAACGACATGTCCAGAGCCGATGATGCCGGCCAACGGGATCAAGACAGGAGACAGATACATGGTCAATGAGGTTGTGGCCTTTTCTTGTGAGGCTGGGTATACATTGCAGGTGACTAAACTTACACATCGCTTATTTTTCCAGAATTGATATGAATGTTGATATTAAAGTATACTTTTAATCTCCAGGGACACTCTCATATATCCTGCATGCCCGGGACAGTACGGCGCTGGAATTACCCTCCTCCTCTTTGTATCGGTAAGACACAAACATTTACATTTTATTTTATTCTTATTATTTTCAAACCACTTGAAAAATGTTTCTATTGCCACTCAAGAATATGCATTGATGTTTGTCAATGTGGCTCCTCTGATCTGTACCTTTATTTTAGCTCGTTGTGGTGGAGTGCAGACAGAATTGAGTGGTGTCATCCTTAGCCCTGGTTTCCCTGGCAACTACCCAGGAAACTTGGACTGTACGTGGCAAATAGTCCTGCCATCTGGATATGGTAAGTGCTATGTGCCCTCAGATTATAAAGTGCAATTTTTATATCTACCAAGCGCAACACTGTAATGTTTTGTAGGAGCCCATATCCAATTTCAGAACTTCTCCTCGGAGGATAACCATGACTTTCTGGAGGTCAGGGCGGGACCACAACACAGCTCAGCTCTGATTGGCCAGTTTACAGGCTCTCAGATCCCGCCTCCTTTGCTCAGTACCACTCACCTCACGATCATCCACTTCTACAGCGACCATTCAGAAAATAGACCTGGCTTCAAACTGACTTACCAGGGTGAGTTTTCTACAAGCGGCTATATTTGTACAAAAGTAATTTGAAAAAAGTATTGCTCTTTTTATCATATTTGGAGATCATGTTTCACTGCAAGCTCAGGAAGGAAGTTATTGAACTCATTACCTAACTTCATCAAAGTATTACACTGCATAAAAAAACATTGCGTTAAGTAGTATGCTCACATGCTTTGATCGTAGATGAGTCACATTAAAGACTACAAACCTTATGGCAGGCCTCTCATCATTAAAAGATTGTTAGTAAGTCCCTCTGAGAGACGGGCATCCTGTCCAGAAGGCTTAAGTGACAGCCTCAAGTGTTTCACTTCAAAGACATAAGATGAACTCACACACTGACTTCACTTTTTTCTTTACTTTGAAATCACAAAAAGAACCAGTTGTTCAGCTTGGGTACCCAACTTTTTGAATTTGTACAAGTAATGCCATTGTAAGAGCATTTAGAAGGATCCCTTATTTGCTTATTTGTCCCTTTTCGCTTCTGTTTCAGTTGTTGTTATTTTTATCATTTAAACCCATCAATGTATTTAACAACATGCCAAGATATCCTGTAATGCCATATAGGGCTTATAAGGAGCTGTAGTCGCCATACAGCACCCATCTCAGATGTTGATGTATAGCTTGGTCAAGACTACTGGACCTGTAGGATTTTACCTATTGCACACGTTTTTAGTGGTTTGGCAGGTTTTCAGTGGTTACAATCAATTTAGAGATAAATAATATACAGTGCAGACTAAAAGTTTGGACACACTTTTTCATTCAATGAGTGTCCTTTCTTTTCATGACTACTGACTGTAGATTCACACCCAGGCCAGGCCTTCAACCATTTATATTTTACTTGCCCAATGTCAAAAGTTACTTGCCCAAACATTTCTCAATACAATGAGTTAACAAGAGTTTGGCAATAAAGTGGCACTGTCTGTGGAAAAAAATCCACTCTCAGCCCAAAAAGTCAAAAAATCACTCCCAGGGCTCTTAAGTATGCAAAATAAAATAAAAGACGCCTGTTGGGGTGTGTTCTGATTGATTTGTTCACAAAATGTTACTTTTGTGCACATCCAAAAGTGTTGTGCACGAGTAAATGTGTTTATGGTTCTGTCCGCGCGTCTGTGGTCCTGTCCGCATGTCTATGGTTCTGTCTGCGTGTCTATGGTCCTGTCCGCATGTCTATGGTTCTGTCTGCGTGTCTATGGTTCTGTCCGCATGTCTATGGTTCTGTCCGCATGTCTATGGTTCTGTCTGCATGTCTATGGTTCTGTCCAGGTGTCTATGGTTCTGTCTGCGTGTCTATGGTTCTGTCCGCATGTCAATGGTTCTGTCCGCATGTCTATGGTTCTGTCCAGGTGTCTATGGTTCTGTTTGCGTGTTTCTGTGATCCTGTCTGCGTGTCTATGGTTCTGTCTGTGCGTCTATGGTTCAGTCCGCGTGTCTATGGTTCTGTCCGCGTGTGTCTATGGTTCTGGCCGTGTGTGTCTATGGTTTTGTCTCCGTTTGTCTATGGTTCTGTCCGCGTAGGTCTATGGTTCTGTCCGCGTGTGTCTGTGATCCTGTTTGCGTGTCTATGGTTCTGTCTGTGCGTCTATGGTTCAGTCCGGGTGTCTATGGTTCTGTCCGCGTGTGTCTATGGTTCTGGCCGTGTGTGTCTATGGTTTTGTCTCCGTTTGTCTATGGTTCTGTCCGCATGTGTCTATGGTTCTGTCCGTGTGTGTCGATGGTTGTGTCCGCGTGTCTATGGTTCTGTCCGTGTGTGTCTATGGTTCTGTCCGCGTAGGTCTATGGTTCTGTCCGCTTGTGTCTGTGCTTCTGTCCACGTGTCTATGGTTCCGTCCGTGTGTGTCTATGGTTCTGTCCGTGTGTCTATGGTTCTGTCCGTGTGTCTATGGTTCTGTCCGCGTGTCTATGGTTTTGTCCGCGTGTCTGTGGTTCTGTCCGCGTAGGTCTATGGTTCTGTTCACGTGTGTCTATGGTTCTGTCCGCGTGTCTATGGTTCTGTCCGTGTGTCTATGGTTCTGTCTGCGTGTGTCTATGGTTCTGTCCACGTGTGTCTATGGTTCTGTTCACGTGTGTCTATGGTTCTGTCCGAGTGTGTCTGTGGTTCTGTCTACACTTCTATGGTCCGCACTTGGTACCACGTTATGCAGTGCGTTCACTGAGCTGTTTTCAAAGCGGCTGTCAAAGTGGCCATAGCTGCTCCCGGGGTCAGAGCGGAGCATGCAAATAGTGTTCGAGTCCGTAGAGCAAACAACAGAAAGTGGCTGCGGTCACACATTTCACAGAAATGACATTGTCAGCGGAAAACAGTTGGGAATTGCGGATCCATGGAAAAAATTTAAGAAAATCGGTCAAAAAAAGATAATCAGGCATGTCCGCTCCCGGCTCCAGAGAAAGAAATGCGGGAATTGATTAAAGTAATATTTCACTCGCCCGGTCGTGCCACTTGGCAGACGGTTTTGGGGTGAGCTGGACCACAGAGTGAAGGCGAAAGGGCCAACAAGTGCTAAGCATCTCTGGGAACTCCTTCAAGACTGTTGGAAGACCATTCACTACCTCTTGAAGCTCATCAAGAGAATGCCAAGAGAGTGCGAAGCTGTAATCAGAGCAAAAGGTGCTACTTTGAAGAACCTATAAGACATATTTTCAGTTGTTTTATACTTTTTTAGTACGTACATAATTCCACATGAGTTAATTCATAGTTTTGATGCCTTCAGTGGGAATGTACAATTTTCATAATCATGACATTATAAAACTCTTTGAACTCTGGTTTGTAACTCAAATAATGCAGCTTTAAATCAATATAGTGGTTTTTATAGTGGTAAAAAATTTCAAAAATTTCAATACATTTTCCATCTTTTCTTTTTGGTATTTTCAGCCTATCAGCTTCAAAACTGCCAAGATCCATCTCCTTTCCTGAATGGGGACATCATCAACAGTGACTACAGTGCAGGCCAGTCAGTCACCTTTCAGTGTTACTCCGGGTACGTCCTGATTGGACACCCAGTGCTGACATGCTTACACGGGGCAAACAGGAAGTGGAACCATCCCTTTCCACGGTGTGAAGGTAAGAAACACTCAACAAATAATTGAAACGTAAAAATTGGCATCAGTCCGGATATTTTAAAGATCCACTTTGCAAGTCTGCGGCTTCACCAACTTCATGCTTTAATTTGGGTGTCTTTTTATGGAACACTCCTTCCAGAAAGTTATGTATTGCAGCTTTATCTGAAAGGGATGTGTTTAGTCAAGCAACAACAGTCACACATTTTATTAATTTAAATGAATAGTCAGTCTACACTGACTATTTTAATATTGTCAGAATCATTATGTAACAATAATGATTCATATAATTTATTTTTACAGCACCATGTGGCTACAATATCACAGCTGAGAATGGAACTATCTATTCACCCCAGTATCCTTCTGAGTACCCAAACTCCCAGGACTGTAGCTGGACCATCACTGTTCCTCATGGACACGGCGTTTATATCAACTTTACTTTGCTGCAGACGGAGCCAGTCACTGATTACATAGCTGTATGGTGAGTCACACACATATTCAATGAATGTGCTTAAATATGCTCTTGGCAACATCACTCAAGCCGTTAAGCTATGCATTTATATACTAACTTTCCATAGTGTTTCGGGGGATTTCTTTGTTTTCCTTCCCCTATTGTTGCATTTATGTAAACATGTGTCTCTACTTCACATGAATACAAAGTACTCTTGCTGAAAATGTATACATGAGAAACATATTGACAGCAGATGTATGCATGTTTTTTCCTGTGGTAGAAAAAATACATTTTCTGAGACTTTCTAAAATGTAATTCAGTGTGCGGTAAGATTGTAATTCTGGGAGTGTGAGAGTAATGCATTTACAATGGGACCACTGACCAATTCAATCTAACTCACTAGTCTGGCCATACTCAGAGCCAGAGAGGGCTTAGGATCCCTGGCAGTAATGATGAGATTCAGCGGGGAGTGGGAAATGTAATGAAAGGAGGAGTGCAGGGTCTGGCTTCAAAAATCCAAAGGGACTCCAGTACAATCTGTCAAGTCTGGGTCAGCCTAACAGACATGGCCAGGCTAACACACAGTTCAAGTATGAACTTGGGTTTGCGGTGGCTTTGAAATGACTATTATAAACAAAATTATCAGATGTAAACCCTAGTTTAGGTTTGAGCATCTTAAAAAAATAGAATGAGTAAGGTTTCATACCAAACTCATATGATCTGGGTTGGAGTCTTATTTTATGAACCTTAAGCAAAAAAATAAATACAAGTGGAAAATATAGAATGCACTTGAGTAATGTTTTTCCCCCATATTTCCGTAGTGAATTGAAGCAGCCAAAGATGGTAGAAATGTACAGCCTTGCACTTGAGAGCTTAATAAAATGTCATAGTCATCACTGTTATGCCCAGGATGAATTGAATGTGCAAGAGCTGTGCCTCCCATCCAAAGAATAATTTATAGCTGGGGCCTGAGAGGAGTATCTATACAGTGCAGTTTGTCTCAGTCGTTTTAAATTGTGTCGTTATTTGACTCAGGGATGGTCTGGATACAGCGAGCCCTCAGCTGGGAGTGTTCAGCGGTAACACAGCTCTAGAGACGGCCTACAGCAGCAGCCCCAATGTCCTCATCCGCTTTCACTCGGACTTCTCCACCGGGGGCTTCTTCATACTCAACTTCCATGGTACTGTTTTATTGTTCTCTAGAGATGATACACGTGTTACGGCAAAATATGAAGCATGCACTCATTCTGCATATACATTTCTCACTTTCTGTTGTGCAAGTTGTGTGTGTGTGTGTGTGTATATATATATATATATATAGATATATATGGGGGCTTTCAAACGATTCAATTTTTTTATTGAGTTAATTACAGCTTAAAAATGTATTAATCGTAATTAATTGCATTTCTAACTATCGACAAAATGATGCCATATTTTTCTGTAAATGGTTTTTTGAATGGAAAGATACATGCCAGCATAGTGTACATATGTACTGTATTTGTTTATTATACAAGAAATCCATATAAAATGGCATTAACATTATTAACATTCTGTCTTTCTGTTTAGACTCAGACCAAAACTATTGTTTGTTACAGATGAGGGACATTTCAAAACAGTCAGAAATGCAGAATGTGATAAAATCTGTTTGATTTGCTCACACCATTACTTTTGGGCACAACCAACATGAACTGGTAGTGGAAGGGAAAATTAGGTACCCCAGCTTTAATTTAGCGAGTGCGCTTTGGGAGAAGACACGGAGGAGACTGAGGCTCCGTAGTCCAGCTTCAGCGCTGTATATATAGTGTGCAGCGGTTACACAAACACACGCACATTACAAGCAGAGAATAGTTGTGTGCGTGGTCTTGGATATGACGTTCCAGTGGCGCCGTTCGCCGTGATTACAGCCGCTGGAGGAACCGATGTCCAGAGCGCCCGCTGCTCAGCTCGCAGAGTTCATACAGGAAACAACAGCAAGTACTGTACCTCGCGGTCACGTGTGTTTTCTTTTAAAACTTGGATTGTCAGAGGGTCTACCTGCTCTGACTCCATCTTACACACCCACTCAGTGTTATTATGGGATGCATAGGCATTCGACAATTAATGAAAAAAATTAATTAACGTGCGTTAACGCGATAATTTTGACAGCCCTAATATATTGTGTGTATATATATATATATATATATATATATATATATATATATATGAATAATTTAATTGCCATTGGAAACATATCGGAATAGCTTACAATTGTATCTTTACCAAGTTGTTTTATGTCTATTTTAGTGCCATACACATTATATGTCACCCATTATTTAGGAAATTCTTTCAAGTGTACTGCCAACAATAGAAAATGTTGAAGGTTGTAACTCAAGGAATACAATATTTGGACAACATTTCTAAATGTAGATATCTGTTTTTGCATATGGACTCTATGGATATATAACTTAAAGCCACCACATCGCTATAAACATCACTCTAAAGAGAGTGATGTTTATAGCGATGTGTATAGCGGTTCATGTATATGTTTAAGCGGCTCATATACATTGTGCATTTATTGTTTTCCAACTATCTCACATCAGGTAAAGGGTAGACACGTAATAGGCACATATTTAACATATGTAAGGAATGTGGAGGCTGAAGACACATGGGCTGTCACTGCAGGGATCAGACCACACACGCCTCTCTTGGGTTTTAACGCACCAACAGCAGAGTGTGCTTTACTTCTGCAGGCCCAGGCAAACACGAGAGCCTTCTGACCATAATATTACTGTATTACTGTACTTTTTCATTCAAGCCAAACTGAAGTAAAATAAGTGGTTGAGAAGACAAAATGGGGACAGTCCATTCACTCAATAAATTATTCAATTTAGCGTTAATCACTCTAACAACTGCTTTGAGTTAATAACTGAGATGGGAACCAATTATGAAATGGTTGAAAACTCTTAATTTATTTTGTTTATTTTTTTTGCATAAAAAAAGATAAACATTTCACACCTGTACAAAACTACATCAATGATACAGGTAGATGTAGAGGCCCATGCAGACATACAGGTAGATGTAGAGGCCCATGCAGACATACAGGTAGATGTAGAGGCCCATGCAGACATACAGGTAGATGTAGAGGCCCATGCAGACATACAGGTAGATGTAGAGGCACATGCAGACATACAGGTAGATGTAGAGGCCCATGCAGACATACAGGTAGATGTAGAGGCACATGCAGACATACAGGTAGATGTAGAGGCCCATGCAGACATACAGGTAGATGTAGAGGCACATGCAGACATACAGGTAGATGTAGAGGCACATGCAGACATACAGGTAGATGTAGAGGCACATGCAGACATACAGGTAGATGTAGAGGCACATGCGGACATACAGGTAGATGTAGAGGCACATGCAGACATACAGGTAGATGTAGAGGCACATGCAGACATACAGGTAGATGTAGAGGCCCATGCAGACATACAGGTAGATGTAGAGGCACATGCAGACATACAGGTAGATGTAGAGGCCCATGCAGACATACAGGTAGATGTAGAGGCACATGCAGACATACAGGTAGATGTAGAGGCACATGCAGACATACAGGTAGATGTAGAGGCACATGCAGACATACAGGTAGATGTAGAGGCCCATGCAGACATACAGGTAGATGTAGAGGCACATGCAGACATACAGGTAGATGTAGAGGCACATGTAGACATACAAGTAGATGTAGAGGCACATGCAGACATACAGGTAGATGTAGAGGCACATGCAGACATACAGGTAGATGTAGAGGCACATGCAGACATACAGGTAGATGTAGAGGCACATGCAGACATACAGGTAGATGTAGAGGCACATGCAGACATACAGGTAGATGTAGAGGCACATGCAGACATACAGGTAGATGTAGAGGCTCATGCAGACATACAGGTAGATGTAGAGGCACATGCAGACATACAGGTAGATGTAGAGGCAAATGCAGACATAGATGTAGAGGCCCATGCAGACATACAAGTAGATGTAGAGGCACATGCAGACATACAGGTAGATGTAGAGGCACATGCAGACATACAGGTAGATGTAGAGGCACATGCAGACATACAGGTAGACGTACAGTGGTGTACATACAGGTACAGGCAGACATATGGATAAACATAGGCAACAAAGGAGTAGAACGGAGGAGAATTTGTCAACAGTGAATACAGACGACTCAAAAGAATAACGAATATTAATAACAACTATGGAATAATTGTTGGTGGTTGGTGGTGGTGTATGGTTCTAAAACTCTAAAATGTTGACTTTGCATCATGATTTACCTTTCACATTGTTCACCTTACTTTATTAGCAAAATTACCTGTCATTACAATAATATACATGTTAGTGATAATTAGGCAGGACCGTATCTATCATACAAAAGTACTTTACGTATGATTCACCAGCAATGCTTTTATAAATGTGTTTTTCTTTGCTTCTTATGTCAATAGCTTATCGCCTGAAGAAGTGCCCAACTCCGCCGGTTGTGGAAAACGCAGAGGTTATCTTTGAAGATGAGGACTTTCAAATTGGTAATTATCTTAAAAAATACTGAAAATACTGAAAAAAATATCACCTGTTGGTGCTTTTCAGATCAATATTGTATTTATTGTATAATTTCTCTCTGACATGTATTTAAGGTGTGTGTATTTAAGGTTAATAATAAAAAATTGTTTTTCATGTTTTTATTTTTTTAATCTATAATGGCCAGTGTAAAATTATTCCTTATTGTGTGGATTATGTTCAAAACATGAGTTGTAGCTGTAATATTGGTTGACTTATTTTCCAGGTGATATTGTGAAATACCGCTGTTTGCCTGGGTACTCTCTGGTTGGAAAGGCCGAGCTGATGTGTAAACTAAACTCCCATTTACTTTTTGAATCTCCGTCCCCAACTTGTCAAGGTAAGAATCATTAGGAAGTTTCCTTTGTTATTTATGGAATCACAAAAACCACAAGAAGTTAGTCACAACAACACAACAGCTATAGTAAATGATCATCTAAACCTTTGTATTCCTTAATTGTACAATATGGTGCTTATTTTTGTCTTTTTCATAAGTAATGATCTTTTTTTAACAACATTTATGACCAGACAGACGACGTTGTTAATATTTCTTGCGATATAAAAGCCTCTGCAAGATGGTTAGCAAAAGAAAAATGGATTTTAAAGCAGTCAGCTGGGATTCAGAGATGAAATGTTGGCACTAATGACTATATTTGATGTCAGGTTGTGAGAATTCACTACTTCTTGACTGCATAATTTGTTACACACTGATGTTTTCATTTATGCATTCCTTTTCAGACCTCTTTTGGTAATCTCTTTACTTTTCACTTAGCAGTATCGTAAAGTTCTCCCCGAGGACTTTGATTGAAAACCGTACAATACACAATGCTTAATAGACAATATCTTACAGTGCTGCTTGGATAAACACATAGGGATGAGTGCAATGAAATATAGGTTTTTATAATTTGCAAACACAAACTACACATAAATATCTATCAAAACACAATGCATATAGCAAAGACTTCTCCCAAGACACAGTGTTAGACAATTTATTTCAGGCCAAGCATATAGATACTTCATTCAACTTAAACCTGGACCCACCACTAATAATAATAATAATAATAATGCATCGGTTTTATATAGCGCTTTTTTTGGACACTCAAAGACGCTTTACATGTGTCATTATTCATTCACTCCATACACGGTGGTGATAAACTACTAATGTAGCCACAGCTGCCCTGGGGCACACTGACAGAAGCGAGGCAACCAGTATGTGCCATCGGCCCATCTGACCACCACCAACCATTCACACACACACCAGACTCATTCTAGGCAATGGGGGCACTAGAATAATTACAATAGCTTTAAAAAAAATACTTTCTTTGTGTAGTTTAGTTTATTTATTTAATGTGACAGAGACGGTTTACCAGGTTATAGCTCAAGAGCTTTCCCTTTTTCCACCCGTCGTTCCTTGGCTAGCTGACGTTATCTATTAATTTATTTTATTTTTTGTTAATAATCTTTGGCAATAGTAATATGAGATACAAACCTCAAAACATGTTTGATCACTGACTATTTCAGCCCAGTGTCCAGCAAATGAGGAGCGTCCTTTGTCTTCTGGAGTCATTCTGAGTCCTGGGTTTCCAAGCAACTACCCCAACAGTCAGACCTGCTCGTGGCTGCTGCGCATGGCTCCAGGTGAGCTGTGGTCAGTGTGAGACGTGGGATATGTTGATGACAATAAGGCTTTGGCTTGGAAACAATACATTACAGGAATGTATTATGACCGTTAATAATTCATTATTTCCCATTGTTTTTTCCTTTCTCGTCCAGCCTACACAATCAATATATATGTGGAGATGTTCCACAGTGAAAAACAGTTTGATGAGTTGGAGATTTTTGATGGTATGCTTTTTCTTCTTGTTTTATGTCGAGAGAAATGTTCAAATTTCGGATGTTTGAATGCTTAATGTTTAAATGTTAAGTATTCATTTTATTATGGATGAAATACTGAAACAACCTGATGCAATTAAGAAAATCAAGATAATCCCTGTGAACTATTTATAATTTGTCTCTAACATAAACGTCACAAGAAAAAAACCAGCTAAATTAAGCATGTCCAAGAACATATTGTTCTGTTAATTAGATATTGAATGCCAAAGCAATATAGTAATTACTGTGAGAGGCGTAGTCATTTTTCAATTAATAATAGATAACATGCAACTATCCTACTTATAATAATAAAGTGTATCTCAACTTGACCCTGTTTTCCCAGGATCCTCGGGGCAAAGTCCTTTACTGGTGGCTCTGAGCGGTAACCACTCCACTCAGCTTAACTTCACATCAAAGACAAACCAACTTTATCTGCGGTGGTCCACTGACCACGCAACCAATAAGAGAGGCTTCAAGATCCGATACTCAGGTACAATGGCTGTTGCAGATTTAGTAGCACTATATAAAGCACAATGTATTGTACACATATATCAATGCAAGTCACATGTGAACTATAGTGGGTATTATATAATCATGTATTTGTCTTTCACAAACATGTAAGCCCTGAAAGGTTCATCAGCTCACTTTAAACTTGAGACCAACACATTTATTTTGCATATTTTACTTTGGTATAAATAGCACACTTCTTTCTCTTAAAAACAAATTGGTGCATCAAGGGTGAATGCCCATGCCAATGTGGTTTACGCACCAGGGTAATTAAGATTTGAATTGAATTAGCATAGCAGTTTGTTCATTGAACAATTTATTTGGAACGGAATTGAAAATGGGGGGGTGTAACTAGTCTCTCTGACAGCCATGACCGTGTGGTTTTGCACTGACAGTGATCCTGTGAGGGTCTCTAGATGCAGATCCCAGCCTCTGACTTAAGGAGGCTCTCTGCTCTTGTGTATTTTAGATTCATTATTCACTAGTGCTTGCTTCCGAATTGATAGCATTGTCATTTCCCCATGGTGCTGTATAGCACTAACAACAAAAGCATCATTTATAGCTGAAATTTGTCCATTTCTTTTTACCAAGGTGGTGCACCAATCCTGCATTAGCACAAAAACTGCCATAAACCTCCTGACATATGCATGATGTGGTGACTCTACCCATAAACAGGATGTCACTCTTCTGGTTACATGTTTCAGTATTTCAAGCAATAATAACTATTTGGATGATTTTCACCAGAATAGGATACAATAGATACATGAGGAAATGGATGACATCAATGGCCTGTGCTCATTGGCGCATGGACGTTCCAAATATTAGGGGCTCCCCCAAGAACAGCCAAAGCCCCTATAGCACTCCCAATAATTGCAAGTTTAATAGTAATTGCATTTATTCAAACAATAGCACGTGTGTTGGGAGCAGAGCTGCTTGTATATACTGTACATTGTGCATATATTGTTTTCCAATGATCTCACATCAGGTAAAGGGTAGACGCGCAATAGGCACATATTTAACATATGTAAGGAATGTGGAGGCTTAAGACACATGGGCTGTCACTGCAGGGATCAGACCACACACGCCTCTCTTGGGTTTTAACGCACCAACAGTAGAGTTGGATAGAGCAGGGGTAGAGCAGGGATAGAGCAAGGGTAGAGCAGGGCTGGAGCAGGGATAGAGCAGGGGTAGAGCAGGGGTAGAGCAGGGATAGAGCAGGGGTAGAGCAGGGGCAGAGCAGGGGTAGAGCAGGGATAGAGCAGGGGTAGAGCAGGGGTAGAGCAGGGGTAGAGCAGGGGTAGAGCAGGGATAGAGCAGGGGTAGAGCAGGGGTAGAGCAGGGATAGAGCAGGAATAAAGCAGGGGTAGAGCAGGGGTAGAGCAGGGATAGAGCAGGAATAAAGCAGGGGTAGAGCAGGGGTAGAGCAGGGATAGAGCAGGAATAAAGCAGGGGTAGAGCAGGGGTAGAGCAGGGGTAGTGCAGGGATAAAGCAGGGGTAGAGCAGGGATAGAGCAGGAATAAAGCAGGGGTAGAGCAGGGATAGAGCAGGAATAAAGCAGGGGTAGAGCAGGGGTAGAGCAGGGGTAGTGCAGGGATAAAGCAGGGGTAGAGCAGGGATAGAGCAGGAATAAAGCAGGGGTAGAGCAGGGATAAAGCAGGGGTAGAGCAGGGATAGAGCAGGGCTGGAGCAGGGAGGGTTTGTTGGACAAAAGAGTGGATGTTTAAAAAAAGTTTTTATAAAAAAATAAAGAAGAAAAAATTCTGCTACGACAAAGAAGACTAAAATCCCCACAGCGGAGGATGAGCTGTTTGTGAACATTGAGGTTTATGCGAAAATGGTGTAGCTCTTGATAATGTAGGCTTCGGTATTTCATGGCTTACCTTCATGCTATAGAGCAGCTTAAGAAGGACCCGTTTCAGTTATTATAATACATCTAGAATAGTGATACAGTGATTAAACTGGTTGATTCACAGTCATGAGTGCAGCTGATTCTGTAGCTGCTAATGTCTTCAGACTGACAAAACGTGGCACGGAGGGTCAAGAGAACTGACACAAGCAGGGTAGTTGTATAAATTGGGTTTCTGGGTAATTAGAGAGTGGTTGAGTAGCTGTGGTTTTCTGGAGTTTAGGGGTTGAGATGTGAGCCTCCCAGCTAATGAGAATAAAGTGATCTGCTTGAGAGGATTTTAGTATGAGATGTCCTGCTTTGTTGTTGTTATTTTGAAATATCATCAATCCACTGTTTATGCCAGGTCCAGGTGGACCACAATGCTCGAGGGAAAGCCAAATGGCTCAGTGCTGTTTGGCCGGGTGTAAAGATAATTTTTCATGGTCTAGTGGTTGTAACCAACAGCATAACGGCCCCTGTGACTCTGCCACTGTCTCCCTGGTGCCTTACATTAAGAGACTATATCTTAGGTTTCCAAGGCTTCAAGTTTTCAAGCAATTGAAGAAAAAAAAATCCAGTTAATGAGGTTTAAAGTAACTTTTGTTTTTAAAATGATCAAACCACAGAAAAGTAAATGTTTCTGTACTTTTCAGCTGCCTATTGTAGCATCGACGATCCACCAATTAATGGAGGAGTGGTCAACCGAACAAACCTTCGTCCTGGCAGTAAACTTCTATTTTTTTGTAATCGTGGTTATCGTCTGGTTGGTGCAACTAATGCAACATGTAGACTTCACCAAAATGGACTCTACCAGTGGGACTCGCCAACTCCAATTTGTCAGGGTAAGTAATATTGAATTGCCTTTTACCACTGCTTTTAGATGTGTGTTTTATTTATATATATATATATATATATATATATATATATATATATATATATATATATATATATATATATATATATATATATATATATATATATATATATATATATATAATAATTATGTGTTTGCAGCGATTTCATGTGGACTTCCTCAGTCTTTGGGAAATGGCAGCTTCCATGCGTACCAGTACACAGTGGGCAGTCAGGTGACATATTACTGTAACAGTGGCTTTCACCTGGATCCCGACGGTCCTATGACTGCAGTGTGTTTAGAGGACAGCACCTGGAGTAATGGAGCCTCCCTGCCTCGATGCTTGCGTAAGCAGGGGTTTTAATCAAATTATTCATTTGTAAGCAATGGTATTTAATGCACATACTAATTTTAGTTTTAAATTATGCTGCAGCTGTCCGTTGCCCGTCTGTTGATGGCATCTTGACTGATCACATGACGTATCGCCTCCTGATTGGGAGACTGGGAGAGTTTGGTTCTGCGGTAATGCTGGAATGTGCCTCAGGTCATTACTTGGGCATCGGGCATCGGACTCTTCGCTGTCTGGCCAATGGGACATGGGAGGGCTCGGATGATCCAGCCACATGCAAGAGTAAATACATTTCATGTCATGAATCTCATGAAACTAAAGCTATTACACTGTAGTTGGGTAAAGTTTTTGTTCTTTACCTTTGTTGTTGACGCCAAAACTCAAAACATTTAACAGCATCTGAGCACTGACCTTGATTCAGGAAACAGACTACTGCACCTGTTCACTGTGTTTCTCATTTTAATAATCTCGTAAATGTGGTGTCATTGTTGGACCTAAAACATTCAGATGTGACTTTTATCAAATTTATCTTCACAAAAAAATAAACAACTTGTCTTGGGAAATATACCCAATAGTTGAAAATATCTGCAATACTAAATGACACTTGAAAGGTTCGCAACATGATTCGAATTCATTCGGACTAATATTAGAACAATGTCTTGAGTTTCGCTTTAATAACAATAAAGTTAACATTTCCTTTCAGAATGCTGGATTTTGGATTATCAAATGTTTTCTGCCATCAATGAGTGTGTTTTTTAACAATTGTCAAAACAATAATATGATGTATATAAATAAGATGAGTATATTATAGCTGGGGTACCTAACTGTCTGTGTGCAAAGTACTGGTTTAATGTTAGACTATAATGGCACGGAGTAGCACCTGAACGCAACCCCCAGCCCCTCTGCATCCTCCTCATTGTGGTTTCAGCTTAAATCTATTCCCGCTCTTGTTCCGCTGTTCTTTTGTCTCATTAAAGCTTGGCACGGGCGCCTCATGGATTCCTCAATGTGTCATTCTCTTTACACTGCGTTTGTCTCTGTGCATTGTGCGGAAACATCTTCAGAACAGAGGGACACCACTGAGGGACATTTATATTTACATTTCAGTGTTATCGGGTCATCATGATCAAGAAGTAAGGAGACAATCATTTCATGTTTCAAAATAAAGGATTGTTTAGACTTGATCAATTATAAAAACGAAATGTATTTATTCTTTACTGGGCGGCCCAGTTTGAATGTCCCACTGCTATAAAGGATACCTTCTGTGTATTAGAAATCATGTTATTCTTTGCATACTTACATAAAAGACCCCTTTGAGGAGGGGCTGGCAAACCGGTGCCGGTGTGGCTGCAGGAGCACTTCCTCAAATCTTCAGGTTAAAACTGGACTCTTCTGAGGAAATGGGTGGGGTCTGTTGTGCTCCTGCTCAGGTTGGAACAACAACCACACCGGCCCTTTGAGAATCAGTTTGCTCACCTTTGCCTTTGAGTCATCACTCAAAGGTTTTGGCTACTATTGCTTTTCTGAGCAAGAGTGGTCCTATGTATCTTTTTCCCTTCTTTGCCTGAAAAAGCTGATGCAAAGATGTAACAGAGGCCAAAAAAGACGTTCATGCAAAAGAATCACACTGCTTCGAGAGCTAGGAACCGGTTAGATGGATTTTATGACATTGTTCCATTTTTTTTGTGGTTTGAAAATTAGGTACCCCAGCTTTAATGTAAAGTACTTATGAACTGTATTTTGCTGGGACTTGAAGGACTAATTTAACTATATTTTTCATTGCCTCATGCAGTCATCTCCTGTGGCGAGCTTCACTCTCCTCCCTTTGGCACCAAACTGGGAACATTGAACACTTTTGGAGCGACCGCCATCTTCATGTGTAACCATGGATACACTCTGGTGGGGTCACATGTCCGGGAATGTGGGGCAAACGGCCTCTGGAGCGGGACAGAGACCAGATGTTTAGGTATACATGCCACATGATGGAACACAGCAAAATTACATACCTAGGTTATAAGATAAGATAAGATAAACTTTATTGATCTCACACTGGAGAAATGTACATGTCACATTTAGAACATGTTTGGGATAGATGTTTGGATGAATAGAGGAATATTTTTGATAGTAATTTTAATATGTTTGTAAAATGCAATGATTGTAGTTAATGATCTGTAACTTGTTCAAAGTAATTTGGTGAGAATGTCTAGTTATCATCAATAATGACATACTACTCAAGATTAGCATAGAATGTTTCAGCATCAGTGGAGATTTCGCTGGTGGCATGTCTCTAATATAAACATGACTCTATCAACCTCCTATTGCAAATGTTGAACACAACTATTTCATTGACGTCTTTTCATTCTGTCTTTTATTTTGAAAAATGAGCATTACAAAACATTATTTTGATTAAAGAATGCTATACATTTTGTTTACTGAGTATTTGCGTCTTTAGCCGGACACTGTGACTCTCCAGACCCCATCATCAACGGTCACATTAGCGGAGATGGCTCTAGTTACCGTGACACTGTGGTGTACCAGTGCATGCTGGGATATCGTCTCATTGGCACATCTGTCAGGATTTGCCAGCAGGACCATCGGTGGTCTGGAACAACGCCAGTGTGTGTTCGTAAGTATCTCTGCTACAGTTCCTGAGTAAAGACAGGTCATTTAATTAGACATTTTGATTCTAAAAAAGTTGAAATATGTGAAATGGCGGGATGTTACTTTTTCCTCCTTTCCCTCTATCTACTCCCTCAGCAATTACTTGTGGTCACCCTGGAAACCCTGCCAATGGCCGGACCAATGGCAGCGAGTTCAATCTGAATGATGTGGTCAACTTCACCTGCAGCAAAGGTTATGTCCTCAGTGGAAACGCACGTGCCCAGTGTCGGCTCAACGGCCAGTGGAGCAGCCCCCTGCCTGTCTGCAAAGGTCACTACACACACTTAGTCCAACAGGGATTGTACCTTTGATCCAGAGGTCAGGCCAATGTTAAGTTTGTAAAGATTTATGTTTTAGCATGAGAAATTCTACACGTTTCATACATCTCTGGGTATAGTAGCAGCACACTACACTGTCAGCTGTGAAAGTAAAGAGCTGAAGAATGTTCTTATAATCCTTTGCAAATAAGCACCACGGAACCATTCAAATAGATACTGAAACGTACTCTACTCATAACACAGCATACAATTCATATTATTTCCTCATATTATTTCCTCATTATGTTTAAAACAAATGTAAAAAAACACACTCACACACACACACACAATCACACACAGGTCGAGGAAAGAAACCCTAATCCAATATGCACCAAAAATAAACGCAATTCGTGTTCACCTTGCACACTCGCAGTGGAAAGTTCAGTTAGTACACTAAATATATTATTAATGATTTTTGTTAATCAATGCATCGGTCGAATTACGTTTTTTGGTTCCTCTGCCTTTCACTCTCCTTACCCTTATTTTGACTCTCTTCTTCCAAGCAGCTGCTGTCAATTATGAGACAGAAACTTTCTTTGTTCCCACAGGGTTCCAGCCAAGACAAAGACACCCACACACCCGCACCTCCTCATGCACAAAGCCCTGTCCCCCATGGACTTAAATTTGAGCGAATGTCAGTCTCCCCAGTGACATGTGGAAAGTAAAATTGCTCTCTGGCATCTACCCAAAGACCAGAACAGAACGGGAGGGCTCAAGGAAAGAGGAGAACAACAAGATAAAAGGGGAATCTGGAAAAGTTCAAAAGCTTGTTACATCCAAAAATAGTATCTGATAAAAAAAACAAAAACAAAACTGCATTCTAACGACAGTCATGGACATAATCCAGAATTAATAATTTCTATATAAATATTTGAACTTTAAAACGACAGTGCTTCATGATTGATTAATTCTTTAATCATTCTTTATAATCAAAAGAGCACAAATTCTACAATTGCATTTACAACTCACTCTCACTCTTGCTTCATTCTTGGCCCCAAAGCGAGCATTGTGTCATTTAGATATTTGTTGACACTGAATTGCATGTTGTTGTTGTCTCTGCAGTGGTAAACTGCTCTGACCCGGGGCATGTGGAGAACGGCGTGCGTCACTCGGGCCTGCGTTACCCTGAGGTCTTCAGCTATGGAATAACCGTGGCCTTTCACTGTAAGAGAGGATTTTACCTGCTGGGCTCAGCTCTGCTCACCTGCCAACATGATGGACGATGGGACCGACCAGTCCCACGCTGCCTTGGTATGCTTACACACCTACAGCTACAATAATACTGAAGAAACTGGTCTACTTGCCAAATAAAATAAAAATCTATTTACAGTTCTTTCAAGAAATCATAATCAAAGGATAAGAATTTCGGATGTATACTTGAAAAAATAGGTTTAAGAGGTGAAATAGGGCTATTGTGATGAAACAATGTCCTCTGTATAACAAATGAACCATACAGTTTCAATGTGACTGTGTAATTGCATAAAGTGAAGTGAAGGAAAGTGCGTCTCAAAAGCAATAAATGCTCTTGTCACAATGTGGCCATAGCTGATATAAACATACAGATTAAACCAAGATTAAAAAAGATAAAACAAGTTCCCAGACAAACACAACACCAAATAGAGGACGGAGCATCACAGAGATATAGATAGATAGGGCAGATATCATGGAAGATGTGCAGATAGAAGTTGTGTATTTTAGAGTCTGACAGAAGCCTAATGCCCACATTGCATACCACACTGACTTTGAGGATAATTGAGGAGAAAGGGGGGGGGGGGGGGGGGGGGGGTATATGACTATAGCTATTACAGTAGAAGTAGATGTACTTGGATAAATCATACATACATACACATTACAATGTGACATATAGACAATAACAAACATAAAAGAGAGAGAAATGTGATTTTGTCTACACTGACAAAGTTTAAGCTAAACAATGTTCACCAGCATTACTAAACAAACTGTCCTGAGAACTTTATATATGTTGTTGCACTGAGCCTCGCTCCTCTGCTGTCAGTCCTTCCTGTTACTGTCTCCTGCAGTGACCCAGCTGCAGGCCCAAAGGCAGTGCAATCTGTGATCTATAGTTGGATTGGGTCCCACTCTCACTAACACCAGTCTGCCTCTCTGCTCTAATCTATCTCTCCCCACACAGTCATTTCCTGTGGTGACCCTGGTGTCCCTCCTAATGCAGTGGTGTCTGGGACCCACAGCTGGACATACGGCTCAGTACTGCGTTACTCCTGTCTACCAGGGGGGGTGCTAGTGGGAAACACCACCCGAAATTGTCAGGAGGACGCCACATGGAGTGGAGCACCACCATACTGTACTGGTAAAGCCATTTATCACTGGTTTTTCATGAACATAATTTAATTCTACTCTTTTACATAAATTCCTTCCACACATTATGTTCTGTAAGCCGTGGTTTTACGTGTGTACATCCCTCCCGTGGCAGACGCCACTGCTGCTTGTGCACGCATCCACTGCCCCGTGACCCAGATCCAGATCCGTAACCCCCGTGCTCTCATTCTGATCAGCGGAGACTTCAACCACGCCTCCCTCACCACTACTCTCCCTACATTCACGCAGTATGTCACGTGTCCCACGCGGGAGAATGGGTTGCGGTCACATGCGCCGCCTAAAGCCCGGTTTAAGTGTGCCAGGGCCCAGTTCGCGATTTGATCCGGGCTTTATGTGCCATGTGACCACGGCAACTGGGCTTGGGCACGCTTTCTGCAAGTGGGTCTTGCACTTTATTCTCCGCTTGTGTTACATCTATCAAATAAGCCCCCGGACCGCGTGGAGGGGCACAGGGGGGGGGTGTTGCTCCAGGGCCAAATAAAGCGTTTCACAGTGCGGTGCTATTGCAATGACACTTCAGACATTCAAGAATCAGTCTTTATTTAATCGCCAGAACACACACACACACACACACACACTTATATTCTCCGGCTCCGGCCGCTCTGCTCGTACGCCACACTTTTCTGTCTTTCATTCTCAGCGCTTTACGCTCGTTACTATAAAGGCGCGCTCCCGTGTCCGTGGCGCGGCCGCACACACAGACAACACACACGTGTCCCACCGCTGCATTTTGGGGAAAGACCATGGATCTATTATAAAGACATATCTCACACTTGTTCACATTGCTTGCTCTGATGCAAACAACGCGTTGCATGCTCGAGCCTAATAGCTACAGTCGCAGAATATAAACAGGAAAAGAAGTGGAAACTCAACTCGGACAACGAGGTAGTCGCTGAAGTTAGTATTAGGGCCACCAGCTAGACCGGGCGTTGTACTACAGCAAAGTTGCGCTGGCACGATTCACGTTCATGTGACCGCGGGCCGTTTTCACACCCCTGTGGCGACGATCCAGGCCACTTGGCCTAGTTCGCTTGTAAAAACCTGTGAGACCATGCCCTAAGACTCTGGACCTACTATGTGCTAATTTCCGAGACGCATTTGCCTCCTTCCCCATCCCCCCACTCGGTCGCTCAGATCACAAACTGGTCCTTTTAGCTCCAGAATATATAACTCAGGTGCAAAGACAGCCAGCACAAAAGAAGTCTGTTACAGCTTGGAGTGAAGAGACAGAGGAGAGACTGAGAGTTTGTTTCCAGACCACAGACTGGAATAGGATCTGCAGCTCTTATGGAGATGACTTCAAAAGCCTGACACACTGCATAACAGACTATATTCTCTTCTGTGTGGTTTACACTTTACCAACCAAGGTACAATGTTTTTCCAACAACCACCCATGGATGACCCCTGAGCTTAAAGCTCTCCTGAACCTCAAGAAAAGGGCTTTCATCTCAGAAAACAAAGAGGAGCAGAAGAGGGTCCAGCACGAGCTCCAGTGGAGGATCAGGAGGGCCAAGAAGGACTATGGGGAAAAGCAGAAGCTGGCGCAGGAAAACGCCCGTGACGTGTGGAGGGGCCTAAAGAACATCTCCTGAAGTTCCAGAAGGACGGTGGTTGGAGACCAACGCTGGGCGGATTAATTTAATAAACATTTCAACCGGTTCGATTCTCCCCCCACTGCATCTGCCTCCCTTCCCGCCCCCACCTCTTCACACTACTTCAACCCAGTGGACACCCCCCATGGCCTTCAACTGCCCCAAGCCCCCCTGCCCCCACATACCCAGCCCCCACCTCTGACAGTACACCCTGGTCCCACACACCCCTCTCTCCATCACACCAGACCAGGTGAGGAGTGAGCTCCAGCTACTGAAGCAGAGGAAATCCACAGGACCGGACGGGATCAGTCCCAGGCTGCCGAGGACCTGTTTAGACCAGCTCTCTGAGGTCCTCAGCTACATCTACAACCTGAGCCTCAGCCTGGAGAAGGTCCCTGTCCTGTGGAAGACCTCCTGTCTGATCCCGGTTCCTAAAATAGCACACGCCAAGGAACCGGCTCACTACAGACCAGTCGCACTGACCTCCCATCATCCTCACCCATCTCCGCTCTGTGGTCAGCCCCACCCTGGACCCGCTGCATTTCGCCTACAAGCCCAACCTCGGAGTAGAGGACGCTGTCTTCTACTTACTGCAGCGGACGCTCTCCCACCTGGTGCACGCCGGGAGCGCTGTGAGGGTCATGTTTTTTGACTTCTCCAGTGCTTTCAACACCATCAGGCCGGCACTGCTGCGGGGGAAAATGGAGGACGCGGGAGTGGACAGTAGCCTCACTGCATGGACCATTAACTACCTCTCGGACCGACCACAGTACGTGCGGCTGCGCAGCTTTGAGTCTGAGGTGGTAGTCTGCAGCACTGGGGCCCCTCAGGGCACTGTCCTTTCTTCACCATCTACACTTCATACGACACACACAGCTGCCACCTGCAGAAGTTCTCCGACGACTCCGCCATCGTGTGCTGTGTGTCTGAGGGGAACGAACTCTGTGGAGGAGGTGAGGGAAAGGAGGGTGCTAGCCAAAGTCACCTCCATCATGGGCAACACCTCCCACCCACTGCACAGAACTGTAGAGGAGCTGAGGAGCTCCTTCAGTGGAAGGAGGAGCGCAAGGTCTTCCTCCCCACTGCTCTCAAACTGTACAATAAGTCACTTCAAGTAACCAATGACCAGCACTAGGACTGAGGAACCAGCACTGCTATTGCTATTGCTATTTTTTATTGTACATAATTATATCCTGGACAGACTATATTTTTAACCTTACATGTTGCACACTTCTGTCTTTTTTCACAATTTGGGTGTAAACTAGCTGATTAGTTTACAACGCAACTGCTGTGCGTGTGTGTGTGTGTGTGTGTGTGCGCGCATCATGTGCCTCTACAAGGATCTATTAAGACCTGTGTTACATAAATGAGTTTGTTTAGTTGCTGTACAACAGTATCGTTCTTAACTATAACAATATTGTACAGACAAGTTCCTCTTTTGGCCTCTGAACAAAAAACACAGCAGAGCTGACTCTTTTCTGCAGCTGAGGTCCTCATTAAGATGCAAGGCACTATGCTCTGTTAAACCTACAGTCCCCCCCCCCAATGGAATTAAAGAAACTGTTATTGTGACATGTTCAAATGGGCTGGAAAAGAATATAGTCTAAATATGTGTCTAGACCGCATAATCAATTGCTTAAAACTTTTACGAATAAACTGTAATGTTTGTTACTGTGCTTTTGTATTGTAGATCCTTAACATATATTTTGAATATTTGATATCTCCATATTCTTATTAAATGATGTAAAAACAGATTGAAATGAGATACAGCTGGACTATTTGGACTAAGGTTTTCAGGGCTTCAAGCTTCTAACCTAAAGTAAGCTGTATATTGTTTTAACCTTTCAAATACAATTCGGATCATTCAAATTCATCACCATTTAATTTCATAACAGAAAAACAATCACCTGTCTCAGCTCTTGTCTCAACACCCTCTCTGTTTCGACAATCATGTATCCCATGTAGGCAAAAGGCCTATTTTTTTATTTTTTAACATGTCACAAGAAGTTTCCCTTAAGTAGTTCACATGTAGTTCTATTTCTGCAGCGTTGACGCCATTTAGTGTCCCCCAGGGGTTCAATAAGGCTTCAGTGCAAGTTTTGTCTGGTACATTAGCTTTATTTCTTCTCTTTCTATACAGGTGTGAGTCCAGGTATTTGTGGAGACCCTGGGATGCCTCCCCATGGGGCTCGACTCGGAGGAGAGGAGTTTAAAACCAAGAGCCTGCTGCGTTTTAGCTGTGAGGCTGGATTTAATCTGATTGGTTCTGCTGAGAGAACCTGTCTTCACAATGGCACCTGGAGTGGCACGCAACCACTGTGTCAAGGTAAGAAATCAAAACAACTTCTTGGAGTTTGGGAGGTGAAAGTGAATTATTGTTACATCAAACCTTTAGTAGAGCCGACATTACACTATCCTATTTTATGCATTATGTGAAAGTGTCATGCATGATTTGTATAGTCCATAATTCTTTATTTTATCTGTTGTTTTTTAACCTTATATCTTTTTTATCATCCTTCTTCTGCTCCTGGAGACTTTAGCCATTTCACATTCTCATTGTACGATTTCAACATTTATAATGATTTAGCTTCAGTATCTGCTAAACGTCATCACTATACATGAAGTCTGCATTCTGATAAATCTGGTCTTCTAGTCATGGGTCAATCCTGGGCATTTTGTGATTTAGGTTTTATTTTCTCTTCAGTATTTTTTGTAACTCTAGACATCTATTAAAAGTTCTTCCAAGCCATTTTCTTTTACACTTGTTAAACTTTTTAACAATTAAATGTAATTAACTAAATCTGTCTATTTTAGACATTTTGCTCTTGCAGCAGAACTTTCCGTGATTATAGGAAATTCTCTAATGATGATGATAATGATTATGCTATAGCTTAATAGATTTTTAGGTGGTTTGTCAAGACACCAAATAAGACTTTACGTTTATCGAGAAGCTTAGAATTTTGCTTATTTTTACTGAACAGAACATTGTGCAATACTTGCAGTTCTTTCAAAGTTTTTTCTAATACAGTGTAAAAGTATTCAAATCATTGACATGATCCCCCTGCTAAACAAATGTCCATCCATCCATCCATGCTCTACCCCTTAATCCATTTCTGGGTTGGGGGGGTGGCCAGAGATGCCACGCAGTACACATAGCACCAGCCAATAACTGGTATATATTAAGGTTGTGCGATCGCTAAATAAACACAAATTATTTTTTTCCCAAATTCCCAAAAAGTATTGGGAGGTAAAGTTGGCTCACTTGTCTGTCAGATGACAGACTGTCAAAATACAAAACACCATTTGCAAGAACAAAAAAGTCATTCTGAAATTCGGACTCTTTGAAACTGTCGACCAACATGTTCCTGCCATCCCAGTTGACCCTCACTCTTCAGCTGCTTTCCAAAAGGTCAAAATCGATAAGGCCCAGTGCGCCTCCGCTAAGAAACGGGATGGACGAGTTGCCTATTTTGGTTGTGCTGCAAGTTTTCACAAAAACAGTAGGAAACAAACTTACAAACGCGGGGTTAGTTTTTTCTGACATAAAATGTAATTCCTTGCATAAACACATTTTGTAAACAAATAACTCAACAAATAACTCAAAAATAAATGATGATAATCATAATAAAAAATAATAACAGCGACCCTTAGTCTCGGAGTCCAGGTTTGGGGATTACCGCCGAAACCAACACCAGAGACGCTGCGACCACTGCTAAGAGCTGCTGCATCTGTGATAGAGGAGGAGAATAGAAGAATAGAAGAGGAGAATAGAAGAGGAGAATAGAAGAATAGAAGAGGAGAATAGAAGAGGAGAATAGAGGAGAACACGGCCCACTCAGACTCAGTCGCTCTCCTCCTCCGGGACCTGCAAGAATCTCCCGGAGGTGTGAGTTGAAGTCCGTCTGACAGGATGTGCTGCTAACCGTTCTCAGCAGACCCTGATGATACGGTTGGGTCTGCCACGTCTGGCTTCCTCCCCTGCCAGCGGATCCAACTCACAACCAGCTCCACCCTCTCTTCACCTTTGTGTCAATGAATCATTGACCTCCTCCAGTTTGACATAAGTTCAATTATAATAATAATGCATCGGTTTTATATAGCGCTTTTTTGGACACTCAACGACGCTTCACATGTGTCATTATTCATTCACTCCATACACGGTGGTGATAAACTACTGCTGTAGCCACAGCTGCCCTGGGGCACATTGACAGAAGCGAGGCAACCAGTATGCGCCATCGGCCCCTCCGACCACCACCAACCATTCACACACACACCAGACTCATTCTAGGCAATGGGGGTGAAGTGTCTTGCCTAAGGACACAACAGCAGTTTGGCACTTTACAGCCGCAGCCGCCCCACTGTGGCTGGTGTTCCCAGAGGTTAAGTGTCTTGCCAAGGACACAACGACAGTAGTCGGTGGGAGTCGATGGTGAAGGTCTTGAGCGGGGCTTGAACCCACGACCTTCTGGCTCAAAGGCCAACGCTCTACCAACTGAGCTACTGCCGCCCAGCCAAGAGATCCTTTGGAGTCCGATCTGAGTTCAGTCATTCAGCAAAGGGATCATTGGAGGGCAGAGGACAAGGCATGACGTGAGGTCCTGGAAACTTCCTGACCATAAGGAAAAAGGCCCCAGTAACTGTACTACGGCACAAAGTGCAATTCAGATGTACACTTCACGCCTCCCAACTTTTTAATATTATGAGATCCTGATACTGTATATAAGATATTGTGTACACAAGAACAGGAAAAAGAATTTATTCATAATGTTTAAATCATTGTGCCCCCTGCAGTGTTCGCATAATGAGGAGACCTGGGCAGTTCTGGCACAATTTCTTTTGGAATTGTTTTGAAAATGGGCCTGGAGGTTAATACCAGCCTTTACATTGATCTTCTGTCATGGCAGCTCTCAATGCTGTCCCGAGAACAGACAAATGCATTACACTAATTGTGTTCATTAGTTTGGTGTTTAGACGCTGGAAATAATTATTATTATTCAAGAAAATGATGATTATTGCTATAAGAATAGATGGACATTAGCACCGTCCCTCCATGTTGAATACAGTTACCTAAATTGTAGATCTTGGTTTCCTTCACTTTCACTAAAGGGAAAATCTATACACACACAATGTTTGCACTTCTGTCTATATTATGGGAAAGCCATGATTATTTATGTCTGTGTGGCCTTGTTTTTCATTAAGCTAATACTGGTTAAAAGCTGATTCAGAGAGGATGCGTGATTTATCATTGAGACATGCTCCAAAATCCTCAAGACACGTGCACGCTGCAACATCCGCACACAACAAAACAAATCTTCCACGCACATTTACACAAACATAAGCTTGGCCAGAGCAAAGCTTTTAAAAGCTCTAACTAATGACTCCCATCAATAGGTGTCTGATTGTCTGAGGCTGTCAGCTGTCATGAACTTATTAGTGAAATGTGCTTTGGCTAGCTGCTAATTCCTGTCTGCTGGGTTAATTTGCTGTGCCAGCAAACTGAAGATCAATGACTCACGAGTTTGGAGCAGACACATCTTTGTGTTACCCACAGAACATGTACAACGTGTCCTAAGAATTCTGACATGAAATTTATCTTACCACAGATTCAGTCACACCTTGTGGCAGTTTATTTTGTTAATTACAGAAAAGGTGGAACCCTGGAGGTGCAGGTTCAGTGGGTGTTACAGAAGGAGAGGGGGGTCTGGGTGCCACAGGGCCCAGGCCCCACTGACTGATCTTGTAAAAAAAAAGTCGCACACTGTTTGGGACACTGTGACCTGTTGTGCAAAAAATTCTGGAACATTTCAAATCTATCTCATAAGGCGATGTTCTGACACATACAATAAAAAAGTGACATGAAGACAAACATATGAACACAGCAATACAACACTACAAGCTTAATGCACAATAAAGTCCATATTTTCAACAAGATACAGAGAGTTCAGAGCCCTAATAGCAGTTGGGATATAGGACTTTCTTAACTCCACGTAGACGTTGTTGTTCCTGAGACTACAGGATCTGGGAGTCTCCAAGGTGGCTCTGTGATCCTTCTTCTGATCTCTCAGCTTGAAATCAACAGGGAAAATCAAAGCGTCCTCTAAATTGGATTGCGCTATTAGAATTTGTGTTTAAATGCCTTCCTGGATGCTTTGTATATGATGCAGATATGGAAGATGTACTTTTGTGAGCATAGCAGCACATTGTATACTACAACTCTCACATTTTTTAATAAAACTAAAAGCATGATGCAGACATTTTTTTGTACAAGCTGGAAAGAATGCATTGTTCTTTGGTATAGGCCCACTTTCTCTATAGATGTATGACAACCTATCACGCATTTGAAATCCTGTAGTACATCTGCCAATCAGTCTGGGAACCTCTCCAACAACTCTGGGTCGTTAATCAGAAGTAGTGCCTCCAGAATATATTGAATACAATGATCTCTTTATTCAATATCCAGCTGATCAGCCCAAGTGACAGCCTGGCAGCACTGCTTGTAGTGGGTTACGCATTCTGATTAATCACCACTGTTAAACATTTTTCTCACATCATAGCCGTTTCCTGTGGTAATCCTGGCACCCCTGCACATGGAAGAATTATATTTACCGATGGCATCACCTTTGGCAGCTCCGTGGCGTATGCATGCTGGGATGGTTTTAAAACATCTGGCCTGACCACCAGACACTGCACGACTAATGGGACCTGGACAGGACAGCCTCCAGATTGCACAGGTAGGAACACTGTGTCAAAAGCTTAAGCTGCACTATGTAACCCTCTCTATCTGCTGAGCAAGTGTTAATGTGTTGTTGCTATGAAAATACTTGCTTTAATACATTCTTGATATCCTCTTCTTGATCAAAAGAAATGCTTTAAAAATGTATTTATATTGGGGCGATATTTGCTCAAAGATGATTTAAAAAAGGTTGTGATCTAACCACCAGAAAACAATACAGTCTTTGATGTGTTTGCTGCAGGGGGTAAATATGGCAATGTAAATGTTTGATGTTTCTCATTTTAAACATTCCAGAATCTCCCTTTGTTTCTTAGTTGTTCTTAGTTGCAAGTTAAACATTTCAAAAGTGCATCATTTCAAAGGCTGGATCTGGAAACAACGCAGTGAAGTTATCAACGAGCAAATGCTACTTTTTTCTTTTAAAAAAATGATAATAAAACTAATAATAATGACATTAGACCTCTGGAAGTGAAAAGTGTGATATTTAAGTTAGAGTAAAACATACACAGTGCATCTCCTCTGTGGTGGGGTCTCCTTACTTATTTGTGAAATAGAGAATAAAGTCATTATAGTGACTAAATCTGTCTGCATCCTCTCGTCTCCATCAGCTTTTCCAGGGCACACTGCTGTCGGTACATAACCAGAGCGATGGGGAAGAGTAAACATAAATAGTGAATCGACAGATTGGTATGCTCCAGTGCAGGTATTCTGAAAGGCATTTCAGCCTCAGCACAGAAACAGACTGTGTTTTTGGAGAAAGATCGTAGGAGGTTGATAAAGCTCTTTATATTCTGTGCAAAATGGCTCTAGGGAAGTCAGAGGAGACAGTGTGTGAAGGTTAAGGAGGAGGTGGTTCATGGGCCAGGGAGGAATGGCTTAAAACATCAGCTTTCATTAAATCTTGTGTGCCAAGTCCACCACTATAACACACATTTGACAAGGAATCTTACAGCCAACCTTGGAATAAAGTACACGGTTTTTTCTTTCTATCCCACAGTGATCAGTTGTGGAGACCCAGGACCTATTGCCAATGGAATTTATTTAGGAAGTGATTTTAGCTTCAACCACTCAGTTACGTATCATTGTAACCCTGGAAACTTGATGGATCCTCAAGGACTGGGTCGCAATATATTACTCTGCACTAAAGATGGGACCTGGAATCAGACCAAGCCGAGCTGTAAGGGTGAGTACAAACTGACAAGCATCAATAGCACACTATTGTGTGATGCATGCATTATTCTTTGTGTTGGAGTCAATGCAGCTGATTCAATGCAGTAGACTTTGTGGGCTCATCCTGTAGCTCAGTAAAGACATGGGAGAGGGCAGAACCGGCAAACAATGTGTTAGTGTGAACAATGAGGCTTGCATCATGTGTAAAACGTTTATTTTTATGTGAAAATGGGAACCATCCAATCTACTGAGTGAAGCAGTTTTTTTTCTTTTTGAGCCACAAATACAATACATTACTCTTGTGCCCACAAAGCTTTGATCACATGGTTTTGGGCACAAGAGGCTGAAACAGGTTATTTTTAAACTTTTTTTTAAACATGGTTGAGAGCGATAGTTTGGTTGGGAATAGAAAACCTTTCATCTATTTATTTTTTTGTGAACCATAATACAAGCCTAACTCTCCCCAGACCTCTGAAGTCCCCGTCAAATATGAAATGAACGTACATTTATTTATCTTTTTTGGTCCGATCTTAATATATTGTATATTTGTAAAGAGGACACACTGATGGCTTTACCTACATACTTTAATTTAAAAGTTATGTTAATCCAAACAAACATGTTTGACAACTTTAAAGCAAATCAATCCATTAAAATAACTTGCGAAAAAACTAATCCAATGAATAAAATGTACACAGTGGGGACAGTGGTTCAGTTAGTAGAGCATTGGCCTTTGAGCCTGAAGGTTGTGGGTTTGAGCCCACCGTGAGATTTTCTCCACAAACTCCACGGATGTCTGCTGTCGTTGTGTCCTTGGGCAAGACACTTAACCCTGCATGCCTTGATGTGTATGTGTATTCATCAAAACTGAAATTTCCCCACTGTGGGACAAATAAAGGACCTTCTCCTACACAGATATACATTACTTTATTACAGTTAAATGATTGTACATCAGTAGTCTTGCCATCATAAATGTATTTCTCTGTTTTTTTTTGTTTGATTTGTTCGAGAGAAGGAATAATAATGTAGGACATGAACAAGAAGTAAGATTTATGCTTGTCATGAGCTATGATGCTTCACAACAGCAAAAGGTTGAAATGTTTCCTGAGATCTGCCCTGCCATCGCTTCCCACAAACAGAACATCTCCTGCTGGCTGCTGTGGCTGCAGAGGCTGCAGAGGCTTTGAACTGACATGAAATAAGAGAAAGCAAAGGCTACTGAGACAGAGCGGTGCAGGCATAGGGAGAAAAGTGCAGGAACATTATATAGTTGATGTAAATGAGGAAAGTATCCATGTACAGTATGTATAGAGGTGTGTGGCAGTGTCAGCGTTTTCCCCCCATTGTCTGAAATAAGACTTCTGAATCTTAGTTTCGAGTTGAGAAATTAGAACTTGCAAACATTGAAATGTGGCCTTTCGATTTGCAAATCTCAGAGAATGACTTGGAATGATTGTCATGCGCCACTGATGGAAGTAGTAATGGGAGTTTAATGTGAGTTTATTTGTTAAGAAGACTTTGATGCTGAATAGTTACACCACAGAATACTCGCAAAATACTTAGTGTATTAAAAAAACAGATTGTTTATTTGTTGTTATTATAACCTCATAATCATGTGTATTGCAGCACTTATGTAGGGAGATGTACAAAAGGACATAAAATACACATAATACGGGGATTAGACTTGGTGTAGGAGCAAAAAGGGGAGGACTTGTGGATGACTGAAAAAAGAAGGAAAGAATTATGTGACAAGGCATTAGAAGGCTCTTCAAGGGGAAGATGAGAGAAGGTTGTGCGTGTGTGTGTGTGTGTGTGCGCATGTGTGCGTGTGTATGTGTCTGTGTCTGTGTGTGTGAGTGTGTGTGTGTATGTGTGTGTGTCTCTGTGTATGTGCGTGTGTGTGTGTCTGTGTATGTGTTTGTGTGTGTGTGTCTGTGTCTGTGTGTGTGTGTGTGTCTCTGTGTATGTGCGTGTGTGTGTGTCTGTGTCTGTGTATGTGTTTGTGTGTGTGTGTCTGTGTCTGTGTGTGTGTGTGTCTCTGTGTTTGTGCGTGTGTATGTGTCTGTGTATGTGCGTGTGTGTGTGTATGTGCGTGTGTGTGTGTGTGTGTGTGTGTGTGTCTCTCTGTGTATGTGTTTGTGTTTGTGTGTGTGTGTGTGTATGTCTCTGTGTATGTGTCTGTGTGTGTGTGTCTGTGTATTTGTGTGTGTGTGTGTGTGTGTGTGTGTGTGTGTGTGTGTGTGTGCCGGGGAGTAGGTGAGGGTGAGGGGATGAGAGAAACAATAAGAGACAAATCAATACCTTCTCCTAAACCTGTAAACTCACAGCGGAGGAAAGGAATTAAGACAAAACAATGTGTTGGAGTGAGAAACAAAGGATGCCAAAATAAACCATGATTACTGAATGCACGTAGCACTTATTCCCATTAAGAGTTACAGTTGGAGCAGCAACTTGTCTCTTAGATATATTACTGGCACTTATTGAAAAGAGTAAAATTTGGGTGAATGAAAAGTACAGGTCCGATAAAGTGTTATTTATAGCAAGCCATAAATACAACCCTTCCATTGTTGGCTTAGGTGAGCACAATGGACTAAAGTGAGTTTTAGTTGGTTTGTTATTTAGTCGTACTGCAGGACGGGATTATAGTTTTTTTACACAACATTAAGTTTGACCGACATGGATTTTCGAAGGCAAATTCCGAAGGCAGTTTTGTTAGTGTTTGACAAGCTGAAAGCCAAGTTTTAAGGTAAACTATAAAAAACATAAAAGATAAGGCTGCAAATAACAGGGTCATTTTTCATAATGTGTTGGATGGTAAAAGGTTTATTTTAAAGAGGAGAGGGAAAAGGTATCCAGTAGTTTATTTGTAAAAGTTTTATTTATAACGCTTATTTAGCATATGTGGTTATTTTTACTTCTTCACATTATGGATGATTGAAACAGATGTGAACCAAAGTTAAAGATATCTGTTGATTGATGTATTACTACTATCGTTGTCCATAAGATCTGGTTGTTTTCCTTACAAAATTACCTTTAAAATATACCGCTATTTCAAAAATGAAAATGTTAATTATCATGTTAATCAAATGTTAAGCAGATTGGAAGATTTTCTGTTGGTCCAAGCATTTGGCTGACCACATCTCCATTGCTTCTGAGTGAGGTATTTACCTGTGTGGGTTTGGCATATATTCATATCTGAGTGACTAGAGCGTGAAAGCATCTGTCTCCTGATTAGACCAGTATTACGCTGATGATATTAAATGGTTGAAGCCGTGCAGATGGTTATCATTATCTTGGGGAGGCAGCGGCACTAGTACACACGTTTATCACAGGTCTACACAGGTATAATGGTCACACAATGTTAAATGATGTGGAGTAATTGTCCCCAGACATTAGGAGCCTGGGAAGATGGGTATAGTTCAGTTTAAATCATGCTTTTAGTCATACTTATCTATGGTTTGTGTTATCATTTAATATCTCTCTGTTTCTTCAGAGAATATAGGTGCAATTTAGTAGTAGCTATTGTGGTTATAAAGGTTTTCAAGCTGCCTATTTCCACATAGAGAGTCAAGAGAAACAGTTTTTTCATACATATTTTCTTAATGTGCATTTCATTCAAGTATGGAAAATAAACCCTCAAAATTAGATCCGTTTCGGAGCAAAACTAAAATTGCCAAAGCTATTTAAATTCACCCAACCACTGAAGCATGTTCCTTCATATGGCTGTCATTCATCACTTAATGCTTGGGTGCAGCTGTATTTGAAAAGTCTAAAGACAACCACCTGGCAGGCCGGATGTGTACACTTATACTGCGCTTTTTTGTGCAAAGAGAATATTAAAACCAGTGGCAAATTTGGGAGAGAGGCACCTGCTGTGAGACCCAGCTGCTGTGGGGCCGTTGTCCTGTTTCATGTGTCATGTTTGTGTGTGTTCGTCATAGTGATCCACTGTGGACCTCCGCCTCAGCTTCTTCATGGGAAAGTTGAGGGAAGTGACTACTCTTGGGGCTCCAGTGTCAGCTACAGTTGTTTCCATGGCTACCAGCTCTCCTCTCCCGCTGTGCTGACGTGTGAGGGGAATGGGACCTGGGCAGGAGATGTGCCTCAGTGTCTGCGTGAGTATAGCAGTGGAGCTGCTTAATAATGGATCTTAAACTGCGTAACAATAAACTTGTCTAACAGCATTGTCTCAAGCACAGAATTTATAAAGTATATATTAGGGCTGGGGATCATTTGCATTACAATAGGGCTGTCAAAACTATAGAAAATCAGATAATAAGCCGTATTAAAACTAACGTGAAATTATATATACTGAAGAAAATTACATAAATAATGTGTGGCTCATTAAAATTATTATTATTTGAGCCAAAAAATACAGTTTTCTGATAAATTTGATTTATAATATTTGTATTGTTTTTGTGCATTACAATAGAGAGCCAAAGCAATTTCCTAGTCTGCGACTTCCTGTTACTAACATGGCAATACAAATGATTCTGATTCTGAATAGGGATCAATTTGTTACAATTTGAGATATTTCAAAGAGATAAGATACGATTCAGTAACAAGTAACTTTTGGCCTGATTGTAGGACAAACTTCTCATACAATCTGCAATGTGTGGATCTGACTAGTACAAGAATCAATATATCAAAATCATTAATACTAATAATCCATATATCAAAAAATCTAAATTAAAACCAATTGTATTTAATTGTTACTGTACTTTTTAATCTAATACAGCACCTGGCAACTATACATATCAAATATAAAACAACATTCCCTACATAAGTTGGAATCCCAATAGTTTTCCCAGGTTCCACATGATGATCAACAAAGTAAACCTGTGACTTATTTCACTTTGAAGAACCTTTGTGTCCTCTGACAGCGGTGCTCTGCGGTGACCCTGGCTCCCCAGGCGGTGGCTCCAGAGAGGGAAGCGTCTTCTCCTACAGGTGAGTGTGTGATCCCTGTGCATCCAAATGTCCACTTAATAATCTCTAATGATGTTTTTGTTTTGTCCACTCAGGTCAGAGGTGCGGTTCTACTGCCATGCCCCCTACCTGCTCGTGGGCTCTGTGTCGAGAGTGTGTCAGGCTGATGGCATCTGGAACGGACAGCAGCCCGCCTGCATAGGTAAAGATGGAACAACAACACTGCATCTGCTTTTAGGTTTCTTATTCCAGTCAGTGCTTTGACCCTGCTGAATGTGTGAACAGGAATGCTAATCATAAAGGTATTATAGCCGTAATGCTGTTGTGGTGTGTAGAGATTCTTTTTTATTTATACTTATTTTTATTTATCGCAAAACCACAATTATAATGACGATCACATGTTCCTCTGTACATCAAATAAGGATAGTTCTTGAATCCACTATGAATAGAATGTGCGTTGTTAGGATTAAACAAGAGAGAAGGACTGTCTTTTGTGTGTATTTTAACACATTTGAAGTGGAGTAACAGAGCATATTGTCAGCAATTGACAAAAAAGAACACAATTGCAAATCAAGTTTTAAAGATGCAAATGAACTCTTGGCTCCAATGTGGCATGGTTATATTCATGTCTGTTTGGTGACATACACTGTCTCATTCAAATAAAAAGTAATAAGTTGTAGGTAGCATGCTAATTCAATCAACAAACTGAATAGGTCTTTTAGGGCCAGTATGAACTATGCTCTCTGACTGCACTTCAGCTTTCAAACCACTCTGGTCTTGTACATCCATGGGGCTTTATCTGATCAAGCACAGCACGCTTTAAGATGCTTTCAAACTTATCCTCTGTACGCAAATTATTTATTGTTATGGTTGTGCATTTTCACCCCCCTGAAACACTGTCTTTGTGTAAACAAAAGACCAAACCAAACCCAACTCTACCGTTTTACTGTTGCAGAGTCTTTGTGTAAACAATTGCTTGGACTAGATAAGGACCATATACAAAAATAACTCAGAGAAACCGGCCTGAGAGACATGAATTAACAAGTTTGTGTTTTACTCAATCGGTTTGGAGCAATATTTACGATTCTCTATCCTCCCATGAAAACCTGCTGAATCCATACAGTTCTTTTACCGATAATGTTCCCATTTAGGAAATCCAGCCTCTCACCTGCCAATTACACTACTTCAAAAGGATAGATTGATGTTGCCATTCAAAGTGCGATTATTAAGTATAACTGGTGCGCTGTCTTTGGAGTGTGCAGTCAGTGGTTGCTGGAAGAGAACTGCACTTGGTGCAGACCCGGAGGACTGGATGAGGCTTCACGTCCTAATTTATTCAACAGATAGTGCCCAGTACGAGAGAAGGCAGGTGTCAGAGCGATGCCCTGTGACAGCTTCCAGTCCAGCTGCTGAAAGCTGCGCTGCTGTGCTCCTTAGGTCGTATCAGTTTTATATCGAGAATGTTTGGACACTTAAAGTCGCCTCACATTGCATCATTCATCCACTTATAAACTACAAGTGTAGCCACAGCTGCATTCATGTACACACCAGACTCCTTCCCGGTAATGTGGTTGAAGAAGTGTCAACAACAGTTTAGCACTTTACAGCCCTCCCGCTGTGGCACTTGCTGTTCCCAGAGGTCTCTCATCACAATGAAATTAACCCCACTTTCCCTGAAGCCCCCCACTTATCAAGTTTAATGAATGAATGAAAGGTTTATAAGGTAACTATGTCAGAGGTTCCTGGGTTTTGTTGTCCTGGTTGTAAATGTGCTTCATGGTTAGTACAGTTTTCTGTTGTCAGTGATTGTATGCCAGTGTTTAACTAAATGTTTAACTAAAGTGTCAACAAGAGGTTTGGATCATATGGATGTTCAATGTGTGAATAATGTGTGTGTTTTTGTCTTCTAATAAAAAACCAAACATGACAAAGGAGGAACTTCATAGTTTTTTCACAGCTTTAGGGCCCCTTTGCTCTGCAGTTCTGCAGGCTCTCCAGTCGCTCGTAAAAACTAATCTCTGAGGTTTGTGTGAACTGTTGCTAGAACCAGTTTTAACATCTTCCCAAAACATCTGTGTCCAACAATATTTTAGTGCACATTATCAACGTGATCTATTACTGGGTTTCTCTCAAACGACTGGCACTCAGATACTGATTGTTACTATGGCAACGGAAGAATAATGCTGTGAAAATATAACACAAGTTCAGGGAAGCTGGCAGTATGCCAGAAATGTACATCCGTGTCTTTGGTCCTGCTAACCCAAAGTGCCAAAGTAGCCGAACTGCTACATGAGCTCATGCATCCAGGATATGATCTATACAGTGACCTGGGTTCCCACAAATGTTTCCCTACATGTAGTCTCTTTCTTTAACTATTCCAGGGTTCCAAATTCTTCTGTGAACATGATTGACAGTGAAATTGTGATGTACACTAATTGTTCTTGTACACATTGCATTTTTAAAGTAAGTCTTTAGTTATATCTATCCTTTCACAAAACGCTTCTAATTTCAGAATATTTTCATTTTCATTAAAGACAAACTAATGTAATTTATTTCCTGTCAATTATTAGCCTGCCATCCTGTCAAGTATTTGACTTTATGGTATGCTCTAGTAAACGCTTTGTTAGTTTACCGAAAGTCAGAGACATCATCTTTTAAAACCTGGTACACTACTATATTGTTGTGAAAAAGTTTAGGAGTTTTCCTCCTAATCCTGACAGACATAAACGGTTTGAAACCCAGGATCAAAGGGTCACAATCAGATGAATAGTAAGCTAGATTACACCGATACATCTTTGAGCATGATTTGTGTGTAGATAGGGCTGTCTGTAAGGAATCTGTTTGATAAAGTCTCGGTTTCTTTTTAGATGTTTATCAATCAAAGTCCCTTCTTTTTTATCCAGCAAAATAAATGTCTCTCAATGCCTTTGTGGTGTTGAAATAACCTTGATGATGAAGGTATTCAAGTCACTAATCAAATGTCCTCCTTTGCAATCACACACAATAAACGGATCCTAAACTTGCCTTGATTGTATATCCTTGAAGCAATGTCTAAACAGCGCTACAGGTCACACGATAAACACAGGTGTCATGTTTTCATCTCCCACGAGTTGATTATGTGTTTTGCATGTGTTTTTAGACCCAGCCTTCAACACCTGCAGAGATCCGGGAACACCAGCATACGGAATCCCAGTTCTGGCTCAGGGATTGCAGGTTAGCAATGAGAGATTTCACATTTTTCTTTCACAATGTTCTAATCCATTCGCTACCTGTTCTGAACAAAAGACAAAAAGAATCTGAACTGGAAAAGATTGTAATTCAATAGATTGCACTTCTAATTTGTCTTAGAACTACAGTCTATGAATTTAACAATCAAGAGAAAAAAATTATTTAAACAAAGTAGCCAGTGAGTTTGTGTAAGCCCTCAGTCGTACAGGGATTAGTCAAAGCAAAGGAAGGTTTCTCACCCATCATCTGTACTTCTCAGCAAGTTTTCCCGACGTTTCGTCCTCAACCTGGGGACTTCTTCAGGGAATGAATTCTCGGACCGCGCGTTGGAGATTTATAACCTATGGGTGTGGTAAGCCACACCCTAATCCTGATACTAACTCATAAACAATCTCAGGTCTGCTTGATGTAGAAGGGAGCAGGTCTAACGACCCTGCTGAGGCTAACGACCCTAACTCCTTAGCATGTCACAGACCTATTGTCTGCTGGGATGCTCAAGTGGAGTAAATTAGGAGGGGTGAAACCTGCACTCCACTTGAGCATCCCAGCAGACAATAGGTCTGTGACATGCTAAGGAGTTAGGGTCGTTAGCCTCAGCAGGGTCGTTAGACCTGCTCCCTTTCTACATCAAGCAGACCTGAGATTGTTTACGAGTTAGTATCAGGGTTAGGGTGTGGCTTACCACACCCATAGGTTATAAATCTCCAACGCGCGGTCCGAGAATTCATTCCCTGAAGAAGTCCCCAGGTTGAGGACGAAACGTTGGGAAAACTTGCTAAGAAGTACAGATGATGGGTGAGAAACCTTCCTTTGCTTTAAAGTAGCCAGTGGTTTAACCAGTGGGGGCGGGTCCTAGCTCAAAAGTGGCCAAAATGATGTGCGCTGACATGCTTGCAATACCACCCCGGGCCGATGGGGGTGGACCCAGAAGTAGAATTAGCCAATGCTAACATATAGCATTGGCAGACCTCTCAAAAACGTCTTTACAGGATGGACCAAAAGTTGGCTCTTGGCCCAAAGCTCCGTTCCACATGTGTGTCAACGCTGAGGGGGGTGGATTTTTTTGGTCCACTCTAGTTTACTCGCTGTGAATTTTTGAAGTCTCTCGTTCAAATGAATGGAGCTGCACCGGGTGACGCATGCGCAGATGCGTTTTTTTCACAATTTTCTTGTGGGCGGGACCACTCACGGCCATTTTGGATTGCTCCAGTAGAGCAAATTTGTTGGCCAATTAGTTAGAACGGCGGAGATAGGCGTGACTCTGTCCGTTAATATATACAGTCTATGGGTTTAACACATGACTCTCCACCAGCTGAGAAGTGATACGGAAATGAAACTCTGCAACCTTTAAACTATGTATTAGAAAATGTATACAGAAAATCAAACAAGCACAAAAGTCTTATTTTGATATTGATATTGGATCATTTCCTAGGTACACCAAGCAACATCTCAAGGCACTAACATGCCATGGCACACTGAATTGAATTATGAGTAATCATGTTCCACATTGTAAAAGTTCCCTCTGACTAATAGTTTGGAATGGGGTGTGATTACATGATAGACCACCTTTAAGATTTACACACAAATCAGAAACTTACACTGCAAAAAACTAACATGCAGCCATTTTCCTTATTTCTTTGTTTTCTATCTAGGTTGGTAGCAAGATATCCTTCAAATGCCGCAAAAATTACCACATTCTTGGGTCCACCACAAGAACGTGTATGGAAAACCTTACCTGGAGTGGGACCCAGCCTGAGTGCATAGGTATGGATTTACTAGCCGAGTTGGCCGACATTTTTCCGTTATTAGTCTTCATTGTAAAGCTGGTTGATGCTATTAAGTTTACATCAGAAGGGTACTTTGACATATGATGCATTATGGTGCTGATGCTGCTGTCTGCGGTTTTCCCCATAGCCCACTCGTGTAGGCAGCCAGAAACTCCCAGTAATGTGGATGTTCGATCCATGGACCTGCCCACGCTGGGATATACACTGATCTACACCTGCCAAGAGGGCTTCTATCTGGCAGGAGGATCAGAGCATCGAACATGCAAGAGTGATGGGAGGTGGTCCGGCAAACCCCCTCTCTGCAAAGGTATCGCACACAATCTCAAATGCACAGCTGTCTAAAATGGCCCCAAAACCCCAAAACTGTGAGACATGTTAATCCCACAAACTTTAGAATACATAGATTAGATAAGGTCAACCTCAGGCAGGAGTGTATTTTGCAAGGATATTCTCTTTATCTAACATAATAAACGTGCGTAAAGTGCAGAGACCCAGAGGCAAGCTACAAATACAGGGAAAATGGTTTCTGGTGAAATTTCATTGCTTTTTTTTTCTCTAGTTGGAGTGAAGATCAATCCTAAAAGCAGAGAGTCGGACGTCCAGAAGAACAAAATAAGAGGTACGGCAAAAAAATTATAATATTACAAACAGTACAAACATCTCTCTGGAGCTAAAAATAAGGGTTATGATTGGTTTACAGTGCCTTCTGACGTGTTTTCACCCAACTCTGACTGGAGTGGTTTCTATGAGTATTTGGGGAAAAGACAAGGGACAACGTTCACTGTGACAGGGTTCAACAAAAGCACTGGAAGAGTCAACATCACATTAATGGAGCCCACTGGAGTGTCCATCAGACTGTCAGGTAACAACAAGCATGTGGTCTAGAGCTTTGAGAAATAAGTAGGAACTAGTATTTTAAAGTTCCACTAACGTCTAATCCCAGTGTGTTCCCTTCGTCGTTTACTACTTCATTTTTTACAGTAATGCTTATGTAAATAGTTCTTAATAGGTGCACATCAACAAAATCCAGTGATAATTTTCAGTATTTTGATAACTATATTCAGACTGATATTGTAGCAACCCATAACAATGTTTCTTGGTGGGGGTAAACATTTGCATTAAATGTAAAACAGATCACAGAGATGCAATTTGATTTGTATAGTGAAGATTATGTCTCTAAATATTTTAGGCCAATGGAAGCTCTGCAGTCATCTCAGCTAGTTTTGACTTTTGTTATAATTGTTGAAATGTAGAAATGTTATGTCTTATTTCTCATATGTGAAAATATTTACTCACCATGCCCAAAGGATTTATGGTGATAATTTAAGTGTTTTACAGAGTTGTAAGTTCATATAAAGGTGAATGTTGAATTTGACTAATATTCTTCAATATATTTGCCAAGCTTCTGTAGAGAAGGTTGTATGTGGCTTTCACCATAAATATGTATTATAACGATTGATGGTTGAGCTGGAAAAAAGAAATAGATTATTATTTCATCATGAAGCACTTACAGGGCGGCGTCATGTCGAACAGGAATCTCGTACTGTGAGTAAGTTGTGCAGCCCCCGGGCGGATGTAATTTTTCTTCACCTGTCAGTTGTTTGGTGGAGGAAATAGGGGTTACAAGGTGTCGAAGATCAATATGTCAGATTATGATGTCATTTTCATTTGTCTGAGGTGCAGCTTTTTCCCTTATTTACCAGTGTTTTTTCCCCCTGCGTGTTTGTGCAGGCACTTACAAATTTGAGGAAAACCAGTTACTCCTGAAGGTCTATCAAGTCAAAGGTCCAACGGAGCATTACTACAGCAAGTTTAAAAACGACAATTGGGCCATGGACGGATATGTAAGTACTCTTGGCATTCACATCTCAGAATCAGAATCAATTTATTGCCATTTGCAGAAAAAACTACATTGGAATACAAACAGGAGACACCGGGGGCACCAACACCAAAAAGCACACACACACACAGACACAAAGAATAAAAATATATACAGTATATATATTTTTGATCTATATTCGTCTCTTTAAGATTGCATTTTGTGATGATTTTTTGCAAGTGAAGGTTGGGGCTCAAACATTTCAACTCTTTCCACCTTTAAACCAGTTTCATCTGAATGACAATTATTCTTTTGATATCAGGGAAGTGAGCTTTTGAAAAAAAATAGTTTTAGTTCAGGGTTTGCTCTGGGCATTTAGTGGCCCTGAATAATAATAATAATAATAGTCCTTCATCGGTTTAATAAAGCGCTGTTCGAAGGGGATCACTTTACATTTATTTATTCATTTGTTTAAATAATCCCTTCAGACAATAATTCACAAGAAATAGAATAGATATGAATAAAACAAAAATACATGTCTGCCAATAAATGTTATATATGTACTGTGTATGTGCTTGTTTAAATGATACAATCATATAAAAGGAGGAAATCCAAACTAATTACATTCAATTAGTTCATTTTGTTTTATTTTTAGATGTAATATTATCTACGTAAATGCTCCAATTATGCTTCTAAAATAAGAATGCATAAAATAGGACTGAACCATTTCCTAAACAGCAATAATAGTGGTTCTGAAATGAGGTTTGACCCGACAAAGATGTCTGTAAACTCAGCAAATAGGTCATTTCACATTCATTCATTCATTCATTCATTCATTCATTCATTAATTCATTCATTCATTCATTCATTCATTCATTCATTCATTCATTCGGGCTCTGGCCTTGTTTTCGCCTCACCACAGACGACTTCACATTCACAATTGTATCACGTGTAAGTAATATTCTTTGCTTCCCGTCTCCTCATTCTTGACGACAACTCCTTTTACGTGTCAAGGTTGCAAAAAGAAATTCATTGAAATTCCAGATGAATCTTGTGTCACATTATGCAAACACAAAGACGGCAAATTAACATGGTTTGAGAGAGAAGAAAGTAGTTTTCACTCGGGCTATGCATCCATTTGCGTTCAAAGGTTGGAACTTTAATTCATAAAGGTATTATAGCCAAAGTTGTATGAACTCATCCAATCTATTTTTATTATTGTGGGATTTTTCTGCGAGCACAAGGGCACATTCTTTTGATCGCCTTTCATTTCAGCTTCAACAAGTTTCAGATGATGCTGCTGTAAAAATATTTTGAGTAATTACCTTTTATTGCCACGTTGGAGGACGGAGAAAAGACGCTGAGAGAAAAGAAATGGAGTGGCTTGACAGTGGTGTTGATTATTCTGTCAAAACATCCAAAAACAGACATGCAGTTTTGTTTTAGGTTGTGTGTTTCATGTCGACTTTTGAACTCTGCGTGATGCGATTTTTGAAGCGGGAACCGGTGAAACAAAAGCCTGAACGGGAAACGGATTAACAGTCTCAACATGTTTGACTTGTTGACAGAGGGGAAAAACAGGAGCAATAGAAAAAAATCTTCAGGGATATTGTAAAGGGTGGCTCCCGACACGAATTGATGCAGGGAAAGCGGTGCGAGATGGAGGGGAAACAAAAAGAGCCAAGACAGTTAGCCAATTTACCAGGTTGCAAATGACACTGTGAGGGAGGAAAGCGAAAAATGACAGGCGGATAATGGCCGTGTTATGATTCCAGAGAAACAATCTTTTACAGGTTAAAGATGAAACCCCTATTTTCAATGTGTCGCTAAAATGCCATAGTTATAATTCCCGGACAAAACACTTTGGCCTACAGATTTGCAACAATAAGAAATGTAAGAGCTCTGCGAGTTAAGAAACGTATATTGTTGCTATGGTACCTCACTTTTTTATTTCACAATGACTTATTTTTGTCTTCTAACAGAAAGAGTTTTCTTGGAAGACAAATCAGACATGCTCTGTTACATGCTCTGTTCATGTTATTAGCAAACATCTTGTCCTTACCCATACTTATAATAATAAAAAAAAAAAAAAAGTGAGTCACTATTGACATTTTTGGACTGAGAGCTGAGTGGCTGAGTGAGGTCTTCTCCTTTTCATTTTTCTTCCTTTAAAAGCTGAAAATGTCCTAAAGATGAGGCCAACAATTACATGCGAATGGAAACTAGCAAAAGAACCGAAGCCAGGAACTAGTTAGATGGATTTTATTATGTAGCTCCCCTTTTTTGGTTTTAAAGTTAGGTAATCAAGCTTTAAATTAAGGAATATATAGTTTAGTTTCACTTATTTAGGCTGTTCAGTATAGAGTTGATAGACATGCACTGCCGACTATAGAGCCAGTGCCGTAATATTTATCATAGATGTTGGGAACCCAAAAGAGGAACACTTAAGTGCAAATTAAATGTAAAGTAAATTTGTAAAAAAAAAAAAAATAGTATTCATTTGTTGCATTTCAGGTGACCGCTGAGTCGGATCAGAAGACATTTGTTTACCAAGGACACATTCACAGCAAAGACTTTGGAAAGTTCTACCTGACAAGACAAGGTACCTCTCACCTCTCAGAAACTGCATGAGCTGTTCCTCACTCAAAAATCAATGCAAAGATGTTCATTGTTCAGAAAGGAATTTTCATGTAAAAAGAAAGATAGTTTTTCCCATTGTGTATGCAGCCGAAGTGGCTTCATATGTCTGTGTCCTCAGGTCCTGTTACCACAGCGATAGAGCCATCCAGCCCATACACCAACAGCAGCTCTGTGGCGGCGGCCATCTTAGTGCCGTTCTTCGCCCTCATCCTGTCGGGATTTGCTTTCTACCTCTACAAACACAGGTAAGCCCTCTGGCCTGTTTTGTAAATCCCAGCAGGAACCGCCTTTAAAGCACTTCTTAGTATTGCTCTGCCAGTCACGGCTCCACTCTACTAATGCAAGAAAGAGGATTCGCTTTCAAATATAGTTAGCAGCAACAGAGAAAGACACACATTTTTTCAAGTTTTTGGGTTTGGTGCAAAAATGAATAGCGCTTCTTTAAATCGGAGCTAACTGATTTGTTCCGATTAAATCAATACATAAATCATAAACAACTAATAATGCACTTGCTGTTTCATTTTCCAAATAATAATCATTATAATCATAATGATGAATGATAATGAGACTCTGCAACTCTTTATTTGTATGGCACTTTTCAAAAACAGTGTTTACAAAGTGCTGCACAGTCAGCATAAAGCAATACAAACGGTATAACAATAAAGAAATAATGCAGTTTTGCTCCAGGATCAATGTATATATCTCTAGTATATTACGAGGAATCATCAAAAAAAGTTTCAAAATTAGTTTCAAAAGTTTTCACAAAAGAGCTTTGAGTCCATTTCTGGGGAGTTAGCTTGAGAACTGGCAAATGCAAACTGTTATGAGACTAGTCCTGCTCAAGGAGAGACACAGACCCTTGCTCAGGAGGAACTGAATCTGTCACTTAAAAACAGGCAAACCTCAAAGGACCTCAGAGACATAACAAGGGTTGCCAGGTAAGGAGTGTCTAAAGTATATTAGCCCCAGCTGAAAACAACACTTCAGGGAAGTGCTACAATAAATTAAAGATGAGAGACGACTGAATATTTCACAGTTTACTCCATCCCTTGGGCAGGTCGGCTCATAACCGTTTAGACTTGCCAGCTGTCATCAGATCAGAAAGTGACGCTTGGATGCGGAAAACTTGGTCCAGATGAGGTTTTTTTGAAACTTGCTCTCTGATTGAACATTCCTTGTCTGTGTTTACAAAGCACAAGTGAAAAGGAGATTGCACTATTCCAGTTTAATCCATTTAACAAGACTGTCTATAAACACAAATCAAGCTGGAATGTAGCTATGTCACCAGATGCATTTAAGCCATGGTTATATTCAGAGTAGAGTATTTATAGTAGAGAGTATATACAGGTATTTGTACAACTGCTTTTGATCATTTCAGACTTGCTTCATTGTTTTGTCTTTGTCACAGGTTAAATTAAATGACTTGTGCTAGTGCAGTTGTGCATGTGTGAAAGTCTAATGCTCCAATTAAACAAGACGTACATTTTATGCCATGTATGCATTTTGCCAAAAGAGTGTTTCAATTTGAATTAGAATTATTGTTTTTAAGTTTCATCAGAGCATTTGGAAAATTACGCCGTACAAGAGCAAAATAAACAAAGCTACATCTTCCATATCCTATTTTTCTAAATAAATTTACACATTCAACTAATTACACCAAAGTAATATTATTAGCCAGTACTATGGCCGTGTGCCTTGTAATTCATTTGAAATGTTGCTGTGGATTGCATAACAATGGTGCCACTAAGCTCCTCTTGATAAATGTACTTCTGTGTGTTTATATTAAGCTGGCACACAGATGCATTGGAGAGTCTTGCACTAAAATCCCCTGCACCTATTATGTTGAGTTCTCTCTGGCACAAACTGTGTCCTAGTTTGAAAGCTGTGAAGTGAAATGTCTTTTGAGAGCAACATTTTATAAGTTGGGAATAGAGTAAGTACTAAGGAGTATATAATGGAAAATGCATTAGGTTTATAGCATCTTCTTGATTCAGATGGTTTGGAGTGTGACTACTTTCCCCAAATACATCAAGGCTAAAAAACAAGGCATAAAAAGAAAAATATGTTGGATTTTTCTCTAAAAAGTCAGAATTATAGTTTTACCCAGTTACGCGAGTTGGCCAACATTTGTTCTAACTGTTTATTAAAAACGTACTCTCTACTTTTGTCATAATAATTTCCGTCTTTCAAACTAAATTATAAATAAAATGTCGTCAATTGACACTTTATTTCAAGAGTGAAGTATGTGAATCTCCACAATCACAGCCCTCTCATCAACTGGGTGCCATGCTGGTGACCTCCCAGGTCCTAATCAGACATGCACAAAGGGCCTTCAAGTGACTTGATTTACATACTGAGATGGAAATGTCATCACTTTTGACGACAGTCTTAAAAAATGAAAGTCTGGCTTTGCTAAGTTACTATTAACTATTCAATGTCCTCTTAGTTCTTGCCAAATGTAAGATTGTGCATTAGGGGGATGCAATACACCTATACACACTATTGTTCATGAAAATCCAAACTAATTTAACCTCCACTATCAATACTCCCACATCAGTACAAACGGAAAGTTATATTTGACATTGTATTGAAATTCAACATCAGCCCCACCTCGACTGTGCACGTTATGTGAAAAGTAAACAGAAGTTACAATCGTGAGGTTGAATAAAGCTGATGATTGTACGCAGGGCGTTGTCTGCTGACACAGATGACAATGAAAGACCTAAAGACACCTGGGGGCCTGGCGGCAGGTAAGACTGAGAACTGTCACTCACCTGGTTACCACAGAAACCAGAGCTCAGCCGGCCGCCACATCCTCCTCTGATTTTCTCATTTTTCTTTTCTTCATGTTATTTGGTAAGGCTGCACAGTATGTTTATGCCTTTTTTGCATTTATAGGTCATTTTGTGTAAGTATATTTTTAAAAAGCAAGTTAATATTATAGACTTTCAAAACTGCATTATTTCTAAAAGGATGAATAGTGTAAGATGTGCAGCCCTGCTATGTGACAAAGCATTGTTGCAAAGTAAAAGCTGGGCATGCTTATCTGTCTTTGATCTCTTTGTCATCTCTGTCAGCATGATGGCATAGTGCATACTCTTATTTTATTGTGTCCTTGTTGCTGTGTTTTGATTTACATGACAGTGAATGTTCATAAACAGTCATATCATTGTGTCTTGAGACTTAAGATGGGTTTGTTTTGACAGTATGCCTGAGTCTGCATGTCTGTAAATTTCCTGTCAAATCAATTAAGCTTTTCGGCCCAAAAAAATTAACTTTCTCACCCTAAGCCAGTGACGAGTTCAGTGATTTGGACCAGTGCCACTCAGGAAGGCTGTCAGTGTGTGTTGGCGTGTGCATCGTTTTGTAAAGTAATGGGTAGAACATGTAGGCTAGGCTTACTGCCTCCCCAGGGCTGGATCTGTACCAACACACAAACACATATGCATGCACACACATTCACACAGTTAATGAGGTCAGAATCAAACAGCGTTTCAGCTGCAACAATCCTCCCTGCTAATAGTTCCACAGGGTTCGGGAGTAAGTGATTATATCTAACTGGATTATGGGACCTGATTATCCAAACACGTAATCTGCCACAAACAGATATATTATAAAAGGTATAATATTTCAGTGAAAACCAATTCAGACCCTAGATGATTGAGGCAGAGTTGCTTTCTTTGGCTTTTGACTGTCACATGATTGTGAGATAGCAGAGTTGACTCTTGCAGACATGAAAGGGGCAGATGGACGTTGGGAAGCCAAACCACTGATCCATGGTTTCATTAAATTATTCCCTGAAGTCAAGATTCAACTGATGGGCGTTTTGCCTTTTTAGGGAGTCATTACTTGTACGTGTAAAGTATTTGTGGGTTTTCTACTGTATGTTTCTTGTATCTAGTTTTCTTAAAGATTAATGAATCTAACTCAGAGTGAACTGAGTTGTGATAGAATTCAATGTGTATTGGTTTGTCATCTCTGCTTTTACTTATGATCTATCATGCTGGGAGCTCAAGAAGCTGAGGACGGCTTTTTTTCTTAAAGAAGTGGATGTGAATCAACTAAATTATCCATTTGTTGTTTTTCAGGACTCGTCCCAAGGTCCAGTTCAATGGGTATGTTGGTCATGAAAGTTCAAATGGCCAGGCGTCATTTGAGAACCCCATGTACGACACTAATATGAAGCCGACAGAAGCTAAAGCTGTGCGATTCGACACCACACTGAACACTGTCTGCACTGTGGTATAGTCCCTCCTGCCGACTGCCCATCAGCAGTGGTCCAGTCTAGTGCCATGTCGCACTCTGGTCAAACCAAAGTCAACAGAAGGAGCCACACTCTGGATCTGTGCTGTAGCATGCCGAGCCTCCAGCAATACCTGCACAGATGCAGCTATGAGCTACATCCAGTTGATGACAGTCATCTTCTCTTCAAACATCATGAGTATGATTATCAGCCTCTACCTTGGTTGAAGTGATTCACACGTATAGATAAGTCAGTCTTTCAAAAATCTTGGCAGCCTTTATTTGCGTAATTTGACTTGAGTTATCATTTCTAAATAGAAAGGGCTTACCTAATCTGACCTGGTGTATTCTGCTAACCGCATTATCAATTCTTTGCCCCATCCTAATTCCCATCCACCATGCCGTGTGGAGGAGTGGACCTTTCTTCAATCTTACAAATGTTAAATCTTGATAGAATAGTTTCTTCATTAACACATGTGCTGGTATAACTCCTGCCTCTAGACTTTGATTGGACTTTTGACAACTGAGCGGGACCACTGACTATTTAGGTGCTGTTGTAAGTACCAGCTCAGCCATGTTAGCCGCCACGCAAAAATAGCAACTAGCAACCCACTATTTTTATGGCTTTAGCCTAGTGTGAGTGCCAGATGCCTCATGTTGGACAATCAGAAGTGACTGTTCGAGGCATGTTCCCTATCACTACAATCCCAATGTTTTATTTATTTTGCTGTCTAGTTTTTGATAAGGTTGCATCACAGCTCTCCAAGTGCTACAGTGATGAGCTGACGGCTTTAGACTTCTGTATTCCTCTAAGGATACCAACACTTAAATTAGTCATGCACACAGAATATTCCTCTCTAGCTCCAGGCTCACTGTCCTGGACAAAAAACTGAACACCTGCAGCCCAGTATTTGAAGAGTAGATACCAGAGGCCTGTCGAACACCATCTCTGGGTCAGATGACGGATTCCTGCGGCTGAAGCAGCCAGTCGTCCTGTTTGGTGGCTGACGAGAAGCAGCCTGGAGGCGATAAGCTGTCATCATTGTCGACTGCTGCAACGGGCTTTGGCCTATGCAGAAAATGATTTGTCTTTTTTTAACTCTGACCGAGAATCAGAGATTACTTATTTTTCTACTGAACCTCACCAGTGAATGAGCTGGTGACCAGACCGAAAGAAGACGTGTAAAATATGGACAAACAGACCACTGTGTGTCTGACATCAAGCAGAGACAAGGACAGAATACTCTCTGAAATAGTCTCTGAATGCCTCTTAGGCATTTTTTCTTCAATGAAGATGTTGATAAAGAAACTGTATATTGAAACACAGTGGCCCCAATGGGATTCACAAACCACTGCTGCTGGGGCCCAAAATATTATAAACTTTGTAGAATCTCTAACCGCACAAATTTTGCACTAGTTTTTTTTTCTGAATTTCTGAATTATGTGTTACTTTTGGTTGTTTGGAAGGGGTAAATTCCAAAAGAGAATTTTATTGAAAATTTCTATCTTTCAAAAGAAGACATTGGTATGAATACAGGGTTCCAGAGTGTTTGTATATACACATTTATAATCCACAGCCCCTGTTAGCAGTTGTGACCACACACTACCATCCCACAAGAAACACGTGATGTGAACAGTGTACTATCACTGTACCACACTGTACTGTGGCTATTCAGAATAATTGGTGTTTCTGAAACATTGTGGATGCATGGATCAAAACCATGTGGCTATCCACTATTTTATGTTTCATTTATTTTATTTTCTATTTTTTATTATTAGTTATTAGTAATAATTATTTTTTTACCCATAGGTATATTGAACATTGAGTATATACTGCTACTAAGGTGTAGCCCTCATGAATGCCTTATCGTGGATACGGCCCACACTTTCAGAGACGCCACAGTATTCTGAGCCGCTCTTTTCAAAGATGTGTCGCTTTACCATGCATCATTATAGCACTTACGCAGCACATCTTTTCAAAGAGTTGTTTGACACTTGATCCAGGCTAAGTACAAAATGGACATAAAGACAACATGCACAAATTAACGTTGTCAATCAAACTCCCTGATTCATTGTTTGAGAAATACCTCATATACCATTCTGCGTATCAATGCTGGAAACTCACTGCAGTAAATACACAAGCTTTGCCAGTACAACCTTGCATACAGTTTCTTTCCCGCGACACTAAATCACAATATCTTATAAACACCCCAGAGTTTTCACTGGATCTGAGAAAATTCACACGTCGACTCACTCGCCGAGCTTGTTATTTCTTGCAGTGCCATCTCTAAGTAGTTTATTTTTGAACGATGCTGCATTTGGTTTGGTTCACAGATGTAAGTGTAAGTCATATCTTCACTCACTGTAGGTCCAAGTCATTTTTGTTCTCTGTTCTGTGATTTGATTTGCCATCTATCTGTTCATTCATTGCATCAATGGAACAAGCTTTCATAATCTCAAACTAGAACGTTTACCCGTAGAACGCATACCCCACCCACATGATGAGGATGATCTTGACATCTTGATTGGGGGTTCCTACCATCACATTCCATCTACACATAAAATATCAGATTATCCGTAGTTTTTGCATAATCCTGCCTACAGACATACACAATCACACACACCCAGGTCGGCAAGGTCATACCTGAAGTCACCCAATGAGTGAATCGAATTCCAAAATCACTGTAGAATGTGTTCAGTCCTAAATACTCACTCTGCTTCACCTTGGAAGACTGAGGTACATTTATATAACACCATTAGAGCAGAGCACCACTGCTTTGCTAATTCTTAATGTATCGCGTTTGAACCATTTGGCATGAGACCGCTGTCGCTTTTGTGTATTTAAAATGGTCAGAAATGTCTTGCAAACAAAATAATCAAATATAATCCAAAGGGAATTTGCTGTTGCCTCTTGAGCCTGAGACAAGATCATATTTGCATGCAACAAACAAAAGGCAGTGCGTTAATGTAGATCAAAATCATCACATCAGCAGACAATGCGGCACTGTTGCTCTCTGATTTGTGAGCTTGTTCCCCTTTATTGCTGTGGAATGTAGTGTTTCTATTTAAATTGATTTAATTAATTTAGGAGAGGTTTCCCACTGCGTCAGGAGAACATAATGGGCTGGAAATTGGAGGCTGCAAGATTTCCACTGGCGTAATAAAAGGTCTAATTTCTCACATTTAATGACACAAATCTGAACTCCTGCTGTGCCCCAACTGCAAAAATGTAGACTCTCCAATGTCCTTGTGTCTGTAGTCAACATACATTCTGATGTGTACCTGTGAAATTGGACCCAAATAGAGCACTCCAACCCAGCACAAGAACTATTATACCTGTATTTGAAAACCTTTTGCAGATGGTTCATTTTAGCCAATCAAATCCACACAAATTGGAAAACTCAAAGGATGTTCCTCCACCAGTGCGTCTGCGTTCACATTTCTCCCCAATGCTCTTTCAGTTATATTTATTAATTTTCAAATCAGGTCTCGGTTTAAAAAAGCACATGATATGATCTTGTTGCACCGCTGAGATCAAAGCCTTTTTTGCCTGAATTGTCTAAAAGATCTATGAAACGCAGTATATGCTCGAGACGGATGCACATTTAAATCGTTTTTTTCTATTCATCAAATAATTACCAGAGAGGTTCCAACTTAAAAGGCATCTGGTAGAGTGACGGTTATTTTCAATAAATATAAACATATTCATTTAATAATAATTCATTTAAATTGATGGCATTCTACAGCCTCTTCCATAGGAATCAGAAACCATGAAACCAATTGAATACAATTTCTGATAGAAAAACATATTATTCACATTTTGTTAAACATACAATTTATAGATTGAGAATGGCCTTGGTATGTTGATAAATCGTATTTTACTAATGTTATTGATCTCCGAAACACAGCCCCTCTTTACTCAATTAATGACCTGTGTTCTTAAGTCCTTGAAAATGATCATTCTTGGTGTGTGTCAAGGGTTATGTTGAAAATTATTTATTTTTGTGATTTATTCGTCCACAATGACCATGCGCTCATGCCTATTTGGGTAGAATATAAAACAGTTGGCAGTAATATAAGTGAATGTCAATTATACAATCCAAAATGCGCTCCTTCAAAATGTATTTATGTCCTTTATGTATTTATGTATTCATTTTAGAACTAAAGGCATCACTGACAGTTCAGTTCAGTTCAGTTCAGTTTATTTATTTGCCATTTGCAGTAAAAAACCACATCGGAATACATTAGCAAAAAGTCTCCAGTTTGCACAGACAAATACAGACATAAAACAACATTAAAAGACAAAAATAAAACAAATAAAACAGTAAACAAATGTCACTGTGAAATCGATCGACTAAAACAGTTTCAAAACGAGTGCAAATCATTAACGTCATGACGGACAAAACAGGGCATGCTTGACATTATAGCACAGAGCCAGGTGTTCAAAAATATGCATTCACATTCTAACACATATCAACACACTGCGCTACCACCCGATCTGAGCGTCATTTCATTTCCTGTGTTTTAAAACTATCACTTATCGTTTCAAACTGTACACTTCACAACATGGCTTTATATGGACCTGCAGTTTCTGTTGCACACATGTACTTTGCACTTTGAAACTCTGTTGTTTCAAAGTTTGTGTTCCGTTTGTCACCGCTCCATCCTCATCGTGCTGCTGAACTTGAAGTAGGTGCAAAAGATATAAAAAAAAGACATTTTTGTACAGAAATCTATTTTTTATGGAGAATTTGTATAAAAAAGAAATACAAATTATTATTAAACATACTGTACTTTTTATGAAAAGAGGAAGTCATCAAATCAGTGTTTTTATTGTTGCTCCTTATCAACTATAAATGCGACCCCAATATATCAAAGTGTCATGTGGTTATGTTGTCGCTACAGCTGCTTTTGTACAAGATGGGAACACTAGGCAAATAAGTGATATATAATTCAATATTTACAACACATCCTGTCTGTCGGAGGAGAAATGAGGAAAAGAAGTG